TTTCGTCGTGAAAAATTGGCGATAAAGTTCACGATATCGTCAATTTTATCGCCAATTTTTCGCGATTTAGTCTATTAGCGATGTCCCTTCAGGGCCACCATAGACATACGAATAGCATTTGTTTTTACACTTATAATAATTCTTAATTAGATTCTTCATACAGAGAAATATAATGTCGTCTTTTTGTAATTCTTGTTCTAATTTTAATGTTTTTGTGTGTAAATTATCATTATCAATATTGTTATTGTTATCGTTATTAGTATTATCATCGTCATGAAAATGTAATACAGTGAGGTCCACAGCGAGCATGTAAATTATCGTCATCAATATCATTATTGTAATCATTATTAGTATCATCATCGTCATGACAATTTATTATCGTGAGGTCCACAACAAGCATTAAATTTCAAATGTTATCATTTTGATGTTTAAATATTTTCTGTAGTAGGTTGCTATTTATACATATATATATATATATATATGTGCGTGTGTAAATCCAAATACTAATGATTATTTAGATTACTACCCTTTCAACTTTTTCAAGCACCCCTATTGATATTGTACTTAATTTAAATTATCAATAGCATATCTGTTAGACCATTCTGTTTCAGGAGTGCTGTGCTTTCAACATAGTTTCCCACTAGCTCTTGGTTTCATCTTCAATGTAATCTTTTTTTAAATTATAAATAAGTTAATTAATAATTTAACTCTTTCAGCGTTAAATACAAATATAATCAAATAAAAGCTGGTATGTTAAAATAGAATCATTATTCTGTTCTAACTATACCCAAAGCGATCTAATAATTGTTTAAGATAATGCCAAAGAAAACAAAATCAGATCAATGTGACACCTGTCTGGAGTCACAGCACTAATACAGGTTGTAGTATTAACTGTTTTGGTATAGTATTTAATGGATATTTTTTCCCTTGCAGCTCTGCATGCACATTTGCACAGGGGATGATTAAAAGTAATCATGTACTCCATTCGACTGTGTGAGAGCCTGGTATAATGAGAATAAAATGTGATATCATTTATCAATTTGAAGTGGCTTGTGCTCATTAATGTGCATGCGCATGATGGGGTCGAAGGTTACCGAGGTGGGTCCCCCATGTACTTCCAGGTCATCCATTAGCTTACATGTAAACATTTCAAACTCATCGAAAATATTACCCACAGGTAAATACAATACCCTTCAAAACTAAACCAAAAACCTATTCTTATAGCCTTTAAAACAACCATTTAAACTTTGTATACAATTGAGCTGGATATATTTAAAGAGTTACCTATAATACAGCGATTATTAGGGATATGTCGTCTGCCATGACAGATTTGTATTTCAAGAGAACGTTTTGTGAATAGCACTTGCACTAAAATAGGGCGTTAAAATATATAGGCTTCGACGCTAGCAAAGAAAAAACAACAACAACACATAACACATTTCTGTATTATTTTCTGAATTAAAGATACAAGTCTGGATAGTGGATACCCGTGTATATTGATATCGACAAGCGTGACATTATTGCTCTTTCCAGCGAGATATCATTAAGTATAGGTTGTATTCTCAATTCACATTATTGGACAACATGAGAGTGACAATCGGTAGCCCCCCTGAATCCCTTCACACCCTGTATCTCAATTCTAGAGATCGTAATTTGATCATAAAATGGTACACTGGAGAAGACAATACACGTTAAACGCCAAAACGGCGCCTTTTCAAGAGGGAGGGTTGGCCGCCAGCGAGGGGGTGTTCGAAAGCCTCATGGAGACGGTGGTGACGTGCGCTGAGCTACCAATAAAGCACGCGAACCGCCCGGGCCCTGCAGGTGCAAAAGCCGACGGCCCTCGCACAGACGTCCCGACAGCGCAACCCAGGCACAAAAATCAACAGAATTACATTGGTACTTGAAATAGTTTCTTATAAAAGTGTTTTTGAATATAGCTCTGAGACATATGTAAAAAGGCGACAATTTTGATGTATCATTCAGCTGTGCCTATAACCAGTAATGTATGTTACGCTTCATTTAGCAGATCATTGTGCAGAAGATTCTTCGCCTAAATATCTGGGCTGAAGATTCATTTTTAATTTCATTTACTGTCTTCATATTTTACAAGATCTTCTCCTACTGTTCATGAAATTTCCTAGAAAAAAAATCACACAATACATAAACGGGGTATAATCGTAAATATTTAAACAATGCGAAGCCGGGCCATGATACGAGACAATGGATTATCATGCGAATCACAAAAAAAATCACAAGAATAACATTTTCCTAATCGGCCAAATTGAATGAGAATCAATACGGTTGCATTTGTCTTTTTCTTTTTCCCTTTATGAAAAACACTTCTCTGACAAAATATTTCCATTATGCAGAATACACATCCGAATGTACTTATGCAATAGGCAGATTTTTCGATATAATTTGTATACTCTGTTCCTTTATGATTTTTTTAGTCTGCAGATTTATCAATTATTTGAAAAACAGATGATGTGATTATTTAGAGTCATATACTTTATACCCCCTTGAGAATATGAATATATATTCTACAATATTGATACAAAGTTTAATTTTTGGTGTTCACTAATGTATTAGACAGCAACATTTTGTCAACAAAATATGAAATCTAATGATTTGTTGACATGAATTGACAGAAATGTAAGACTTAAAATTCTATTTCTTTGGGCCTCACCTCTATATCTGCACCATATTTGACAACAAATTTAGGGAAAGGTTATTATAAGTAGTCATGAGTAATACCAGACCTAATATTCAATGTTTCTAAACCAATATTTCCAAGCAGTATCAAAATCCTGTTTCATTGTTGGCTTTCTTCTCTACACTATTCCATGTGCCTTTCGAAGCTGATATCGAAACGTATGCGATACCCGAATGGAGGAATTAGACGGGACAAAACTGGGGGACTAGCTATTAAGATATACAGCGATATAGATGCCGGTCAAACAGCGGCAAATCTCAGTTTTAATTACCATCCCAATCCGCGCTAGATACGCATAATGAGTTCACATGCCCTCGTATTCCCGAGCTAAACTAATAAGTCCATTGATTGTATTTGGGTTAATCATTTATTCCTCCTACGTTTCTGTTTGGAATATTACTATTTTTGCTGCCGTCAGAGTACCATGCATATGCCAATGCATGCTCTTAAAAGCGAAGTTTACAGCATTTACAGGCTATATACTTTATTTTAGATTTAATTTCAGGGGCTGTAAATTATCTCATCCGTCTGACATGAACAAAAAATCGCCAATCTTTTCCGTTACAAAATGCTGAGGGAAAATCACTTAGCTACCTCAAGGGAAATTTTTTAATTTTGTTGGTGTCCATTTTAAAACCACTGATATACAAATGAAAGTCCACTCCAAATAAGACATTCAAACAACAACAAAAATGTTTAAACTATAAAGTTAAACACTAAACACCCCCAATTCCATAGCAGATTCATTAAACCGTGACCATCAAAAGTCGTCTTGGGTCTGTATGTCATAGCGTGCACTTGGGCATATATAATTTCTATTCGGTAAAATTCTAAAACAAAATTTCTTAGGACGACTACTCAATGAAAGAATAATGCCATTTTTCCCATAGATTATTGAAAAAAGTATCATAATCCCTCTGTCCCAACGTACAAACATATATTTTACATTTTGCCCAGAATCGTAGTGGTCTCCATATTCAACATTAATAAAACACCTCATAACCTGCATAATATTTATTTTACATTTTTAATAAACAGCAAAATCATATAAAATAGATTTCCAGTCATTTCATCCGGTGATCTTAGATATATTAATATCTTTTACATGTATTTAAATTCTCAGAGAAGAAATCATTAGAATAATATTTCCACACACTGTACTAAATGAATCTAAATTTAATTTCTTAATTCAGCTAAAAGATATGACAGGCGTTCATATACCGGATACAATGATTTTAATGGATTTAATAAAATAATGTTAGGAACAGTAATTTTGCATGTGGTTCTTTTCGAAAACATAAGTAATATTTCATCTTCACTTTGATACAATAAATGACTACAGACGTTTTCTCCAGGAGAAACGATATTTATGTAATGGTTGGGTACGATATTCTTTCAATGACATTTAAAAAAAAGTTCTCTAAATGAGATGATTAAGCGATAATTCTGGAAATAGGTGTCAATTTTTGAGTAACTCAAAACATGTCATGAATTCACATACATGTATTAATCTCCGTAAATGTATACAGGTATCCATGTACCAATAGTGGTAAGGGTGTCATATTTTTAAAAAGAATCATTATCTTTTTCGATTTTATTGGAACTGAGACAGGAATATCATACCAATTGTGGAAAGATTACTCGTAAATATCTTTAATATTTGTAATCAATATTTCCTCACTTGGACCTTGTTTCTCTTTGAGGTTTCCATTTTGTATTTTAGATTATTTTGATATATAAAATATACTTATATAAATACATATCATATACATATAATTAGGGAGCCTTATATGGCTTCGCAAAATAGTCCTGATGGTATTTGAAGAAAGAAACTAGGATTAAGATTGTTATGATGAAGTATTTGACGGAAGAAGCCCTACACTTTTAAGGGATCGATTAATTTCGCATAGGTTATTCGTTCATTGGTATTTTTAATAAATTCGGGAAGTTAAATATTTTGAAATCTATTTCTTATAGGAAAGTATGAATGACGTTGATTTTAAAGGGGAAAAGCGTGTATCTATTTCAAACTTTTTCAAATATAAACGTCGACTCCGTAATATTTAAAAACTACGAGAATGAGTTTTGTTTTGAATAATAAAAAGAGCATTCTTTTTAAAGGATTCGGGGGACGAACAACACATAAAGGAAAAGGTAAAATCTTTCATTTGTACTTATTAAACACTCGTGATATCTAAACTACAAGTTTCTATGATTACATAGTCGAATTTGTTTTTGAAAAATAAATGTAAGTTTCGCAAAAGCCCGGGGAATAAAATCTTACCTGGCCAGTTTGCCTTCCACATATGAGCATGAGATTTAGTAGTTTTCATCCATGGAAATTGAAGATTCTGGCCAACATTAACATTCTTGGACATCTTAGCTGAGGACATTGGATATTCAGACGCCATGGTGTAAAGTGGCTGGTGGCCTAGCTGCCCGTGGCACTGCCCCTGGCCACCGTTCATTGCGGGGTGGTGGGCCGCCATCGAAAGACCGTGCATTCGAGGATAATTCGGCTGCTGGGACCCGAGAGAATGTATAGGGAGTCCGTCGCACTGTTGTGACTGGCTACAAGCTTGCTGGGCCAGAGCCAGCGGCCTAGATAAGTCCTGAGGGTTCGTTGGAGAATGCATTGGCATTGTGGCGCCGTGGAGTTGGACGTATTGTTGTTGGAGAGCTAGCCCGTCATCTCCCCGCCCATCAGGTACCTGTAGACCGGTAGCTTGACCATACCCTGCGGCGTCCTCGTTGTGGATCGTTGGTTTGCTCTCATACAGACAAGAGGGTGGCTGGGGGCTATAGCTAGAGGGAAAGCTGCTAACTTCACCTGTGGTGATAGGTATCGGGAATTGTCCCTTAGGGATGTAGTGATAGTACGCGGGATTGTTCCCTTCCATCTCTATAGCTGATGCCGTGCACCTAGATGCGGTATGTTCCCCCAAAACGAGCCCTAAGCTTCCACCTCTCCGTCACGGGTAAATTGTATCAAGCTGGTCGTTGGATTGCAATTAACGCATCTAATGTCATCAATTACACGGCTTACGCCTCGATTAACTATCTGGTAATGATGAAGTAAAGTTTTCCGGAGGATTCTGCTCACCCTTGAACCCTCGCAATAAAAAAAATATAAAATCAACAAACCAAAAGACAACACGTGATTCTGACTGTGCCGTCTGCGCACAACGCCTCCTTCCTATATGGGTTAATATTTCGAAGTTTGGACAGACGGCGCAAGCTCATTGATATCACAACTCCTCGACGAATCTCTCTGGCTCGCTATAGCTAGCTGCGGGCGATACAAGATCTTAATAAGTCAGGAATGGTTAAACGTTAATAGTCCTCCCTTCTAAGTTAATCTCCATTGAGCGCTCGTGCGAGGTTTATTCAGTCCATTGGTGTAGATAGCCGAACACAAAAGTTAGGCCTATGCGTAAATTGAACAAACTTGCCTTTTCATCGCCTTGTTGTCAATTTTACAACTCAATCAATGTAACCATTTGCTATTCTCTGATTGGTTGGACAGAAATCGACAAAAGGAAGAGTGTCCAAGTGATAAAAGGTCAAACCTGTTCATGAAATGAAAGTGTTTATTTCGTAATGTGTTCCATGGTTGCCTCTCTCTCTCTTTTCTCTCTCTCGTTTAACCTCTTTCTTTCTATTTTGCTCCATGCTTCCCTTTCTCTCTCTCTCTCTCTCTCTCTCTCTTTCCTTCTTTATTTGTTTTCCTTTCCTGTTTTTTGTTTGTTTTGGTGTTTGAAATTAAGATGTTTTGGGACGAGAGATGCACTAAGTTTGTGTTACGGACCTTTTTCTCTTCTTCATCCTCTTCTTCTTTAACAAATACTATATAACTTATATTCAAATTTACAAGACTGTCGAGACCGCAGTTGCAACTCTTTAAGAATTCTGTAATGCTTTCTGCCAGATTTTGCTTTCCATCGTAGGCTATCCATTCAATTTTTGCTAGGGACACGCCCTTTGATCCCCAATGTTGCTTTTTTTAAATGCACTCTATAATAAAGGTCACTTAGAATTGTTGGCAGAATTTCCGTAATGTCACGTATGATATGCCTATTCTTTTAGTTAAAGTTATGAATGAAATTTGGAAAAGGAGCATCGAAATCATTGAAAAGCACAAAATGCTGCATTTATTCACTATATTTGAATTTGAGTTGTTGCATAGCCTCCGTAAATAATGTTAGGAGTGCTGAACACAGGATATTGATATTGCTTCACTATGAAAATGCATTTTGAATCAATATGTGAATGTGATGACATGCATACATTCTGTATTTTTTCTATGTGACCGCAGTGTGTAACACATTGTTATAAAGTGTGAACACACATAATAATAATAATAATAAATTGTTTCTTTTATAGCGCTATATCCAATTTACAACTGATCAAAGCGCTTTACAAAACAAATACATCAATGCATTAAAACTCAACAAAAATATGATAGAAAATGTAATGCACGTGACACACACTGTGTTAACAATGTGCACACAGGGTATTCACACTGTCAACACTGTGAAGGAAATCCTAGTAATCGAAATATTTTTATACTTACTCATTTAATAAAGAGTTTAAATGAAGTTAAAGGAAAATCCAACCTAATCATGTTCACACTGTGATGAATACACACTGTGATTTGTTTATGTGGCCACAGTGAGTAAAACATTTTCATAAAGACTAAAGTTCACTGAACACATACTGTGTTACATGTGACAGTGTGAACACCAGATGTTGGCATGTCTTCACTGTAAACGTGTTCTTAATCATCAAGTGGTAATATCGCGATGCATACACACTGTAACTTGCGAAGTGATCACAGCGTGCAACACATTCATAGTCTGAACACACACTGTGTTGAACAATGTGAACACAGTCGTAATGTTGATACTGTCTTTATTGTGAAAGTGTTCCGGATCATGTTGTCACACTAATATGCATACACACTGTATCTATATGACCACAGTGCACATTGTGTCACTGTGTTACGTCAGACCACCGTAAAGTGTGTCACACTGTGTCCCACAGCCTTTGGAACTTTCATTACACTACTTTGCTACAATTTTTCTTTTAGCAGGGAACACGTACATTTAAAGGATGAGTAAATGCCTTGATAAAACGATACCAACCGAAAAGATCACAGCATACCAATACTATTTTCTCTTCACACTAGTCAAAATAATGTTTTAAAAATCTTTAACAAGCTTGCATGTTCAAATCAACTATTTCTGCTTTACGAACACGGACTAAACGTTTTTCATATTTTCCTTCATCTAATAAAAAAAAAATATCAATGTAGTTCCAGTTCACAATGTCACAAGTAACATCGACGACTAATCATCAACTTATTTGGCCACTCGGTAAATTCACGTTTGACCCTAGTTTTCCGACTAAAATTGATGGTTTTCCCTTCTCGATGAAACAAGAAAGAAAGAATCGAAAACATTAATATAAAATATCTTTATCGTACCCCCCCCCCCCCCACACACACATCTTTCTCTCTCTCTCTCTCTCTCCCTCGTTATTTCGCTTCTTCACTCTCGCTCGATCCCGTCGTCAGTATTTTCTTCTGAGTTCTCTCTACATTACAAAATAGGGAGTGGCTTTGGATACAAACTTCTTTACTTCAAAGAGAAAGTGAAAAGTTGTGGCTTTGTCCCAAATCTCCGCAAAAAAGGAAATCCACAATACCTCAGTCACACCGCCAAATCTACTTTAGACCGATTCCAACCCAACCAATTCTTGGCCACAGATGTAATTTAATACTTTCGTTTTGTCTTTACGGTGTGACTAAGGTATGGGAGAGAGTGTATGTGTAAATGCAAATTAATTCAATTTTTTCCTTCTTCCTTTTATCAAAAAAAATAATAATTCAAACAATTTACTTGGTTTCTTATACAATTACTGGAGAGTGGAGACAGACGTTTACATAAGTCCCGGCCTTGCTGTCAAGTCTCCAAATACTTTCATTAATGTATACAATGTTGTTTAAAATGTTTTCCCCTTGTACTTCATGTCTTCCCCACTTGTGGTATTCTCATGTTATATATTGATACATGTATTATATTTTTACTTTTACTTGTTTGTTTTCCTTTGGATATATTAATAATGAAAGTATTGAAGAAAGTGAACTTGAATTTGATCTTGAAGGTATGAGCGGGACTATTAAAGATTAAGAGCGCAAAGATGGCGCTATTCTCCAAGAGAATCGACGACACCCCCTTGGTTATTAGTTTCAGTTTACAATTGATGTTCATGTACAACTATAAGTCTCTCTTCGAAGCTTCTTGATAAGCCTTTATTTTATCTGATATTTGAAGGTTATACAAATAAGAAAGGAGGTCAAATGATGAATACAAATGAATACAATCTAGATCTTTATTATAAGATACTTATAAATATTCAATAAACTATTCTAACGGTTTGCATCAGTATTCTGTTCCCAAGATTAAAAGACGCGTGATGACTCACTAGAAGAGTGGTCTCGTAACCGGAAGGTCCCGAGTTCGAAACGAAGTCAACGAGGTAGTGTCCTTTGGTAAGGCACTATTCCGACATAGTCCCCCGGAGAGGACTTAAACCCGTCTGTCCCCCGGTTGCTTACTTATAAGCAGGCTATAGCAGTCAGGTAACAACTGAAAAACACCATCAAACAAAGAAAGATGACCACGTGCAGGCTCATACCAGATAATATGGGATGGTATGCCTACTATATTCCGGAGCTGTCATCCGCTTTAGTCATAATGCAGTCACACCTGTCTATAGCGACCACCCAAGGGAAACACAAAAATGGTCTTCGTAGACAGGTTCCTTTAGGACATATTTCAATGAGAAACCATCTTCAAGGGAAACAAATAATGTGGTCTTTTTAGACAGGTGATGTTTGTAGACAAGTGGTCACTAAAGCAGGTTCGACTGTACATAATTATTATCAAAATAGAAAGTGCTTATTATAGCGTATAATTATTCGTTGAATTCTCTTTGCCCTATAGTTCTGATCATTTATGATTTATGAATGCATAATATTAAAAGAATATCAGTGTCGTTTCCATCAAAATATAAAGCCAGCCAACTCTTCACTAGGTGGGGGAGGGGGTGTACGTGGTTCCAGGGCGCGCATATTTGTGTACACAACTGTTTAGCCAGTTCAGTCAAATATACTGTGCGAACGACTAGAGACAGAGTCTAACATTGGAGCTGTACGTACATATAATAGTTTCTCCTTCAATCTATCCTCTTCTCTTTCGTTATGTATTTGTTTGTTTTTCCTTGAATCTATCCTTTTCTCCTTCGTTATGTATTTCTTTGTCTAATATTCTTTGATCTACTAGCTTTTCTCTTTTCCAATGTCTTTATTTCTTTTTCGATCTATCCACTTAATTCTCTTTCTTTATGTATTTCTCTGTTTTATTTCCTTGAATCTATCCTTTTCTCCTTTAATTTGTTATTTCTGACTTGTTTAAAACAACATGCAATACAATTATTGTATTGCATGTTGTATAACAGATTTAAACTTTGATTATCAATACACCCCGCCCCCCTCTTTTTTCCCCTTGGAAACATTCGTCAGGAAGCGTCTCAAGAGGGCGTCATCAACAATTACGCGCGGAGGTTAAATTTGTTTCGATGTCAATATTAATAATCAAGGAAATATCATAAGAATATGCGCTATGCCAGTGGCGAAGAAGAAAGGAAAAGCGTCGAAGTCTGGGAGGAGATCTAAAAAGAGAGGTAAAGATAATCGACGTTAATCACGTTTCCGATGTATGTAATTTTACATGATAATGTCAAACGGTTTCTACGTCTGTAACTGTATTGTTGTAAGAAAAGTTTATATCAGTCCCACCTAAATAGTTTTGTGTTGTATTATTGTTGAATGTTGGATTAACTCAATCGACGCGACGAAAACGGTAAAAATGGCGCCGAAGTGCGAGTGCGACCGTTAAGCATGGTGGGAGGATGAGATCGTTGCGCTATTACACCTCATACAAATAGTATACATAGGCCTACTTTACAAATATTTGCATGAGGTGTAATAAGTAAGGGTCGTTCGCATGTTCGCTGATAATTCTGATTGCCGATCCGCTCGTTGGCGATGCAAAAAAAGGATTCTGCGATGCATTTCACATTGATTTTGTACATAGACTTTCATGTTATGAGCGAAAAAACTTTGGAAAGACGGATAACCCGTTAAAGTAAAAGGTGAACTGAGGATATTTTATTACACAAAATCTGTTTTTTGGAATTGCCAGCAGGCGGATCGGGAACCCGAAACCTGCAGAGCGCCGAAGAAAAAACATCCGTGAAAATGCAGACGATCCTTATTTTTTAGGATGCATTTTTTCCGCGTTTACGAGGATATCTACGTCTATGCAGACAATCCTCATTCTCTGACCAGCTCCCCTACTGGTACTGGTCATATTAAACCGAAGTTCCTAAACACGTGTCTTTATTCAGGTCCCAAGGAAGATGTAAAGTCATCTACCAGTCTCCCTCCTGCTGTAGAGGGTCCTCTCAGATGCTTCCTCAGGGTAGCCATCGCCAAGGTAACATGGACCACACCCAAGCCTCCTGATGCCACCTATGTAAGGTTGAGATGGTGGGGAGAAACGTCCAGTGGAACACTCTTCAGGTGTGTTTGGTATTTTATCTTCAAAGGATTAAGATTTAAAATGCGTTGAAACTGGAATGAATGACATGTGTAGTGATGTATGTGATTAATCCAAGAAATACTTTTAGGACTTCCCAATATATTTTCACTTGCATCACTCAACATTCTTGAACTGGTCTCATGACATTAATCGCTGATCATCTAAATTATTCAATACAATTGTTCAAGTACAGGGTACTACAATATGGCTAATTACCTGGCTCATTTATATGTACCGGTAGTTTTCAAAACCCATGATATTTTATGACAGGAGCTCATCATATTAACGTAGATGTTATTCTTTATGTTATCATAACATGTTTAAATTATGCAATACAATTGTTCAAGTACTACAGTAGGGCTTTTTTTTTTCATGAACATTTAGTTTCCAAAACCCATGATATTTTATGACACAAGGTCATCATATTAGATCATATTCTTAATCGTATTTTTGATCATTAAATCATATTCTTAATCGGGAGTGCCCGGAGTGTCACGAGCACTATACAAGAACCCGCTATGATTATTATTATTATTATTCATGATATTTGTTCATTCTTGTCATCCTTGTCTCACTCTTCCAGGCCTGTAGATGGCAAGAACCAGGGAAAGGCAGAGAGCCAGACAGTAGCTCGATTCCCTGTACGATGTGGACCAAAGCAGTTTACAGCTTATCTCAATGATATCCTTATCGTAATAATTCAACATCAAGTGCCATAGCTGACAGGATTTCTTATGCATTTACAGTCAAACCTGTCTATAGCGACCGCCCAAGGAAAACACAAAAAGTGGTCTTTGGAGACAGGTTTCTTTAGTACATGTTTGAATGAAAAACCGTTTTCAAGGGAAACAACAAAAAAATTGATCTTTGTAGACAGGTGGACACTAAAGCAGGTGTGACTGTATATATCAACTGATGACTGTTTAGATGTCTAAGTGAATAATGTCAATTTCAGAATAGACATGTTCAAGAGTTGTACATGTATCACTATGAATATGACGCACAAAGAAAGCGGACAAAATATACAGTTCCTCAGGTAGACAAAGGAACATCCCTTCACTGCTATTATGTAAAAAGGTGAATATGCATGTGACACCTGTTCTACACATTTTCACATAATAGCAGTGGACGGATGTTCCTTTGTCTACCTGAGGAACTGTATATTTTGTCCGCTTTCTTTGTCAGTCATGTTCATAGTGTATGTATTGTTATCTTTAATATTGGCAGCAATTGTTATTTCATGTGAGTTAAAATTGAGATCCACAATGCCAATTTGTATGGGAGAGTTATATTAGAGCTGTCTTTGTGTTGCCAATTTAAAAAAATTCCAATGCTCATTTTCATATAAAAATTCATGTTCACAGAAATAAATCCTGCAATGATTTGTTGCTAGTTCTGCCTATGCCCTTTTTTTAAAAGGATGAAATATCATAAATGTACCACAACATGCACATTGTCATATAAGATCATCTTGACAGAAAATAAGTCTTACAATGTTTTTTGCTATTTCTGGCCATGCATCTTTTTCTATTAAATGATGTATATACCACAGTATGTGGTGCTTTGTTGCTGACTGATTCATCATCATCATCATCATCATCATCATCATCATCAAGTGCCAGGTCTGTTGCAGACATCGGCGGTCAGGGCCATCCATTTCTGTCTGTCTGTCTGTCTGTTATCTTAAAACGCTTGTATTGCTGATTTCATTTTGATTGTCCATTTGTTCAGGCTTTGCAAATGTGTGATGTTTTGCCTTCTCCTGCTTCTCTTTCCAGCAAATCTTCCCCGTTAATATTGTTTATTCTAGATTATCCTTCCTGTATATGTGACCCAAAATTGCATTTGCCTCCTTTTTATTGTGTTGATGAGTGATGGTTTTACTCTTGCTTTTCTGAAACACTTCTTCATTTGCTATCTTTTCTGTCCATGAGATAACTCATAATTTTCATAGTGTAATTCATAGTGTTTCACAAAAAACCTAAGTCAAACTTAACTCTAAGTTGGACTTTAACATAATGGAGAGCCATTCGTAGCCTTAAAATATACTCAAAAGCGAAAATTCAAGTATTTTAGACTTTTTATAAATTCCACATCAAGAACATGAAATCTCTTTGATAATAGAAAATATAAATGATTTGAATCAACATTTCATGCCTTTTCATATACCTTCTACAAAATATTTTCATAGATGCTAACAGCTTTCCATAATTGTTAAGTCCAACTTTGAGATAAGTTCAACTTAGGATCTTTGTGAAACACTCCCAGGTCAATGTAGCCAATGTAGACCTTTCTTAGCATATCTGTAATCCTTAACTGATCTGTGTGTACATATGGGCAGTATAAGTGTTGATGTCCTCAGAGGTTCCTCCATGGTTGTTGCAGGTAGAGCTCAAGTCAATGAAATCAGTGTTATTTCACCACAGAAACCCATCAGTGGGTAAGTATTAGCATCTTCATAGTCATTTAAAGCCATGTACATGTTATGTAAAGCCCCCCCCCCCCAAAAAAAAAAATATATATATATATATATATATATGTGATGTCTGATTTCCTTCGATTAGTAGCAATATTTTACATGATTTTTAATTGCTGCATAATAATTTTATTTCTTTAATTTTTTTTTAAAAGTGCAAAAATTAAGCAAATTGATCGTGAATAATTGTTCTAAACATCCAGCTGTGTTATAGATTGGCTTGTAATTTACTGTATTTCGTAATTGTTGTGTAATCTTTAACAGCGAATTTGGTTCCAAATGGCATTATAGAATTTGTTCAGGTGCTCAATAATGAAAGTATCACACTGCTTTTCTTCAATATTATAATCCTCACTGTTACTTTGATTTTGCCACCCATTTCAAGAACAAAGCACCATGAACACATCTGCAAAAGTCAAATCTAAATGAATGATATAAATTAATTTTATCCTCGCCTTATAGGACATATCCAGTATTCTCAGCGAAAGATTCCCAGAAGATTGCAGAGGTGCATATTTCAATGATGTTTGAACCTCTCATAAGTGAGTACAAATGGGTCTTAGGAGTACATGTACAGTCAACAACAGAATTATTCATACCCCTTGTAAATGTTATGTTCTTTGTGTTTCTTCATAACTCCAAAATCAAGGGTGGACTGGTTGAATTAGGGCTTTTGATGAATAATGTTAGATGTAAGTTTTAATGTGTCACAATCTTAAGAAACATTGATTTGGATAAATCAATTTTTCATATGCTTATTATTTTATAAATAAAACTTGATAAGGGTATGAATATCTTTAAAATATTAAAATATATTTAAATCATTATTGTCAGCAAGGTAATCACTCAAAGACTTTCTTATAACATACAGATATGCAAGTTTTCAGGCAATAGCCTGAATTCAGGCCCTGGTGAGTTATTTTCAGACCATAGGCCTGATTTTCAGGCCCTCTGATGAATTCTTACTGGCATCCCTGTAACATAAAATGTGTAGGTAAGTGCAATCATTTGATTAATAAACATAGCAGACAGTGGTGAGAAGACTGGTCAAAATCTTAATTTAATCTAATTCTTAACATGCCAATGTATTTTCCCAACACTTTACACTATGTTTGGGAGAAATGGACCACACTCTGATCCTTGTAATCATCACACAATCATCTTTTTAAATCCTTGTGTCCTTGTTCTTCTCTGATAGCATCCTATGATAGCTCCAGCTCCATGCTGACGACAGACGCTAGTATGAGGGCGCCCTCTAGGGCCACTGATCAGGACAGTGTCCGTTCTAAGACATCTCATCGCTCCACCTCGTCCCACGACTCCTCCAGATCGGGCAAGAAGAAGAAGAAGATATTTCCTGGTTCCAGCTCCACTGAGGGGCCGCTTACATCAGGCAATTCAAAGGTTGACTTTCCTGCTTTATTTGTTGTCAGTATGAAATGAATTACGTTTGTGTTGTTTTGTTTGCTGATTTCTCTCAAATCGCTTTGAAATTAAGCTGTAGATAATATATCCAGGGGAGCTACATCTCTATTTATGTCCAAACATCTGGTTAAATTTTGATGAATGCTTTACCCAAGGCCAGGGTCAGAATGGGACTCGGTGTAAAGACAATAGCTTGGTAGAGTATTCCAGAGTATATTTGCATACGCATGTGCATGTGGATTGGATGCAAGTGATTACAAGGACTTCACTCACCCTGATCACAATATTAAGGGTCATTTCTAAACTTGGGTTCATAATATTCAGAAACTCATTCACAAATAGGACATTTTTAATTTACTACTGCTCATTCATTTGAGATCTGGGACGCGTTTCGAAAAGCCTTTTTTTCAATGACAAATGACAAAAATCAGTGACAAATCTGCTGATGACCAATCAGAAATAAGGATTTCACGAACTTATCAACAAAATCTGTCTTTTGTCACTGATAACAAGTTTTGTGAAAAGGGGCCCTGGTTTAATTAGGAATTAAGCTACTAGAGAACCACTTTGACCGTTTCCCAAATATAAATGTTTCTATAGTATTAAGCATCACAAATAAACCTTTCTGCTGCTCATTCAGGTTCACTCTGATGCCATGTCAAGAGATTTTGAATCTGATTACAGCAATGTGATTGGTCACCCATCAAAACCTTCAGCCCAGACTGGTCACATGATGTCATTGGATGCCAAACAAGGTGAAGTTAAAAATAGCTAAAATAGTTGATAGCTACATATCTTTTTGCATCTTTTTTATAAAAGTTAGTATTAAAGATGAAGTAGGTGCCTTTTTTTCCTTCTTCTTTTATTGTAGGAATGGGTAGCCAGACTACAGGTTGCTCGCACATGCTTTCATAAGAAAAATATGATCTGCAGGGTAAAACTGTGTGTTAGATAATGAAATTGGCATTTTGCATGTTATGCATATCACTCGATTTGAAGCAAATATCAGATAATTAAGCTAGGGAGTGCTGATCCATTGATGTTGATACCAGTATCAGGCCTAGAAAATATGGCTTTTTAGAATTCTAGAGATAGGATGCAAGTAAATGTGCAGGATATAGTTAGAACAGGATTGCTTTCTTTATTTCCCTCAGACCCATCGAGGAGACCCCTCTCCACCTTACCGATCACAAGCAACACGAGATCGCTACCTGCTCAGCAGATGGGCAACACTGTCCCAGACAGACTAAACCCCGATCTCATCTCAGCCTTGCTTGATAGAGGCAAGAAGCTGAGGGATGCTATGATCAAAGAAGAGATAGGCCACCACTCTTCAAGAGGGAGACCTCCTGTAAACCAGGGGACAGAAGATGTGGGAATGAGAGAAGTTGCTGAAGGACAGAGGAGATACAGAAGGTATGAAATGTTGATGCAATTCCAAAAAAGAAAATAATCATAAATCTAGATTTGTTGGTATTTAGGGTTCCTGTCTATCCTTGAAATCTGAAAAAACCTGGGAAATAAGTTCCATTTGTTTTCCAGTCAGGGAAAATCAGGGAATATTAATTTTCTTGAAATACTGAGAACACTGGTGTTGATGTTTTAGATGTCAGTTCGGGAGATTGTTAGTCTCAGGGCAGATGTGAAGTGGTGTTTTGTTGTGTTTTGATTTGTGAGATGTATTAGACTCCCCATGTATATGTATAGACAATAATGATTATTGAATAGTGATTTACTCATATATTGCTGTTGATCAGTGTAATCCTTTTCCTCTCTGATAACATCCTAAGATAGCCCATGCAAGCTCCCTACCAACATCAGACAACAGTATGATTTCATTGGCTGAGGCAATGATTTGGGAGGGATATCTGAGTATTAAGAGCAGCAAGAACATTGTGTGGTAATCTTACAATACAAAAATTTGAGGAAAGTACTTGCAACCCTTAACCTTACCTTTTACACCATCCCACCCTAAACTTATTAATACAATGCCAAAGTCAGTTGCACAAACATCTTTATTCTTCTTTTTAGGAGAGGCTCATCTGGTGAGCTCTTCCGTGAGATCCTTCATGGAGAACGAGATGAAGTCCCAGTAAGGGATGACGATCCCACAGTTACCCTTGGCAAACCAGATGATTATGATGATGATGAAGATGCTGATACAGAGAACAGAGCAGTTGAGCTCCTTGTGGGAGACGTGCTCAGTGCTAAGGATCTCAAAAGCCTGAAAGCTCTACATGTAAGTTGTAGATGGGGATAAATACACCTTTTGACATCATACGCATTGGATCTCTTATTGACAGATTAGCACATTAGCTGAACAAGACATGACTGCTGCTACATGTCAAAGATAATTATTTTGTCTTTATGCACCAATTTATCACGAATGTTACTGTATGCTGGAATTATACATTTACATATATTTCTGTTTGGGTGGGGCATTTTGTTTGTATCGCTCTTGCACTGTAACCTTTGTTAGTGTGTACAAGATGAAAGATTTGATAACATTTTGCAGAACTTTCATACACTCTGTTGTAATAGATATTCTTTTGTGTGTTCATCCTCCTATCAGTCTGGGGTTTCCCCTCCAGCGAGCCTATCTTCTCACAGTGATGATGTCTACAGCGAGGATGAGGACCCTCTCCATGACAACAGCATCCTGGAAGAACTCTTCTACAAAGGAGTGGTATGATTGAAAGTGATCAGAGATTTATGTATTGTATAGAGGGACAGTGAGAGAGGGAGGGAGGGAGGGAGGGAGGGAGGGAGGGAGGGAGGGAGGGAGGGAGGGAGAGAGAGAGAAAGGGAGAGAAGACCTTTATAGTGGCAAAAAGGATTAAGTATTATACATTAGTCACATTAATGAGACCGATACCAGACCGACTACAAACCCAACGACCAATTACGATACCCCCAATGGTTAAAAACAGCCGGTTTGGAGTCGGTCTTTGTTCAGTATGGTGGTGTAAATGTGGTATAAGAAGAATGAAATGATCTATGAGACAAGGAAAGAAAACAAGCATAGCATGGAAAGGAGGAAGAGATGAGAACAGGAGTATGAATAACCAGTTAAAGGGGGTGTAGCATGATGAGACTACTTGTCTTTCCTGCGGCCTGACTCGGGGGCCAATCTGGTATAATACGACTACGGACGACGCGACATACACAACTAAGGACGTTGTGCGACATACGCGAAACCGAAGCGTGAGGAGAACTTAGGTCTGTTTTTTGTTAATGCTAGCGATGGTGTTAACCAGTATTTGCCATGCTACACCCCCTTTAAGTTAAGTGAATTTCATGTTAAGAAGATATTGAGATCAATGTCCTAAAATGAATAAGTGTAAGTGCAAGAAGTATATTGAACAGATGAATGCAAATTTGTGTGTATTTTATTTCTGTACAGGCAAGCAGCAGTGATGAGAGCCTGGCTGATCTATTAGACTCAGATTCAAGTGATGATGTGGAGACTCATACCGTAAGTTGTTCCATTCATTCTTTGTATTTGTATAAGTCAATCTCAAGAACCAATTTACTCCAGCAACCATCAAAGAAATAGTCCCTCCACAATATAATGAATGTGGCTGGTAAAGTGTCTCAAAACTATGCAACACAAACTGATTGCATTTTTCTAAGCAGTGAATATTTCAAATTTGATGTTCACACAAGAAGTGGGTTTTGAATTACATCTGAATATTTGTTGCTGAAAAGAGAATGGAGCTTTATTTTAGGTCTTACTATTTAAGATAATACATCTTACATTTATTGATGTCATAAGTAGTATGTACAGCTTACTGTCCTGTTTGTAACTGTTTACGAAATGTGAAATGCAATACTGTCGTTGAATGGTAAACCCATCTTGTTATCAATTCAAACCAATATGTCATTTCATGTACAGGTACAGAGGACCAAACATGGCAAGACCCGGGATACTGCATCACCAAGACAAAAACAAGAGGATGCTAGCAGCAATGGTTACCTGGATACCAATACAGCAGATGATGCCAGCCCGAGGAGATCCAGAGCTGAGATGGAGGACGAGGAGGAGAGAGACCAATTTAGCCAGTCTTTGAGCGAATCTAGAACATCAGGATCACTATCTCTCTCCTCGTCTCGTGATGCAAGTTATCATCATAGAGGTAGAGTGGCTTCCTCTTCTTCTTTTTTGTCTTCATCTGTTTATTGTTGCTTTTTCCTTATTTTCCTCATTTACTTTTCTCACCATTGTTCATTTTTTTGCTTTAGTTTGTCTTCCATTATTTTGTTATCATATTTTCATTTATTTACTGCTGTGGAGAGAATGTTATGATAGGGGATTTCATTGTATGTTTTGTAATAATTTCCTGTTTCAAGCTGTTTCTCTTTACAAGACATACCAAACTCTGTATTTTACTTTTCCCTTTTTTAGAGTAAATATAAATTTGTATATAGGAAGAGGTGTTTAACATATAAAGCAGTGGTAGACTAATCTGTTTGGCCATTTATAAACTTGCCTTTAATGCAGAGACTGCTGGCACGACCAGGGCCGCATTTCACAAAACATGTCATCAGTGACAAATGACAGTTTTTGTTATAAGCTAGTAAAATCCTTGCTTCTGATTGGTTATCAGCAGGTTTGTCACTGATTTTTGTCTTTTGTCATTGAAAAAAGGCTTTGAGAAATAGGTCCCAGATGTCAGCAACTTTCTGTTGATACCTGAAGCTGCTATTGTTTGCAATTACACAATATATAGAAAGCTAAAATGTAGGAGAGTGAAACAAATGTGATTTACTTTGACTTTTTTAACTGAATGTTTTATTCTCTTTTTGAAGGTCACAGTGAGACTGACCCTGCCTCTGGCCTGAGTGTGGAGAGATTGACGCTCCTAGGGCGTGTCCATGTTGCTAGGGTAACCATCAATAAGCTCAATCTCCGATCAGAGCCAGCCAGTCGCATCCCAGTTCGGACGGGGAAGGGAGTGGATCAGAGAGGATCAAGGGGGATCAAGGGCAAACCTCCAAGACCATTAACACAGAAAAAGATGTGAGTACAGATGAGCTGACATTTGCTCCACCAATATTGGCTTTGATGACATTGATTCTGTTTTTTTGTTGTTCTCAAAGCTTGATGTGGGATTGAGTTTGGAGTTAGGTTTAGGGTTAGATTTATGAGTAGTATTTGGTGCTAGATTGAGGTTTGAAATTTGGTCAGTGGCAAGAATATAAGATAGATCACAGAGCAATGGTTGCCAGAGTACAGTCATAAGTACAATACTGTTCACAGGTGGTCCACAGTTCTGGAACAGAGGAGGTCCAGATGTGGACCAGAGATGACCCAACAGAAATTATGGTTTCATCCTCCAGCTTTATTTCAGTTATTGTTGTATATTAATGATAAATCTAAAGATTCTCTGGGATTAGGGTAATGAAGTAAGTTGAGAAATACGATTTCAAAGAGGGAAATCAATAAAATATTTGTTTTGAGGTTTATCACGTTACTCCTCAATGTGCACTCCATTTCTAGAACCTATTTTGTGGAGTACCAGTTCCCGGTGAGCGAGGCATCCAGTGGGAGGAATGGAGCATCATCTGGTTCCATGGCAACAGAGCTGATGAGAGTGGTCTCTAAGAAGGTTACCGGTAAAGAAGTATCCTTTGGACATCGGTCAGTGTTTCCGGTCCAGTTTGATGGTCAAGCGGTAGACAGGTGGTGGAAGCAACTCCTTGTCTTCAAGGTCTTCTCTAAGGTTGCAGGAGATAAACATGTAAGTGAGATCATAAAAGGAAAACTATTACAAAATTGGTGACAAAATGAAAACTAATTTTCACCTTCTATTCTAAATGAAGCATGCAGATATTCTAATTCATATATGTTGTTGGTGTTATTTTTCTGTTCTCTCATGGTGTGAGATGGTGTTCAAGTATAATACTATATGTTTTAAAAAGCGTTTATAAGTTTTAATGACTTTGATAATTTTTGGTATTTACCAGTAGGGGATGTCTATTTTTTTCTTCTTTTTTTGTGTTTACAACAGTCGCACATAGAATACTCTGAACAGTTAATAATTAAGAGAATATGTAATCACCCTTATTTCAGCAAAGAGCAGGCTGTGAAATGTACTTGAAGTTGAAATTTACTTTATATTATTGAATTCCAGCCCACCATTCTTGGAGTAGCCAGTATCCCTCTGAGGTCACTCATTCAGAGTTCAGACCTGGTGACCATCTCTGATCTACCGGTCAAGGATAAGACTTCTCCATCTAGGACTGCTGACCAGGACAGCAGTCAGAGAGGGAACATGATTGGTCTTATTTCGGTAAGGTTTTATGAAATACCTTGATTGTTGACAAATGTTTTAATATCATTGATTTAAAACATGTTTGAATCATGAGACTATGCAAATTAGCAAAACAAAGATGTAGTAAATGAATAAATATTTAAAAACTTTTTTTTTTTTTTGGGGGGGGGGGTGTTTTTACTTTGTAAACCCCATGCAAATTAGTTCTTGAGCTGCCATTATGTAATACAATTTCAATTAATCAAAATGTGGCATGAAAATTAGGAAAAAGCAAAACATGCATGTACCATGTAGCCTATAAATTATATTTTACAATCAGTAGGTCATTACAAGGATGAGTTATCCTGTTTCCTGGAATGAACACCTAAATATGATACTTTTGATCGCCCTGTGATTTAGGAACTTAATAAGGTACACCCAATTTTATTGTGTGTGATGTCTTTCCTTCACTGGTAGAAGAAGTTGGTTTGTTCAAATGCTAATTTTGCATTTATTTGAATTTCTTTTCAATTGCTCTTTACTTATAATTGCTGTATAGGTGAGTATGGAGCTTGCATCAGACAGCAAGGATTTCGCCTCGGCTTTAGCCAAAACCAGAGTGGCCGAGATGCAGGGGACAAAGATTGTACCCCTCCCCTCATCGGACCCTAGAGCGGGGCTAGGTCATCTCACAAGGCAGGCATCACCTCCATCATCATCATCCAAGCATGCTTTGCCAGGCAGACACCAGCAAAGGGATGGAGATCAGTCTAGGACGGTTGGGAGGTCATCAGCTGTGATTCAGTCTGGTCACTCAGGTTTGTTTGCGTGTGAAAAGACACAGTGGGAAATATGTGCAAACCCTTCTTTAGAAAACATCTCACTGTTGATTATTTGAATAAAACTATCAATGTGGACAGGCATCATTGGCTTATTAGAAATGCTGGGGGAGGGGGGGGGGGGCAATTACTCAGTTTTACCATAAGTTCCATGCATTACACATATGGTGTTCATTCTATTTCTTTCCTATTTCAGTGACTCCCAGTAGTAGACGATCTTTATAATACTACTAAATAACAAGTGAATAATATATATATAGTTCTTTTTTTCCCTCTCATTTGTAGGAGCAGACATTGGCCATTCAGAAGCAGAAACTACCCAAACCACCAAGACAAACAGGGAAACAACTCCAAAGCATCAAGATGGCTTTGAGGTTGGTTACAAAAATTTGCTTTTTTTTCTTCTTCAAATTTTGATATTTGCCTCATGGCATCTAAGTTATCTTTTGTGCATGAAGATACTTGATATATTGAATTATATTCCATATACTAAGAATCTTGCTCTACGATTAGTCAAAAGTAAATCATGTGATGTAAGATAGTATATGGGCGAACTATCTTACATCACATGATTTACTTTTGACTAATCGTAGAGCAAGATTCTTAGTATATGGAATATAATTCAATATCATTGATGGGAGAAGCAAAGTTCGTTGCACTGTGTATATAGTAGTACTATCTACACAGTGCAACACACTTTCATTGAAGATAGAAGTACTATCTACACAGTGTAACACACTTTCTTGTAATACGTTGCGTATGCTCTCCTCTTTATAGTGTTAGTACGCGAACTTTGGTCATGCGCGAACTATGGTCACACCACCATACTGCATGCACTGTATGTATCGCGTTTGCTAGCTGTTAATAAATCACTTGTTACTCTAAAATGACGGAAGAAGTGAATGTTTCCGATGTGGAATATAAAGCAAATAATCACCTTTTGGTTTCAGGCGATGGCAAACTATCACTTCCTCGGCGATATGAACATATACGTTATCTTTCCACAGCTTCGCTTTGGAAAGATAGCTACATCCAGATCGCCTCAGAAGGGATAGTTTGTCCCATCACCTTCACCAACGGTAATTATTTGCTTACTATCTTATATATATATTTTTGTGTATCACAGATTATGATATTTTTTATCTCCTATGAGATTGAGTTTATTGAATCATCCACCCATATTTCTCATGATTAAATCATTATCCTTACCAGGCCCTAACTCTCCATTCTTTGCTGTATGTAAGAGAAGGTCACCTTACCACCTCATCTATACCAGGAAACACTATGCCTAGACCCCACCCTCATCCTACTCTACAGTATTCCTCAGGTGAGTTTAGGTAGTGTGAAAACAAATGATGACATATTTAATAAGGAATACATTGAACGCACACTGCTATGTGTTTGAAAAGGTTTTCATTAAAAAAAGTATAGTAAATTTGTACTGACAAATTGTGAATAGGACTTTCTGTGCATATATACAATTACTAATCTACATTGAAAAGAGTTTATAGATATATTATTCATTCTGTCTTTAAAAAATGAAATTCATAAAATATGTATGATTTCAGTGATTAGGATATATATCTATGATGCAAGAAAACATTCTTATTCTGTGTAAGCTTTTGTAATAGACGAGAAAAAATTACGATTCTTTCATATCACACAATTAACGATACTGTATTAGCTATTGGTGCCCAGACGTGCTATGTGATGCAAGATATGAATAAATTATCAACAGGTATTTCCTTCTTCTGTTGTCTATACCAATTATATATAGGAGGAAGAGACAGAGTGGTGAATAACACTTACTTGGTTGGTCGTATGTTCTGGTTGGATGATGCAGCTAGGTCTGATGTGTGTTGGGGTACCACTCAACCCGACTTTGACTTTGTGCAGGTAATGAATGGATTCTCTCTCTGTCTGTCTGTCTCTCTCTCTCTGTGTATGTCTGTGTGTCTGTCTATCTCTCTCTCTCCCTCTCTCTGTCTTTCTATCTTTCTTCTCTCTGTCTTTCTCTCTATCTCTCTCTTTTGAGGGGGGAGATGAAATACATCCATTCCTCTCAATTTATTTTCAACTTCCGGAAAGAGACAAAGACAGGAAGAGGTTTAGACAACGAGAATATATGTACATTGCAAATGAAAGATGTATCGAAAGTTTTTAAGGAGAAAGGGAGGGGATGAATGAAAGAAGATAGAAGATGAAGAGGACTTCCAGTTTTAAATGAGAGATTGAACCAAAGGAGAAACTTGGAGAAGAGACACATAAGAACGACTATAAATGTTTTCCATTCTTTTCTTTGATTATTTAGGTATCTCCAGTGCTTCTCACACAGTCGCTGCTTGAGAGAATGAGGAATAATTTCACCGTGATTGAAGTCTGGGATAAGAAGACCTCTGCTCAACATGACCAGGTAAGTTCATATAAAAAATATAAGGGCCAAATGGTAGACTTGGTCCATATTCTTAGCTAAATTTGGAGGTCTTTAATTCCAAGCAGGCCTAGGGGGTGTTTCACAAAGACTAAGATCGATTTTAAGTTGGACTTAACTATGGCAGGCCATTCATGCCACTGGTTGCTCTCACCATTACGATCTTTAGATAATATTTTTTCCTTCAATAATGAATTTTCAAAAAATGTAAATTCTGTAGATCATTGTGACCATGATTTGTACGTCCCTTGAGAGACCAATGCCAGTAAATGGTGAGAGCAAACAGTGGCATGAACGGCCTGCCATAGTTAAGTCCAACTTAAAGTCGATCTTACTGTTTGTTATTTCACAGATAGTTTCTTTTGTACAAGTATATTAAATGGATAATATTAGATTTTTTTGACATTTGACATTCACATTTCAAGATCGTCTCCCTGAATTTTCAAGCTTTCTTTTAATCTAAAGAAGTATGATTCAATCTTTTTTTTACCTTCATGTTATTGTATTTTATGTTATCTAGTTACTTGGTATTGCCAAGCTCCCCTTACATCAGCTCTACATGTCGTACAGAGATCAGAGAATCGGCAAGACATTACTCAAGTCCCAGGTAGGTGTGCTTAAACTAAACCAGATCTTGTTTTTTAGACCAGTGACTTTAACTATGAAACAGACACATATACATGTACACCATCTTTAGTGCAATTCCATAATTTACATCTTCTAGCTTTACAAAATTATCAATATGACCTAGAAACATTTGATGTCACGGGAATGACATATATATCTTGTAATTGATGAAATATTTAATGAAACAATAATATAATTTGTGTGCCTCATCCAATAAAAATTAAAACACTGCATTCTGGTATTTTTACCTGGATTTATATACCAAGGCTCTCAAATTTGTATAGTGTGAAACTGATAAATCAAGGAATTAATTATGTGGTGAAGTGATTTTTAACGGGAGTGGGAATCCAATTATTTAGACATAAAGAATTGATGAGTCTTTGTTAAGAACATTTATATTCCATAGTACTTTATGGACCAATATCTGAAATATAAACCTGTACTACAAACCTATTTTCTCCTTTGACTTTTTAGTATCCTGTGGTGGCTGTAGACAATGAATTGCCTATCACTGACCCTTTCACTGGTCAGCGATGCGGACAGCTGACCATACTATTAGCTCTAGGATCTCAGCAACAGGTAAGAGAAATGCCTACTCAGGGCCCTGTCTTATCAACAGTTGCAATTAATCGCAACATATTTGTGACTGTTATCAATCACAGCTATGTACAGAAGAGACAGAAGACTGTAAACTTGTGTTTGATTGGAGTACTCGCGTTTGGTTAGGATCAATCGCAACTCTTTATAAGACGAGGGCCCCGGTCTCACTTTGGAAGATGATATACATTGATTATAATCAACTGTACTTGTAGAGTATTCAATGGTGTAGATAGGTGAGATAGGTGTCATTTTCAGAAAGCTGTGATAAAGTACACTGGTTTTTCTTGCTTGTTCTAACAAAATTTCTCTTTGCATGTTAAAAGGCAGCATTAGCCCTTTCTTTAATCATTAATTCCAGAGCAAACAATGTTTGATACACTTGGTATCTAATGTTTCACAAATCTAAGAACTGGAAATTATAGCTAGCATGGCAATTGTTCATATGGCATTTAGGTTGACTGTAGATTGTCTGTTTCTCTGGGTAGGCTATTGTCCAGGGAGTAGGAATAGTTTTTTCCTAAAACAGAATTTGGTGTATATGAAACCATATACATACTATAGTACTACTACTTTTTTCTCTCCAGGTTTCAGCATTGCAGAGGTTGAAGTCCATCAGACGAGATGCTACCGATGTACCAGAGAGACCAGTGCGCTATGGAGAGAGGTATTAAATATCCTTTATATTACATCACATAGTTTGTAATAAATGAAATTATTGCATATTACATTTTTAATGAAGAGTATGATAATCTAAATCAATTATAATCTAAATCAAGTATCGTTTTTGTCATATTGTAATTTCTATGCTATACATGTACATGATCCATGTTTATCAGAGTTTTCCCATAGTCTAAATCATGGAAGCAGTAGTTTGACCTTTATCTTGTCTTTTTGCAGAGCTCACGTTCATTCTGCTGACCAAGAAGTGGAAGACTCGGGTGCAGGTGAGACACGTCACTTGTTTTGACATTGGGGTAGAATATCAAATTTATCTTAGTATCGTCTGAATTTGATAGGAATTGATAAAATAACATCTGTTCCTGTGTTGAAAGTAACAATGTTTTGTTTGAGAGATATCACACATTGGATTATACTGCTTACCCCTCCCCCCACCTTCTTTCTCTCTCTCTTTCTCCATCTTCTCCAAATTCCCCCTCTATTTTTGTCTGTGTATCTTCTCTGTCTGTCTCTCTCTCCCTCTCTCTCTTTCCTCTGCCTGTTTGTCTCTGTCTATCTGTCTGTATGTCTGTCTCCTTCTCTCTCTTTCTCTCTGTTCTCTCTTTCTCTGTCTCTCTGTCTGTGTAACTGGCTGGCTCTCTATGTCTATTTCTCTCTCCCCTCTCCCTCTCTCTCTCTCTCTCTCTCTCTCTCTCTAGCTCTATCCATCCATCTTTCCCCATCTCCCACTCACTTTGTATATTTATTCCCTTTCTGTAATACAGTTGAGCATGTGTTTGAGGTAGTGATAGAGGGCATCCAAGGCCTCCCTCAGCTGGAAGACTCTGTATGGGGAGAAGCAGACTGCTTCATTCAGTATCACTTCCCTCATCAACAACAGCAGCTACAGCAACAGCAGGAGTTTGGAGGACTGATACAAGACAGTAAGTCATTATTTCGACATTATATTTCCATTTAACTTGATGATTTTGTAAAAAATTTGGTACAAAATTATTTTAGAGGCAATGCAGATAAGTTGCCACATTTGCAAGTTCATCTTTTTTGTTTGAAATGCAAAGATGAATCAATGAAACAGATGTGTCATAGTTGAGTGGTTAGAACACTTGGCTTGAAATTTGAAGGTCATGGGATAAATCTCCAGCATGAGACAAAAGTCTTTTGCATAATATCACTGTACATTTTACCACTCTCAACCCAGGTTAGTTAGCATAAGAGTCCCTGATACAATTTGTTCCCTGTAATGCACTTTGTGTTTCAAACCATGCCAGTATAACAATTAAGGAAAGGGCATATTGACGATTCAGTGTGCTGTTTGCACACCATACCAAAATATCCTTGTTATTTTAACTGTGTTCTTAATAAGAATAATATGTACATTTATATAGCGCTTAATACTACGTTTCTAAGTGCTTTCATTGTAATTATTAAGTATTCAGTTTGTTTCAAGAACCTTTCAGTCAGAGGTTTCTAGAGGTACCTCTTTTTTATGCCGAGAAAGAAATACAATTCAGATTAATCAATATTGAATTTTTTGATTGCATGGAATTGATTTGAATTGACTCTATTCACCACTTTCATAATAACTTTTCATTTTTATTTATACAGGTAGTCTAACCCTCAGACCTCACCGTACTCCCACCACACTGTGTGTACCTGACCCAGTATTCAATGATGTTTGCAGACATAGGGTTATCTTAGTTCAAGGGACTCCAGTACAAAGAGAACTACTCACAGGTAATGCTGTCAATAGATTTACTTAGTATATTTATTGATGAATGAGATGGGTACTGGCAAAGATTCTAATTCTACTTAATTGCAAATTGAATGCAACTTTATCAAAACCTTACATATTTTTGAAATGTTGGGGATAACTGCCAACAAGATAATTTTATCTTTTGGGGGATGCTAATGATTATCATTTTAGACCAAATATTTCTTGCAATAATGATGTCTTGTAATGTAAAATGGCTGAATAAGAACAAAACATTGTTTTAAGATAAATACAAAAATGGGAAGAACTTGTGTCAAAGATGCTTATATAATTTTTTTTTTTTTTTTACCCCATTATTTGGTATGAAATATGATGACATTTTTTCCAAAGACCTATGTTGGCAGTCAGCAATCAGTAATCCATTCTTTTCTTCCTTACAGCCTGTGCAGGTGTCGGTGGACATGCTGGAGGCATTCCATTTGAGGTCTGGTGTCGGTTCTACTACCCCAACGTCAGGGATCAAGTCATTGCTAAAGTAAGCCAAGACAAATCCATTGTTTGATAAAGCAATTACACTTTCATGAATAATCATTAAATGTTTTGTTTTGTAACTTTATTCCTCTTTATGTCCTTAGTTTGGCTAATGGAATAGCGACTCCATGCCATGATGATCTCGCGTAATATATCTTGTCTCGCTGCAAGTGTATTGTGAAGATTGTAGCCCTTACACCTCTGTAAGGATAGTTTTTCCCATTGCCTGAGTAATCTGGATAATCTGCATACTATCCGTCTTCATAAGTCTCTACTTGCTGTTCATTAGTTTATTCTGATATGATTTATGTCAAGTTTTAGTGAAAACGAGTCATGCATTTTCTTGTTTCTTTGTCTTTGTAGGCTACCCTACCTTTAGCCAAGCTATGCGCCATGGTTACCATGCAGAGGCGAGGCGAGCCGAGTGTTCAGACCTTCTCATTGCCCCTACGAACTCATCAAGATGATCAAGAGAGGGCAGCAGAGGAGTCTGGTCCTAAGGTGTGTAAAGCTTAATAACACAAAATACCATGATTGTGTACATCGCAACCGGGAGGCAACTTACCACTGTATATCCAACTGAATTTTAGCTTATGGTCCTTCAGCATTGATATGAATTCTGCTGTTTGTACAGTGTTTGTCTATTTTAAAGAGATTTAGCATTCAATTGATTAGCCTTGGTTATTAGAGGAATTGGACCTTAGGATTTTATCTTCAAATTTGTATATCTGATCAAACCAATTGTGTTGAAATGAAGCAATTTTGTCTTTCTTTGTCATTATTTTAAAATGCCACGATTGTCCAAGGGAGGTCTTAGGATTATACTGGAGTAAATGGATCCACCAGCTGTAGAGTTTATAAAGATTAACACTGTCAAAAAGTACATTGTCTAAGTTAGCTCATGAATCTTGTATGTTCGTCTTTGATGCTGATAGCTTCATGACAGTAGACTACTCGATGTAACCATCAGCTACAGACAGATCGTGACCTGCTGTAGAAATTATAAAGATTAACACAGTCAAAGACTACAGTAATTGTCTAAGTGAATCTTGTTTATTTGTCTTTCGTGCTCGTAGCTTCGTGACAGTGGTCTACTCGATGTAACCGTCAGCTACAGACAGACCGTGATCCAACACAAGACCCATCCATCGAGGGAGAGAGGTGCTACTGGTGGAGGTCCTCATGTATCGCTGGCTCTTGCCATTCACAGGGCCTGTGGGCTCAAGGTTTGTAATCTCTTTGCTATCCTCTATTATAGCCTCACTTTGTCCATACAAACCCTTCTTTACTATATTGAGATGTAAATGTATATATTCTATAAGGCTGTTGCACTCACTGTCTTGGCAGTAACAGTCTCATGGCAGGCAACTATCAATATGTGCACCAACCTTTCATAAATATAGTTACATAAACATACATTTCTGTCATGTAATGTTTACACTTTTGTTTCAAACATGTTTTTTTTTATGCCTATCCTAAGTTTATTAAGTTTTGCATAAGAAAAGATGAGTTTATTTGAATTTTTTTTGTAATATTCCTGCAATTTAAAGCAGATTGTTAGTATGTTTAAGACTGGTGTTTTTTGTTTATCCAGTCTGCAGCAACATCCCTGGCTCGCCATGACAACGGGATGCAGTACCCAAGTCAGGTTGGAGTCAACTCGTACATCAAGATACAGCTATCATTCATGGCCAAGGATGTAAGTAGCATCACCTTATTGGGACAGACACCATTGATTTCATGTACCATGAGATTTACTAGTGTAGTGAAGTATTTATTCAAAATAATCTACAGACTCTATAAATTTAGAGGAATTCATGTAGGGTGTTTTCCTTTCAATCTTCGCTTTTTTGGCATTTAAAAAAAAGGATAGAAATCAAGCCCATAAAAGTTCAATTGCGTGAAATTTCCTGAGATCACCTACACATATTTAGTGTTCATATATGTTCTATCTGGGACACTGATACACATTTATATCTTATTACACATCTGACCTGCCAAATAATCAATACATCAGTGATGGAATTATCTGAGTCTATAAGCAGTTAAGGTTCTTTTCTCAGAGTTAATCTGGAAAAGTATACTAATGGAAAATGCTGAAAAATAAAGCTATATACCCGGTTGATGATGTCTGTAACTACTTAGAGACAAAATTCAGAATGTTTGTTAATATTTTTATTCTATATATTATATTATATGTTGTTTCTTGCATTTTTTTTAGGAGATGCGTGTGACAAGAACCATTGCCAGGAGCTTCTGCCCAGAGTACAACCATCATGTAGAACTCCCATGCCCCCTCCTCCTTGCACCAGGGGAGGGGGAGGAGGACGATGATGTGATGAGTCTGGCTGAGGCCTTAGAGTCTGCTGATCTCATCCTGCAAGTGTGGCATCAAGTACCTGGGTTTAGAACAGGTAAGGACTGAGACAATGGTTAGAAAGAAGAAATCTAAGGGCAATTATATTTAGGCAGACTCAGAGAGAGACAGAGAGATGGATGGAGAGAGAGAGAGAGAGAGAGAGAGAGAGATAGAGAGTGATGATGTGATGAGTCTGGCTGAGGCCTTAGAGTCTGCTGATCTCCTCCTGCAAGTGTGGCATCAAGTACGTGGGTTTAGAACAGGTATAGAATGAGAGAGTGATTGAGAAGGAAAATGAGACGTGAAAGTATATTTAATGGAAAAGTATGAAGGGAGCTGCAGAGAAAGAGAGAGATAGAGAGGGCGGCTTATAGGCAGACAAACGATAGAGAAAAAGGGAGAGTGACCAACAGACCGACATCATCATGAATATAGACAGAGAAAGAGAGTTAATGTATTAGAAAGAAACAAATAACCCTGTGATGGAAAAATAAGATTAGATTAAAAGAGGAGAGAGAGAGAGTGAGTGAGAGAGAGGAGACAAAATGGAAGTATTCCATCTCCCCCTCTTGATCTATTAAAAAAATATATTCTTTTGATTTCTTTTCTTCTATTTTCTTTCTTTTATTACTCAATTTTGTATGTATATGATGCACCTGCTTGAAATGTGCTCCATCTTCCATGTTAATGTACAGGTGAAAGTGAGAGACCCCATCAAGTAGAAGACACCCTACCGAGGGGAGGAGGAGGTGGTATGATGGGTCACCGGGTCATCGCCGAGACCGGAGACGTTCTGATCGGCTCAGCTACAATTCCTCTTGTGAAGCTGCTAGCAAATAGAACAGGTAAAGTATGGGGATGCTTCTGTGTTATGTAGTTAATTTGTGGCTAGTGTGTAGTTTATGTACATACGTGACTCATTTCATTTTTGTTTTGAAGAAGTCTCACCAGTAATCGTGAAAGTGCATGCATACCGTAGAATGATCACCTTAATAAGTTATCTATGGAGCATGTTTTCCCTAATCTTCCCTATACTTTGTTTTAAAGATAATCATTTTTGATAGATATGGAAAATTAAAACATCTCAAATATATTTTCTTTTAAATCATATTATTGCTCACCTCAATTCTAATACTCTCATTCCTGATAACTACCAAATAGTTTTACTCAGTAATGCATCAATATTGTGCCACCGGCGTAGCACACAAAGGGTGTGGTTTTACTCCTTATAGTTATGAAGATAAACAGTTATCATGCCCAGTGATGTGAAACCCAAATGAACTGTGGTTTTAGAAATATTTGATGTATGTGTTTAGAGATGGAAAACTCAATTTAAGATACATTTAAAAACTGTTATACATGTTCAAAATCAAACATCTTCTGTTCATCCAGGTCTTGAAGGCTGGTTCCCCATCAGTCTACCACCGTTAGGGTGGGACACCGCACCCCTCCCAAGACAACATGACCCACTGAGTGACACGCCCGAGCCCCACCCCAAGCTGCTTGACAGGGTGGCAGGAGGGGTGGAGCTGGCGGTCAAGTTTGGACACCAGGGTGACCGTGAGAGGGTCATCGATGCTGGCCGGAAGGTCGGATGGAGTCCAGATAGTCTGGTACTGGAGGATGTGGAGCAGATTTGGGATGAAGGAGTCCAGGGTGAGTGCATCAGGAAGTTAGGTATCATGTTATTTATTGATTTGTTTCCAGGTCTTGAAATTGATGGGCCTAATTGGGAAATTAATAAATTTGATAGATTTATTTTTTAAATCAATTTTATAGATATCCCATATAATTAAATGATATACAGTGCGTCCTCGAAAAAATGAATCCGAGAATTATTGATGTTTTATCATAACTTAATCACAATTATAAATAAAGAAATGACACATATTTGTAAGGCTTAGATCCTCCTTCATCTGATGCAGCTCATATGATGCATATTTCATGCATGAGTGATTAAAATTAATTTTAAGAAAGGAAACCAAAAAGTCATTTGGCGGGCAGTATCTGAAATTTAAAGAGAAAATCACATTTCTAGAAAGTTAATTTTCTGCCCTTTCATATGACACCTCAATCAGGAAAAACGAGCCAGGAATAACGAAGTACTGTTTGTTTAAAGTAATGCTTGCATTTCCATATTTAGATTAAACAAATTCATTTTCACTGGCTGCCTGCAGTAGCAACAATCACAGTTGACAAAAGACTTAACTCCGTTTCTTTGACGATCAGCATGCACAAAGAAGACAAAGAGAATAATGAATGTTTTTCATTCGTTCAATAGTGCAAATATTTTCATTCGTTAAAAGGTTAACATTAATTCTATTCAGCTCGGCGCTATTGAACTCATAAGCATTCATTATTTGTATACTAATACAATTATGACTAATCCTTAACCCAGACCAAGGTTCATCCAGTTCATTATCCTGTGAAGTGACCATTGATGTGGACGCTGCCTGGTTCCCTGTCCAGCCATCACTCAGACCAGGTCAGACCCAGCTTGACCCTCACACCAAGGCTTACATCAGATATAAGTTCTATGACAAAGGTAGGTCACTGACATATGTTATCTGCATCACTCTACTGTGCTAGCTCGCAGAGGAATGAAATGCCCCAAAGTAATAATAGCGATTTTTTAAATTTTTTTTTAATGGATTCTATATGTACTACATGAGGAGGCCAGTAGGCTCAATTGGTAAAGCATCTGCCTGTCAAACCAAAGATTGTGTGTTTTTCGATCCTACCACGGCGGATGACTGAAGCCTGCGTTGTGTGTTAACGTGCTCCTCACCTGTTTCATTTCTTCCCTCCCTGGTCTATCTGGAGTTCTATGCAATGTTTGGAGGAATACTGTCGCTGCTTTGTAAATTGTACATATTAGGTGTGATGGCTCAGTGGTAGAGCAATGGTAGACCAATTTGATGAGCTAGTGCCCTTCAGTAAGGCATTAATCCTCATTAGCAAGTCACTCGGAGAGGACGTAAAGCTGTAGGTTCCCTGGTTGCCCACCTACAAGCAATACACATGCTTTCTTAGCAGTCAGGTAAAACAAACAAACAAATCAACAAATATAATAACATTGATGCTGACACAAGAATGACACATCAAAGCACTTTGTACCCAGTGGATAAAACACTCTATTGTTTGTTTGGAGCCAGAAGGGCATTATCTTGTATACTTTAATACAAAGTTAATGCCCTTCTGGCTCCAAAGAAACAATATATCATTACCATTATACTCTTGCCTTCCCAAACCAGTCTTTCTAAGGGATTCTGCCCCACTTGTTATGCAACAATTAATATCTTGATAGTCCCATGAGGAAACAACCTCAATGTTCAAAAAGGATTTGTCACATGCTTATATTGTTTGTCCATGTAGGTGCAGTGTGTTCCAAGCTATGTTACCTAGACCAGACTGGAGATGGCCAGCTGTGTGCAGATCTCAAACATTGTCAGGTCCTCCATGCCAATCAGTCTCAACCATTTGCTTGGTAAGTATACTCCTTCTTCTGTGATATCTTCTCCCATCTCCATTGTTTTCCTCTTTCATAGATAATCATTCTTTCTCTGTGTATTTTTGTCTTTCTTCCTTTTGTTGTGTTCTCTGTTATCTTGTTATGGTCTTCTCCATACTAGGTGAGGTCTTTGAAGCTCTTGTGTCATTTAATTTCCGCTTTTCCCTTTTCCTTGTTTGTTCTTTTATCATCTGCCTTTTCATAGTATACTTTACTTACTTACTTACTTGGGCCTATTCATCCCTCTCTGTCCTGTGCTTTCATTTCGAGCAGACTCCAGGTGTAACCCTTCTTTTTTGTACCAGCCTGCTGGAGCTCTCTCTTTCTCTTCCCCTGGGGATTCCATATTTGTCTGGTGATACTTGATGCTGATTTCCTTTATAATCCATCGTCTTCTCCTTCCATCTTCATTTTCTGGTGGTAATTGATAGGTTTATTCTCAAAAATCAGTGTTGCTGATCTTTTCTGGCAAGTAGAAGTGAAGGATTTTTCTCTGAAAGCTGTTGTAAAGAATAAGAAATTTGAACACCCTTTTTGATATCCAAAATATTTCTGTAGGTACCTGCGTGAGGAGCAGCTAGAGGTACAGCTATGGCTGAGCTACAACTCTGAGCTACCTGAGGAAAGCAAGGCCAGGCCTCGTCATAGAGACAAGCTAATTGGCTGCTCCTACATCGACCTTTCACCCCTGTGTCATCAGAGGGTCAAGAGACATCGGGTCAGGTCAGTTTAACGGGCTGCTAAATGGTACTAATCTGTGGTTTATACAGAATTCAGTATAATGAAGGTTTTTGTACAAAAATACTGTTTTTTAAATATTTTTTTGAACTTCAATGTCTGTGTTATTTTACTGTTTGTTAGAAATCCTGATCTCCTGAATAGAATACTGACTTTCAGCCATTATGATAACTTAATGTTAAAAGTTGGCAGCTCTGGTGCCTGATGCTGTTTACATTCTGTGAGGAGAGCAGTTATTCAACATGATGTAGAAGTCTTAGTTTGCATACTTCATCTCATATTGTATATGAAGGAAACTCCATGCATTAATATTTCCCCCAAAATATCTGGAGTATTAGAATAAAAGCAGGATCCTCTTTAATTTCATCTCATATAATGATGTTGATTATTTATAAATTGCTACTAGGTAAAAGTGTTGTAGTCGAGTGGTTTAAGCCATTGACTTGATATTCAAAGGTCGTGGTTCGATCCCCGACACAGCACTAATGTCCTTTGGTAAGGCATTTATCTTCTTTTGCCACACTCGACCCAGGTAAGGTAAATGGTTACCTGGCAGGAATTAATTCCTTGAAATGCTGGAGCGCTGTAATGGCAGCTAGGCTAAAGCCGGGGTAATAATATAGAATATAGAATAGAATTTCTAGATATAGGGCGCTATAGCAATGCCTATTATTATTATTACTATTTGTTACTTTGCCTTCCTCTATCAACAGTGGTGTGTTCCCATTGTTCAAGCCAGGCTGTGCTGATATGGGAGGGGCATGTCTCAGAGCTCATGTTACCATGAGAGTCACATCGGAGCAGAAGCCAGTCACAACTCAACAGGTAAAGAAGAAAATTAATATCTTGGTATTTGATATGGAACATAATCTTGATTTATTATCTTTGTTTTCCAGAAGTGTAAGTATTCCTAGTTAATGTATCAATCTGTCTTTGCTGCAATAAGTGATGTTATAGACATATTACCCTTGCTAAATCAGTCATTGAGAAGCTTAATTTTTTAAAGCTTATAATGAAAAGTATCTTTATAGCAAGACATAATAGTTAATAAGTAAAGATGTTAAATTGCCCCAGAATACCAGAGAATATGGAATCAAATTAATTGTATCTGTTTATTTCTGTTGTAATCTAAAATGAAATGGTTTCTTTCAATTCACAAGGATCAACGCAAGAGAGTACACGATGAAGAGAGCTTGGATGAAGAAACACTGCCTAGTGACAAAGCCAAGGAGGGTGAAGGAGTGAAGGAAGAGGAGGAGGAGAGACAGAAGAACCAACCCGTATGGATGACAGTGGTGGTGGAGAGAGCCATGCGTCTGAGTGATTTCACTGATCCGTCAAGGTAGGATGAAATTTAATTCAACCGAATTTTTTTTTCTACCTTGAATTGTAATTTAAATGATATTTATTGTACTAAAAACGCCCTCACAGCCCTCTGCTACAGTTTAAATACATGATATACATGTATACATTATTATAGTAAATTTCAACAATCATTATTAATTCATTGACAATCAGTAGGCCATCTTGGCCATTGCTATTGTTTGAAGGACTGAGTATATTTATGCAAACACCAGAGCAAAATTTGTGTGTATCGCTGATTCAGATAGAAGATTTATAAGAGCTTTTGTTGCATTGTATTTTGAATTTGTTACTAATTGTTGGTATATATGGTTGAAATGCTGATTGATATGCTCCTACTTCTGTATAATGCACTTACAAACTGCCAAAAGAGTAGCCTTCTTTCAGTTTAATATTGACTAGTCAGTATCATACTACATTGCCTTTAAAATTGTGATATGTATGGGGTACTTTTATGAATAAATTGATTTTTATAACCAGTTTACACATTATATGAACAAAATATAACTGATAGGTTTTATGGGCGACTATTGAACTTCAGTTCTAAGGTATGGTAGTTCAGTTCATGATTAACTTTTATTTGTTGTTGTTGTTGTTGATAGGGTTGAGTCCATTGCCCCAAGCTCCTATGTCACCTTCCAGTCGGCCGTTGGTCCCTCTCCTGCCGTCACTCCTACCGTACCAAGCTCTAACAATCCTCAGTGGAAGTACACCAGAGATGTGGCTATCAGCCCTCAGCTACTTGATAATCAGGTAAACCTTGTGTACAGTAGCTACAGTCCATTGTTTTCTGGTGCAAAAGTCATTGCCACCCTGTTCCTTTTGATGTTTCAGTCGTACCTGATCATGTAGTGATGGTAATGCAGTCAAACCTGTCTATAAAGACCACCCAAGGGAGACAAAAAAGTGGTCTTTACAAGCAGGCAATCTTTATGTACAGGACCTTTGTAATAGTACATGTATGATTCAATGAGAAACCATTTTCAAGGGAAACAAAAAATGTGGACTTTGTAGAGAGGTGGTTGCTAAAGCAGGTTTGACTGAACCAACATAAACAATTCACACATATCCATCCTAAAATATAATGAAGGTGTATTTTAGTATCACTGTTCCCTTGCATTTGGCTAAGCTTCCATATAGGATGATTAAAGCTTTCAAGGATTTTTTTCTACCAGGCACTAATGTACAACACTTGAATCGATAATGCAAATGTTGTCAAAGTATTTCTTTCTTCGTAATTCTATTTATTTGTCTTTTTCATTCTAGAGTCTGATTTTCAAGATTTGGCACCAAATCTCCAGCAAGCAAGGTAATAGCATTATCATCTTTAGAATTGATTCATTTCTTTCTTCATTTCTTTCTTCACTCTCCTGTATTTTCCATTCACCGGATATCCTGTTGGTCATTTTGGCAGTACAGAGGTTTACTTCTCAATTAATTTTATTTATCAATATACATTTATACCCATTAAGAAAATATAATCTTGAATTGCAGGAACCATTGATTTAATGTTGGGTTGTAAAATCTCTTTTTTGTTGTTCTCCTTTGTGTGATAGATTCAACTTGTGATCGAGTGCTAGGTTTCATAGCCGTAGATCTAGGACCCTTACTAGCTGGCATTAGGTCTCTGGATGGTTGGTACAATATCATGGACTTCTCTGGCCAGACCCTAGGACAGATAAAGGTAAACTGATGATGGTGGTGGTGATGGTGGTGGTGGTGGTGGTGATGGTGGTGGTGGTGGTGGTGGTGGTGGTGGTGGTGGTGGTGGTGGTGATGATGATGATGATGATGATGATGATGATGATGATGATGATGGTGGTGATGATGATTTTAGTGATGGTGATGATGGTGATGATGATGATGATGATGATGATGATGATGATGGTGATGATGATTTTAATGATGGTGATGATGGTGATGATGATGATGATGATGATGATGATGATGATAAGACAGCAATAATAGTAATTATGACCCATTCTATTCTAGCAAGGATCAGCTTTTTTTCTGCTAGTTTGATACTCTCTATTTCAAAGGTGCAAGTTTTGCTGACCTTTTTTATATGTGTATTGTTTACAGATCTCCATCACCCCAAAGGAATCTCTATCACCATTGAGGCACTCTCCTAAACAAAGAGCAATGTTGGTAAGCAATCAACCTTTATTCATTTGCACATTCAGGCTGTTTATTTAGAATTTGAAGTTATTGAAATATAGGATAAATACCTTAATGTTTTACTGGGTGCCAGTTATTTTGGCTTCTCTACTTTTCCTGTTGCATCCATTTCTTCACCTTCCTACAATCTAGGAGAATGTTGTGTTTTCCCTTCCCCCCCCCCCCATTTTTATTAATTAGATTGTTAAGTTTCACTAAGGATGGTTGGCAGTTATGTTACCTGTATGAAAGCACATACTTCCCTTCTTGGTATCCAATAAGAAACAAATGAAGTAATCGATGAATCGGTTGTTATTTCTCCTTCAGGGTTCACCCAACAGCTCTAACCTCTTCAGCCGAGCACCCCTCCCTCCTCCTCACTACCTCTCATCATCATCCTCCTCATCCAACCGGCCTGGTAGTAGTCTCCCGTCCACACGTCCAGCTGTCAGAAGTCTGAATCACTTTGAGCAACATCTTGAAGGAGTCAGGGAGTTCCATGGCAAGCTACAAGACAGACTCAGAAGTGAGTTTTTGGTCTGATAAGTTTCTTTTACCTGACTGCTATTAAAGAAAGCATGTGTATGCTTGTAAGTGAGCAGCCAGGGCCCCATTTCGCAAAACTAGTCATCAATGACAAATGACCGTCTTTGTTAAAAGCTAGTGAAATCCTTGCTTCTGATTGGTTATCAGCAGATTTGTCAATGATTTTTTGTCATTTGTCATTGGAAAAGGGCTTTGTGAAACGGGTCCCAAGAGACCGACAGCTTCAAGTCCTCTCCAAGGGACTTGGTAATGAGGATTAATGCCATCGACTTGGTTTCAAACCTGGGACCTCCTGGTTATGAGACCATCGTTCTACCACTGAGCCATCACGTCTCTTCTTTCAGAGTCAGTTCAGAGAAGTCATTTCAGGGATGATTATAATTTTTTGTTTGTCTTTTTGTTTAAGAAGGATTTAAAGTGATGTTTTATTTTCCATATGAGATAAAGTATATGATAACTTTTTTCTTTCTTTCTCTTCGCTGTTTCTCACTGTTTTTCTTAAGGACAATACCCAGCTTGCTGTCGAGGATATTTTCTGCTGGGGGCTAGAAGGGTGTTAATTCTTTGTAAACGCTTTTAGTTAATGCTCAGTGGCTCTCATCAGAGATTGACAATATAATTCTACATCTCCTTATCTCTCTCTCTTCCCAGTATCTGTTGTCATATATTTTTGACTCTTGTTAGAGGAAATTAAAAAAAGTAAGAATCTTTGAGTGACCGGTTTGACCATACTCATTTTTCCCAATAGTCTGTAGTGTTATTAAAAAACTGTTCAAAACTGTTTGGCAAACGTTTTTTGACATTTCTAATTCCAATCATAAATACCTTGATAATCAGACAGGCGATGGGCTTGTAAAAGCCATGGGATTCCTAACTGACCTAAAGGTTTATAATAATGATTGCAGTATGAGCCTAAATCCAGGATTTTGTTTAGAATCTGATACCCAATCCCTTTAAAGGATCTTTTTAAGACATTGTATCATATATTTTTCATTCTATTTGTAGGTCTGCATAGAATGGAGACTGACTCAGGGTCCTCAGAAGATGGATTCCAACACCCAGTCATTCAGAATCCTCCAGAGGTTGGAATACAACAGAGCGACTTCCGATCGCACCTCCTCTCAGAAAGGACCCCGTCATCATCATACCTCTTGGAAACCTTCAGGTATTTACTCTCTTCCATATAACATATCTGATTGAGCCTTATAAATATGTATTAAAGCCCCACTGCACCACTTAAAGCTGCTTGCATCCTCTATATAGCAAACAATGCCTAATTGGTGACCGTTGGTCTCCCATGGTCCCCTTTTTCTTATGTTAATTGAGAGCTGATTTGATGAGATAACCAACTGTCAGTGACCATGCAGTGAGGTCTAATCTCTCCTGGCCAAACTAGTGCAGAGGGGCTTTATTAAAACATCACAAGTAAAAAATTGTATTTTAGTATTATATGAATTAGTTGTTACTATGTTGGGCCATTTCTTAAAAAGTATCTTTACAAGGCCACTGTTAACAATCAAATGTCTCCCTCCTATTGTAGATTAAAAACATTGATTTGGTGTTTGGCTGGCAGCAGTTAAAGTGGGTTTCTTATGGACGTTTACATTGCATGTTATGTGAAATTATTTGTATTTGAATATGTTTTCTTTTTTTTCTTCAGGAAAAACATGGAAGAATTAGATGAGCTTCACCAGCGTCTCAAGACCAAACTCTCAGGAGGAGAGACACCGTCATCATCATCATTGCCTAACGCAGCATCTCATCACCATGGTAACTCTGGTAGTGATGCAGAAAGGAGACGGATGTCTTCCGATGATGTGAATGGTGATGGAGGAGAGCAGGTAGGACACAATGGACAGTATGGAGCAGGGAACATGGTGGTTGATAACGGGGCGGTGCCTCATGGTAATGAGAATAATAATCAACAGCATCATCATCATCATCATCATGATCTCCAACGACACGATCATCAAGATCATCTTGGAAGTGGTCATAGGACTATCCTCAGTGATGGAGTAGAGAGAACTGATGTGAGAGAGGATGATGAAAGAACTAGTAACTGGAGCACAGAAGGGGATCCGTCAGATGAAGCCTTGCGTGACTACACTGATAGAGATGGAGGCAGTCGTGGAGGTGATAAAGAGGATACCAGGAATGGAAGAGTAATGATGGATCCACAGTATGAAAACAGCGGTATGAAGAGAGAAGATGTTGGTGGAGAAGATGAGGATGATGATGGAAGGCATCAGTTCCTGGAGGATGGTGCGAGGGGAGATGATGAAGACAGCATGATTTATGTGAGGCCACTGAATGACATATCATGCCCGGCATTCAGTAATGGTGTCAATGATGATGTCATCAGCCCTCCATCATCCAGACCACCCCATTACATCCCATCCTCTTCTCATCGATATACAAGTGAACACCATGACGAGGATGAGCTACATCAGCATAGAGATGATAAATTCAAACCGAGTGATGGTATTGACGATGACTTGTTTGCAGGCACCGATAGACTTGGTGGTAGAATTGATGCGGAGGAATACCAAGGCTCAAACACCATTCATACCACGGAAGATGGTTACCATGCCAACCAAATCATTGATTCATTCAGAGACATGGCCGATGGGGGTCACGCACAACATGAAGACGCCTTGCAGGGGTACAGAACCGACGGCCTGCAGAACTTAGCCACACCAAGTGACCATACAAACAGTGCATCAAGTCATACAGACAGTGCGTCTAACGTGGTAAGGACTAGATCATCTACCGGTACCAGTGGTAGTGGACCCGATGATGAGTGTAGCAATGTGGGGATCAGAGGCAGTAGTCAAGACGATGATTGGAGCAATGCGAGGGTTAGAGACGGTGATCTTGACGATGATGATGTTGTTGTAGAGGATGGCATCGTTTTGACATTGAATGCTCAAGAAGCTGAACTGCAGAGAAGGCAACTCGAGTTGAAGGAGGTAGAGAGATCAGCAGCAGTCAGGCCAAAGGCGTATCCTTTTCAGTCCATGCTAGGGCTTATAACCTTAAGTTAGATTTATTCACCTGTTGTTGAGATGTGGCTAAACAAAATTGTTATCATTTTACATGTAAATGTCAAAATGAATGAAACCACTTTATAGCAGAAACTACCCAAAGAAGAATTTTAAAATGCGATTGTGTGGTAAGGAGTGAAAACAGAGAATCAACAATATGCATGATTGATGGTTGATGATTGCTTTACTTGATTGCTAAAAAAGCTTTTATATGCTTCTTAAAAGCAGCCAGGGGATCGAAGGCTTTAAGCCCTGTCCCAGGGACTTGGTAACATCCTAATACCAAAAAGAACAAGCGCATTGACTTGGTGTTGAGCCTGGGACCTCTTGATTACAAGACCACTGCTCTACCACTGAGCCATCGTGCCTCCTACTTACATGAAATGTCCCATGTCAAAAAAACAGTTTGAGGATGTTGCTCTGGTACCTCACTTGAAGAGCGACTAACTTCATGTTGTTTTACACATGCTCACACCTTTCATCTTTACTTGCAGTTGATTTGATGATTTGATGAGATTATTATGCCATATGATATTTGCATTACTTGCCTTCCATCACTGATTATGTGTACATGTAAAAGCTTGTTAACTCTTTGCCCGCTTCGTTCGGCTAGCGGAACATACAGCGGGCTGCCAACTTCGACTCAAGTCACATTTCATTCAAAATACACACGGAACGCATTTAATTCTATTGTACGCACACACACACAATAGTAACGCGTGCTTCGCATTGTATACACATCACACTTCATTGCACCGCTTTCGCAGACATTGTTTACATTGACATTTTCCGAGAAAAATTGAGTTTTTGAAACTGCTTTTGCAAATATTCTGATGAGCTAGGATGGCCCCTATTAGGAGGAGACGGGACTTCTTCACTGCTGATCAGGTACGAGAACTTGTGATGGACCCTGTTCCAACAGCCGACTCTGATTCAGAGGAGAGCGAGACTGACTCTGACGAGGAAGATGAGCCTGGTCCCACACGTACACTTTTGCGTAATCCCACAGAACATGATAATGGCGTGGACATCAATCACGATTCAGACAGCGAGTTTGAAGAGGAAATTAGGGATGATGTGTCGATGGTTTCAGCAGAGGATGAGCCTGAGCCGCTATCTCTCTCTCTCTCTCTCTCTCTCTCCTTGTTTCTTATTTCTCTCTGCCCCTCTGTATCTTCTCATCCTCACTTTCTCTTTCTGCCTTTCTTTCTCTGTCTGCCTATCTGTCTTTCTCTCTCCGTGTCTCTTCTTATTTATATCCCTATCTGCCTATCTCTTTCTTCTTCCCCTCCCCCTCTATCTCTATCTTCTCACTCTCACTTTCTGTATCTGCTTATCTCTTTCTTTCTCTCTCTCTCTCTCTCTCTCTCTATCTCTCCCTGTCTCTTGTTATTTCTCTCCCTATCTGCCTGTCTCTTTCTCCCTCCCCTCTCTCTGCCTCTCTCTATCTTGTTCTCACTCTCATTATCTCAACCTGCCTCTGTCTTTCTCTGTCTGCCTATCTGTCTTTCTCTCTCCGTGTCTCTTCTTATTTATATCCCTATCTGCCTGTCTCTTTCTTCTTCCCCTCCCCCTCTATCTCTATCTTCTCACTCTCATTTTCTGTATCTGCTTATATCTCTTTCTTTCTCTCTCTCTCTCTCTCTCTCTATCTATCTCTCCCTGTCTCTTCTTATTTCTTTCCCAATCTGCCTGTCTCTTCGTTCTTATTCTCTTTCTTTCTCTCTCCCTCTCTCTGTCTACCTCTTGTTATAATGATCATGTCAATATGAGACTACATATGTAGACAAATATATTTTATTCTTATTTATTATACATCAGCTTTCTACAATTCATAACTTAGTACATGTTTCAAGCATACATTATGTTCATGGCTTGCCTTATTAGTGTAGAAAATCAATAAGTTCTTCTATTCATTTCTTTCAATTCTAATAGCTTGCACAGCCTTGCAAGTAATAATAGAATGTTACACCATCTTACCTACAGACACAATAAAGGTCATCAAAGTACAATCAAGAGACAGGAAGTCTATTCAAAAGTACCCAGGGTCAATTTCAATAGGAGATTAGTTCATTGTCGGCTTACTCTTTATTCAATCCTAAATTACCAGGCTCATTGTGACCTTCAACACATGAATTTGGTATGTAGTGAAAGCTCATGAATACATCTTTTCAATGAACTAACTCAGGACATAAACCTCCATAACAAAGTATTAGATATAAGAGGTATAGAATACCCTTCTAAACGAAAACTTGGATACAAAATGTATAGTTGATAATCTCAAAATTTATGATAATATACATTACAAAAATGATACCATTGGCAAGACTGTTAATTTCTATACAATATTGCTACACAAAGTTTTTCATTACAGTACACCAATCAAAAGTTTTTGCGAGTTGAATAAGCATAGTCCATGCAGAACCCCTCCTAAGGTGGCACCCTAAAAACAATGTGGCACAGGGGGGATTGTGTACGTGGCGGGCAAAGAGTTAACATATGCTATGAATGGCAGTTATTTTGTTCACTAAATGAATGGAAGTGGAAAGAAAGTTTTATGTGTGAACAAGCCTTATAAGGGGAGGGGTAAGTATGCAGTATTGAATGTCCGATTCTTTTCCTTGACCGGCATTCCTCTCAGGCATAATAAGAATGCCAGTAGCACACTCCCAGATTTCTTCTTGCCACCCACTGACCTTGAGGCATCCATGAGGGCGCTGTACAATACTGTGTCCGGCCCACAGTCACACGTAAGTCTTTTTTTTCATCCGTATCATTTAAGTAATTAAGACAAGGCATATTCCATATGGTTGTGAAATAATGTAAGCTTGATAGATGCATTTTCCTTCATATTTGCATTTGCCTTCACTGAATTCATTTAACAGACCTACTTATCATCATGACCTCCCCAAAATTCTCTCATAATTACCCAGTTTAAATGCCAATAATATTTTATGTGTATAGGTGGATATTCATTTACAAATCGTAGATATTAGACTGTAAACATGTTATTTATGATGCGCAAGACATTGGATTCTAATTTAATCTGAACTTTTCACTTTATGTACAACTCTATACTTCGGGTACCCTTTAATCAGATAGAATTTTGTATGTAGTATTTGAAAACTTCATTTTCAGTTTCCATGTCAGTTGTAACTTGTAAACTTTGTCTGGTTGATCCATTTCAATTTTGGTTCAGCAAATAGAATTTCCTTTCTTTATCAATCTTTCTTCCACATTCAACATATTTCTTTAAAATAAATTCCATGATTACTTTATAGGAGCTGAGTGCCAGAGATCAGGCAAAGTTTGAAGCTGCTCACGAGATGGCACAGCGTCTCGGTTCAGGAGGTCAACAGAGGTCACAAGCTGCAAGTCGGACAACGCTGCCTTTCTCCTATAAGCAACCTACTGCTGACCAGGCAAAGAGGATTGCCAAGATATTCTCTGCTAAATTCTAGGAAGTGAAGAGCTTTCAAGGATAGTGAAGATGAACTCCCAGTTGGACAACTCTCCCATTCTCTTTCAACCACCCAACGTCGGACCAGGCTAAAAGAATTGCCAAAAAAAAATCTCTGCTAAATTCTAGGAAATGAAGTACTTTCAAGGATAGCAAAAAATAACAAAAATCTACACTGATAACTTCCTTGTTCTTTTCTCTTTCGTGTGCCTAGGATATGATTCCAATATTCAGGGGATGATATTTAATATACAACTTCTAAGAATGTTCTGTAATCTGATTGGTTCAAATCGGGTCATGTGACATTCAGTGGACTGCACTGTAGCACCTGGATCATAGAACAACAACTTATTACTGGCCAGGCCAAAGGATTAAAAAGCTGTTATTATTATCATTATTAAATCTGCTATGCTGTGAAATAGTATACAGATAATGCATGGTAGCAAGTGCATTCAGGGCGAAATAATGCATGATGTGCTAGAAGAGCCCCTGGATAATATTTTGTCAATGAATCCTTCATCTCGAAATATCTCTTTCCTTTGCTGCTCTGCTGAGAATGTAATCGTCTGCCGTCTTGGCTCTCAGACTCCCTTCCTCTCTGTCCGAATTAGACCATCACGTCTAAAAATACCTTATTCTGGAGACCAATTGGTGACTCAGGGTCTATCAGTCCACTTTCACAAATTTTCCTCCTGTCATTGTTGGTTACAGGAGGTTTATGGTTTACTGTACCTTTTCCATCTTTCTTCATTTGCTTGAGCACAGCTTTGTACATATTGTTGACTCCTTCGCCGACGAGATGTCTATTTCTTTGGCCATGAACATCTTCCATACTCCAAATTTGATAGATTGTAGAGACTTCTTTTTATACAACATGCCAATTTCTTTGGCCATGAACATCTTGCATACTCCAAATTTGATAGATTGTAGAGACTTCTTTTTATACAACATGCCATCTTGATCTTTTAGTAATTCTATGTCCAAGTTGGCCACATCAGTAGCAAGCAGCATCGAAGGACCTACGTCCTGTAGATGCACTGCTTGTGCCTGTTCGTCGTTGAGTGGAGGGATCACTCCCTGAGGTGGCGTTACCAGCATTCACCCCTCTCTGGATCACTAACTCGTCCGCCTTGCGAGCAAGTACCATGAGGGATGTTGCTTGGAGCTTCTTCAGTTTCAGTCTTAACACCTCATCTGAAACTCTTTCTAAGAACTGGTCAATCATAACCAGATTCAACCTCTTACAAACCTCAGGCATCTTTACTGTTTTCTGAGGTATTTCTATCTACTTCAAGAAAGAGTCTTGTAATTTGATTGTAAATTCCTCAAAAATTTCATTGGCCTTCTTGTGTTCTGTTTTGAATTTAATACAGTATGCCTCAGGAGTGAGGTGGTACCGTCTTTTGATTGCAAGGACAACATCATCGTAGTTGTCCTGTTCCTTGGCACTCAGCATGAAATACCCATTGAGCCCGTCCGGTGAAGTATGGCTCCAAAAGTCTAGGCCGATTCACTCTTTGGCTTGAGGACGGAGTGCGGTATATCAAGGTGGCACGGAGTGCATTATTTCGGCCCACAAATGCACAAGCAAACTTGCATTGTTTGTTTTATACAACTTCCTCTCCCACTGAGCTGCCCCCCCCCCCCCCCCATCAAAGCCAATGCATAATTGAATTGTATTCTTACCTTTACGCTCATGGCTTCGGTCTTGACCGCTGACTGAAAAGTGATCCAAACAGTTGCAAAGTTTATCCAATTTCAGTCATTCAAAATCCAAGATTCAAGATAATTTATTGTCCGATTTAAAAAAATACAGAAGTTCATCCTCCACTTGCAAGTGACATACCGTACATATACAAGCAACATAAACAATATATACATACATTCAAGGATACAAAGAAAATACAACAATAATACATGTAATAATAACAATAATAGCAATAACAAAACTGACATGTACATTTGAAATTCAATACCAACAGTAATATCAAATTTAAATGTCATAGTAAGACAGGTTTCCAACATATTTATATATTTACACTCTCCTGATGAAATTGTGCTTTGCTTATTGGTGACTCATGGTCTACCAGTCCACTTTCACGAATTTTCCTCACGGCATTGTTGCTTACAGGAGGTTTATGTTTCACTGTACCTTTTCCATCCTTCTTCACGTACTTGAGCAGAGCTTTGTATGTATTGTGGAATTTGTGAAACTCCTTCGCCAACGACATGTCTATTTTTGGGGCCATGAATGTCTTCCATACTCCAAATTTGATAGAGTGTAGAGACTTTTTTTTTATACAACATGCCATCATCTTTTCTCAAACTACCCCCAAAACGACTCGGGAGGTTATCAAGCTCTCTTGTAGGGAGTTGATGCAAGGACTCAATATCCATTTCAACTAAACTGCAAAATCTTTCAAGTTTGTATCTGGCCTATCCTTCAACTTTTTTTGTATTTTTACTATCAACACTGTCCAAGAGTTCGTCCATTTCCTCATCAGTCAATACACTTCACGCAAACTTTGACACGCCGGTCATTGCCACTCGCATCGATGTCATTCTGGGGAGTGCAGGTATAGTGCATTTGGTGTAGTAAGTTTTCTGCACTCCGATGCAAATGAATGCTACAGTGCAGTGCACTGAATGTCAGGTAACCTGATTTGAACCAATCAGATTACAGAACATTCTTGGAAGATGTGCAATATCTTCCCCTAAATATTGGAATCATAACCTAGACACACTAAACAAAAAATACATCCAAAACAGCAGTCAAAGGTTGAAACAAATTGAATTTGCAAAGTTAAAAAATGACATTACTACGCAAAAAATTACCTGGATGTAGCTATTGCTTCGGAAAGATAGCGTATACATTCAGATCACCGAGGAAGTGATAGTTTGTCATCGTCTGAAACCAAAAGGTAATTAGTTGCTTTATATTCCACATCAGAAACATTTTACTGGTAGGGTCTACGAGAAAGGCGATCTAGTTTGACCGTTGGAAATATCCAAGAGATCATTAATATCATCATGTGTTGGGTTTTGAGTAGGATTAGTCTTTGGCCTACTTTGCTGGTCTGGCTGTCCGTGATCAGTCTGTCCTTCTTGAAGACCAAGGGCTGAAGATATTGTGCCGCTCATCTTCATATTTTGTTAAATGCTCGTTTGGGCATAATGTTTGATGCTGGTTTCAGATCTATGTCCTGAAACAGTCATTAATGTAGCTTGAAGGAAATCTTGAATCTTGTTCATGTTGGTTTCACTGACAGGTGTATGAAGTTTTATGCCAGCTTTCCCCTCCTCCTTGAGTTCCTGAAGAACAGTTTTGAACATCCGACTAGACTTTGCAAAGTTGGTATCCTTAATACTGTAATACTGTTAATAAAGTCTCGCAAATTCAAAAATTGTCTCTGCAGACTATACCTCAAATTAGTCGAAGCCTGTAGAGATTTCTTACTGTATGACTCACTATTTTGCGATTTCACACCAGCATAAAATCTCCCCAACAGTTGGGCTTTCAAGTCCATGTCGGACAGTTCTTCAAAATTTATGTTTCTTGGAATACTTTCAGGCTGAATTTAAGTTGTCGCTTTGTATTTCTGCTTTCTCTGTCAGCAAAAAACTATCTAATTCCGCTTCATTTAGGAGCTCACATCTAACTTGTTCCGCCATTTTAGAGGAACAAGTCATCAATTATTAACACTAACACAGTAACAGTAACAGCTAGCAAATGAAACGTATAAAATTAAATTTCTAATGTGCGCCACATCACCGTGGTGGCCGAAGCCACCTGCTGCATTGAAGATAGTTATTAGTACACAGTGCAACACACTTTCACCAAAGATAGTACACGGTGTAACAAACTTTTCTCCCCTCATCAATGATGGGCGAACTTTTGACCAATTGTAAAGCAAGATTCTTAGTATGTGAAATATAAAATACTATACATTGAAAATTGGAACAAGATTCTTGCAATACCGAGCTGCTGTGAAGTTTTTTCTTGAAGTGAAATACTGTATTAAACAAATGTGAGGTTTTAATATAATTCTTGGTCATTTTTACTTTTGATTGACAATAAGTTGAATGCATTGTGATGTGGCAGTGTATACAAAGAATGATATAAATTAAGTGGAACTTATGAATGAATACAGAAAGTTACACATAATTTCAATATGGTATGCTGTAATGTGATGATTGTTACCATTAGATGAAAATGAATTGTTTCATCCTTGTTTATTTATTTATTTATTTGTTTTTTGGTTGGGGGGGGGGGGAGGCTGGGAAGCTGATTAAAGTACCACATCAAATACTTGCATAATGTACATACGTGCACAACGTTATTTATTTTGTTCAGGTAATTTTACAATGGAGTTCTAACTGTGTAAATAAGAGTATATTTGTAATCGATACGCAATCTGTACAAATATTGTGAATAAATTTAGAATGCTATTCTTTTGTTGAAACTTAACTTGTGTGTCCTTCATGCATGTACATGTGTTTTATTCCTGTCTTACATGGTATACATTTCGTGTGTATTTCTGAGAAAAGCAAACGCTTCAACTCTTTCATTCTAATTTCAATTCTCCAAATACAAAAGCCTGTTTTGTAATCTAATAAAACTACTGTATATTGCCTTTTTTCAACCCTTTTAAAAAAGAAGTGCTGTATCATGTAGAGGTGTCGTGCTCTAGGATACATCGTAGGATTTTGGCTTACTTGGTTTGTGGTTCAATTCACATTGACACTAGTGTCCTTTAATGACACATTTATCTACGTGCCTCTCTCCACCCAGGTGTAGTATACGGGAAGCTGGTAGAAATTCATTTCTTGAATGCGTTGAATGTCTTAGGGAAGCTTGGCTAAAGCCAGGGCAATACATGTAATACTATATTGTGGGTGCCTTGATCATCCCCAAGGATGGATGGGTGCACAATATGTATGTACATGTACAGTGTAGTTATTATTGCTATTATTATTTATCATGAGAAAGTTTTAGAGAAGATCATTTTCTTGCTTATCCCAACCCACAATTACAAACCCAAAAGTAAAACAAACTGAGCGAATTATTAAAGACGATGAACTATTAGCTTTTTGTGGGCTGTATACATCTAGGTGGATAAAAACTACACGATTTCTATGTTTCTCTCTTTCTCGACCCCCCCCCCCCCCCTCCCCTCACCCCCTCCCCTCACCTCCTCCTCTTTTTCCATCTGTCTCACCCCCTCCTCTCTCTCTCTCTCTCTTCCTCTCTCTCATCTCTCTCTTTTCACTTCTATATTATTGAAGTAATTAAAATCAGTATCTGTCACATAAAAATCTTTAAAAAAATTGGTTTAAAATTTGTTTCATCTCATACAGATAATTTATTAAAATTCAGTTCATCGTTGATCATCATTTTCTCATGACTTTTCAACAGGAGAACAAGAAGACTAGTTAGCCGTCAACCAATCATGATCATATACTTGCAAATATCTATTCCGTTGCCCATATAATACTGATACACATGAATCCTTTGCTACAAATCCTGAACCAGGAGAAGCTCAATTATAATATCTACTGGTAGGTTGATTTAACCTTGAAGCTCTAATTTCTTTTCCATATACATTGAAACCTCATTATTTTTACCGTGATATAAAAAGGTAATTTCCATGGCCCCCAAGGACCTTGTAATAATGAGTTTCCACTGTTTGCTTCACATTTGGTCATATGGATAAATTAGAAACCAGTGAGAGCCAGATCGACATTAAATCGCATTGTCATTGCCAGTCTTGCTCTCAATGGACAATATTATCACGTACTGTAAATGCGGAAATATTCACAGTACATTAATTTTCACGGATTTTGCGCTAAAGTCGGTGTCCACAAAGAACCCGCAAAAATATAAACATGACTTCTTATGCGTGTTCTGAACGGGTTGAATTTGGTGCAACGCAAATTTAAGAACTAGGGAATATGTTTCGAGATCGCTCAGCGCGAAAAACAACAGCGTTTACAGTACATTGCTTCTTCATTCACAATGATGAATGGCTTAACATGAATTGATGTTCATTATTTATAAATCAAAGGTAAAAAGAATGTTACATGAAATTAAACAAATCTATGTTAAAACTGGCACAAAAAACACAAAAACAGATAGGACATACAATTGTGTGAAATACATGAAAAATAAAATAGTGAGAGCTAGAACATACGATGTAACGGTGACACGACATTTGCTCCTGCGACAATTGCTCCGGGCTTCATTTCGTCTAAGATGTAGGGTTAGGGTTAGGGTTTCAATAGGGTTTTATGTTAGGTTTAGGGTTAGGTTTAGGGTTGGGTATAGTGTTGAATCCAGGGTTGAAGTTAGCCATTCGATTAGTGTATGAAATTTACAACGGAGCAATTGTCGCCGGAGCAAATGTCATGGAACCGATGTAACAGAAACCAAAGTAGTGTAAGTTTGGCACAAAATGTAATAGCATATTGCACTTGACAAAAATACTATTTTCGGAGTGCACAGGTTTGCGACATTAATGGTAGTGGTGAAAATCAATTATGATGGCAAAAACTGAAATAAATACAAAATAAGAAAACATACATGATCGTGTGTGTGATGGTGGTGATCAAGCCAATGTCATAAGTCACAAGAATCTGTTGATTGTATAATGTCCAGAGGTAATACGTGATTGAACCCTTTTGAGATGGCCATTCCACATTTTGTGGTTTGATTCAATAACTTTCGATTCAGATCCCTAAAAAAATATGCCAGATACACGAGTAGAAAGGGCAACTGCATATACATATTGCTTTTGATGTCCTGAATTCTAAGAATTAATTTAAGCTTTAAAATCTTTATACTGGCAACGCATTGAGGTATTCAAAATCATTCTTTTTCAAGCAAAATTGGCCATTTCTTTCAAATTTTTGACAACATTCTCCACCATGTATATCGTTTTCAGAGACATCACATTTTATTATAACAATGTACAAACAAAAGAAAAATTGTATTTTTGCCAAATTTGAAGAACAATGTGATTATATTTAGCCCTAAAAATAAATCCTATCCTGAAAGCGTTAAATAATATATTTTTTTTAATATGTTCATTCAAAAGACCTGATTGAATGTTACTATGAAGTTTCTACATAATTTTGCTAAATTTTAATCACAATTTAATGCACAGACTAGTAATATTTTCTTTCACTCAGTCAATCATTCTGTTATCATTACGGCAGTGGTTATTATATTTGGTGATGGATCTCTAATTTACATCCACTCTGACAAGAGCACATCAAATCACCTTCTTTCTTCCAATGCATTTGGCATGCAATTTATACGGTTTCATTCCATGTCATAGCTATATTCAAGTATAATCTAACCTTGTATGTTAGTATGAACTACATGTATGTACAAATAAAAAGGTAATAAATTAAAGTGTACTGTTAAAATAAAAATATAACATTTTTAAACAATTCACAGAAATAAGTCCAATCGGCCTAACCGAAAACAAATCACACAATTCAAAAGAGAATATAAATTTTACATTTGTACATGTAATTCCACAGATATACAACGTACAGTTTATACATGATAAATAAACTATTGACAACTCTGTACGACGCAGTAAGGGCTAATAATTACATCATTCATTCTCTAGTTATGCATAAATATTTGTAGAACAAGCATATTCCTCAACGAAATATCTAAGTTAAATATATGTACCGGTAGTAACTTCTTTACTGGATTCAATGCAGGACACATACATAATTTTCAGCCATTTGTAACTAAATCTCAACATTGTATTGCTTCTAATAAACAAAATTTATGGATCTCACAAACACATTCATTACTGAACATGTATCTTCCCATCTATTGACTTTCGAGTACTGCAGCCTTCATTATTCGCACAAATCGTTAATCGCCGTCGCTCTTAATCCCAAATAAAACGCTTGTATCTTTATCTTTAAATTTATGCAGAGATACATTTATAAGAATAGAACATTTTTGTAATGTAATGAAATTCAATGCATAAATCTTTGTTAATGCCATGTTTAATACAAATGATTACATTATGTCTTATCTTATCCTACCTAGCAACATGGAATGTATGCAATTCACATTATGACTACTGAAATAATAATCATAATAATTGTAACAGGTGAATTACATAATTTGCAACGAGTCACTGAAACAAAGATTTGGCATTAAATTTTATTCCATTACAAAAATGGCCTATTGCTGTTACATGCATTTCCACAACAGGTCTCACATTGCATTTGCCAACTGACAATCTGGAAGATGTTTTCATAACACAGAGGACTTTTCTAAAAGGTGAGATTTCGGGCTCAAAGAAAGTTTGGGATGGTATGCTTTGTTAAAAATCCTTATGATCAGAATTTTTAAAATAATTAATCTACCAGACTACATTTTACTGCACAGAAAGATCAAATAATAGTTTTTAAAGCATCTCATTAAAACATAAAAGCATTACAAAACAAAGAAAGAAGACTTCTCAAGGTTTTAAACTACGAACCAAGCAAGCAGTCATTTCTACTAGCTGACAAAAGTTTGTAGTTAATGGTGAAGACCAGCTAATATAAGATCGCTTGTGCTTCTAAAACTTCTAGTAAGCTGTTAGTTCCTGAAACCACAGGTGCATCCACAAGGTCCTTGACTACGAGATAAGCTTGTCGTTTGAACCTATGGTATGAACAGTCACCGAGATCATACAAGCAGCAATAACGCCAATGTTCGGTGATTCTCAATCATTTATGCTACTATACATTATGACTTCAAATAACAAATACACGGTTCTCTTTGACGATAATGTACGATGCAGCCTTTAAAAATATATTATGTATGCAATATTTACATTTCTTTGATACATAACATTGTAAATAGTGAACCACTTGAGCTGTAATGAGGATTGAAGAAAAAAGAAAACACTTCATACATCTCAATAACTGACATAAAAAGTATTAACATTGGAAGACTTCTGGATTGCCTCATTCACTATCATAGGGAAGTAATGGTTGTGCAAGCTGTTTGATTCTTAAAAATATTCTGAATCTTACCAAATTACTTCTAAGCGCTTTACAGATATTATCACCCCGGTCATCAGATTAGTTCATGCACAATGTGCATCATTTCCACTCCCTGGGGAGTATTCCTACTGTATGGTCACCATGAGGGCATATGGCAAGTACTTACACAAAGACTTTCGTCATCATACCAGGTCCCCATTTCTCTCTAGGGTATGGAGTGGCAAATGTAAATAAATACCTTGCCAAAGGACATTTCTTCCACCTTTGGTCTCTTAAACTTAATTCAAACTTCATAAATATCATTTATAAATTAATAGCACAGACAAACAGGATGCATTGTTACTGGCACACACATTGTAATTATATTGTCTATTGAAAACCAGAAGGGTACTGACTCTACATGAATGTTCTATTATACGAGTTAATGCCCTTCTGGCTCTGAACGGACGGTATTTTGGTCTTCAAATTTCTCCTGAAGGACGTTTACCCTGTGTATAATTTATCATATCTGCTGAGAGCCAGAAGGGCATTCACTCAAATCATTTTACACTGAGTGAATGCCCTTGTGGCCCTCTGCACATGGAATCTTGAAATCACTTGTTTCCCTCAAATTGGATTCATCACTTTAATTGTATTCTGAAATCTAATCCATTCATGACACTAATGGTAACATGAACCGATGAGAATCACTTTTTATCACTATTGGTGACTTTAGCAGTGTGCACTAGTGCTTCTCTTCTTGAAATGACCATAAAGGCATAATGTCACCTAGTATTGAGAGCAAAAGGGCATTACTTCATATACTTCAGCATAGTTATTGCCCTTCTGGCTCCCAAAAGCCGATATGACAACTTCGAACAAGCCCCTGAGATATAACATCCCATGATCACTGTTCACAAAGAACAAAATCTGCCACTCGTTCACCTGCTCACTCGCTTGTACAGTTAAGTAGATAAGTTTGGGGCTGGAGGAAGGGGTGCAACAACCCCTACATTTTCTTCTGTCATGTTTTATTGTTATTTTTCTCATGTTTTGTAAGACAGTCAAAAAGTTTCTATCGGCCAAAGTTGACCTTGAGTTTCAGAAGGTTAAAAAGCGCTGTCTTAGCACACGATTATTGGCCACTGTAGAGCTTAACTACGTTTGGTCTTAGCTGAATGGATAGGATGTTTGTCTCCAGGGGTCTTCATATGCCGGTATCTACCACAGTGTGGTTGGGATCTAGGCTGGGAAACAGTCTCTTGAGAGCATCTATGGTCCCTAGTACTGTCCTGAAGAGCCGTAAGAGAAATTAAGAAGGGAAAAAAAAGAGAAATTTATACAATACTCTGAGGAAATGTTAGACCCCTAATAGAGTTTAATACATTAATACAGTTAAGACCCATTCAGATATGATGCAGTAAACTGTATTACCCTTCACATTTCTGTGTCTTATAACACAGCTCAGTGACTATGTGAAAGTTTTTTTGGCACAATCGCCATTCATGTACACAGTTTTTTTGTGGCGGTTTACAGTGGCATTTCTGAACAAGCCTATAAAGGTACAAGAAATTAAATAGCAATAAGTTTTCTGTTTCAGACATCACATTGATTTGCAAAGAAAATTAAATATCACAGCTTTTTAAAGGTTAATGCAGTCCTTATGCTATGTTGTGGAGTGATTTGTAACTACAGAAAATATGCTACATCAAATGCTCTGTTTTTTTTATTTGATAGGATAAACAAAATATAAAATTGCATGTGCTAATAATTTGCACATATGTGTATACACGACAATGAATAATGTTTAACTTACGCTATACAACCCATGAATATGAGGAGAACGTCTAAAACCTTGGCTAAACATGAACGGGATCTGCACATAGAAGTAAATAAAGAAATGAAAATCGTTTAATCTCAGATTTGTAAGGGCAAATTAAGATAAATAAAAACTGAAGATGAAGGCTCGAAACGATAACAGTCTTTCACAAATAAAATTTTGGTATGAGCTTATATAAATATCCATTACCACATCCACATGATATTTGAATTCGAATGTAACACTAAATGAAACCTTAAATCATTTTATGACTGTTCTTTGATTAAAATATATATCTTTTAAACAATGAATCTGGCCACACAATGAAGATGGGGTTTCGAATTTTCTACAAAAACACACTTCTTGTAGAAATGAGAGAAATTCGTCTGTATACACAACGCCAATATCATATTTTTAAAAAGATCATCAAAATTGATAATGTGAACATTTTTTTATCATTTAATGTATGATATTTACTTTACTTTTTTGTAAAGACTGGCCCACCTACATATTAAATTTTAAATAAATTCTAGAAATGATGACTTACTCTTGGAATATTCTCCAGTGGATAAGGCCTGGAAGGATGAAAGCTAAAAGGGTGCAGCATGTCGCCCCTACTAATGCCATGAGGGTGGTAAAGTTTGGTATTAGCACTACCACCACGGCCGTCAAAAGAACCATGCCTAATCGAAGTAGATTCTAGAGAAGAGAAAATCAAGCAACAGAGTCAAACATCAAAAGTGAATAGTGCCTTCTTGGATAAATTAAAGCTATATTTTGATCGGTCTCCCTTTAACTGATTTAGTTTTTAGTTCTTGAAACTGTTGTGCTTGCATAAGGATTGATTTTTGTTGTTGCATCTTGCCAGTAGACAAGACTCCCATTTCATTTCCAACCATTTCTCGGCATCCTCCTTCAAGACAACATGACTCCCTTGGATCTTTGATAAGGTTTCTATTGTTCTTTGATTACGCAGTTTAAAAACATACCAAAAATTTAGGATTAGGATTAGGATTAGGATTAGGATTATAATTATAATCAGAAAACTTTTACTACAAAAAGAAATCACATTTAGGGAAATAACATATCATGTCAGTTCAAGTTAAGTGAGAATGAAGCAGAGACTCACCGCTTTAATAACCTCATTATTAGGATCTGTAAGCAACCTCTTCTCCAGGATTCTGATGACAGGGAACATCATGACTGGATAGGTGAAGTAGAGAGAGAAGGAGAGCAGAGCCTGGACGGCGTGGGGTAGCACACCGTCGGGTAGATTGAGGGTGATGATGTTCATTGTTTCAGGACCGAAGGACTGCAATAATATAAAGAGAAAAGCAAAATGTTTGATTAATCAGCCATCACTACTTTATGCCTTGGATATTAAAGTCTTGGAACCTGTAGGACTACCGCCTACCACTCCTGATAAAAAACGCTGCTTCCGGTCGGCACAAATTTCACATAACAAACTGCTTTAAACGTAACTATTTGTGAAGAAAAGTCGGACATGTACATTACATTCATATTTCCATCTTTAATAATGTTTTATTTGTAATTGTACAAGAATCATGTTTTCAATTTGACAATATGTGTTGAGATTTGCAAAGTGTTTGTCTAATGTTATAATTCATAAAAGCTGCCAAATTGAATTTACAGATGTATACGTTATAAAACGAGATAGCAGCCCAGGCTCATTTGATTACTGTTCTTATAAATGTTTATTTTTTAACAGGGTAAATAACATTTTTTGCAAATTTCTAGAAAAAAAAAGAAAAAAATACTATAATATATATTTATTTCAATATTTATATTGTAAAATTTCTTTATTAATTGGGTTTGAGCAGAACTTGTTTTGATCAGCGCCTAGTACGCATGTGTAATCGTGTTTATAGCTCGCGATCGCTATATAGCAGAGGTCAGGATTTGGGATTTAAATGGCTTCAGTGAAGTCGCGTCCACCACCAAAAAGTCTCTAGCTATAGGCAACACTGCCTATACAGACTATACATATGTAGGATAATTCACCATAAATGTGTATTGACTTACCAAATATCCACATGCTCCAAACCCGATAAATAAGCCCGTCATGGAAATAATTGCCATTTTGAATATTCTGCAAAAAGTAGAAAACAGTTTAGGAATTATCAATAATTACTTGTTACAAACAAATTTGGCAAAGATCCATGAATCATATTTAATGTTATTGCACAGTCTCGTGAAATTTTTCTTTGTTCACAACATTTAAGTTAAACATTTACAGCATTAAATAATTATTCGCACAAAGACAAGTAAGCTCATTCACTGAGGTTTCATCAGATGATATGCACTGAAAAATGCATGTATTCCAAGAATGAAATGTTACTTACGATCTAAATTTATCTCTTTTATCCATTGCTACAGAACTCTCCAGGTCAAGTATCATTCCAGCACCCTGAAAAAATGAAAAATGATTTAATCATAAAATTAAATGGAATATATAGGGATATGAATACACATGCTACAGAATATCTATCAAACTCATAAAACATGACAATTAGAACTCGATGTTCCAAATAAGAAAACATTGCTACAATAAAACTTACATAACTGCTCATGATAACAGCAAAATGGAGATAAAGAAGATGATATTAAAGTAGAAATGTTAATTACAACAAACAAACACACAAAACCAAATAAAATGAAACTTTCATCAGTTACACAATTCTCATTTATAGTACAATGGCAGTGTATAGAATAATTTAATGAAAATATTAAAGCTTATCTTGAGCTCTGGTATGGGAATCATATTTTGAGAGAAAATTGCTAAGATTTATTACGGATTGTTTATCTTGCAGTAGATTGGTTGTTTGAACCAGTGAAATAAAAACAAATGCACAGAAACTTATTGGCATCATCTTCCATAAAAACCACAACTCCCATTTGCACATAGTGTCCTGTGTTAAGCACATGGTGTCAGAATACCAGATTTCCTTTTCTTTTTATGTGTTACAATCCAGATCATTTTCCATGTTTTAGGGTCTGTTTTTATAGCCTAAGCCAGGACAGTCCTTGTTATAATAATGAGTTATCCCTTTGAGGTGCTCTGTAGCCCTAGTTCTTTTCTTACTGCAATGCTAGGCATGCACCCAGGTGCTAAATTCTCTAATATGTTCTGGGCTGGGTTGGTTCAGTCATACAGTTTTGGAATCAGTCTGCAGCCAGCTCTCACACTGAGAGGACCTCTGTTTCATGAGCTGGGGTAGCTCCGGGTAGCCACACCCGTTATCCCTTTTGGTGTCAGCAAGTTTTGCTAGCAGTAAGTTAATTTGTTTTCTTATTTTTAGAGAGGAAATTTGTCACCAGTTTTATAATTGTGTACACATATAGAATATGAAGATAAGATACTGGTTTATCCTTACAGAACTCAAGTTTATCATTAAATAACTGAAGTAAAACATACCTCATAACAGTAGAAGGCTATTACTAGAAAGAAGGGGAATCCCTCTAATGACATTGTCTTTGGATGAATTCTGTGTCAGAAAAATATAAGGCAAAAGATAAAGCCATCATTAGTCAATTCTTATCTTTACATCTCACTTGTTTTGGTCTAGAAGGAATACAGTAATATTACATTTCTGTTCTTGCTATGAAGGGTTTCAACTGTGAAAAATAGGTTGGTACCGCAACAATGCGACAATTAGGAAGATTTTACATTATTCATTAAACAATAAATTACATATAACTTAATGGTTTGGGTGAAAGCTAAGCTCTACATTGAGTAGATAATCAATAAGAGTGTTTCCAAAAGATGTGAAATCTGTTCCTATCACTAAATCTAAATTCTTGTAATCGATCGAAATGATTGTATTTAAAACTTTTTACCAAATGGATATTCTGTATAAAAGATTTTAACTCGATACTTACGGTACATTGTGTATGTGCTCAAAGTCAAACCAAAAAACCACAGTGTATGCAAAGATGTTTGCAAAATCAGCCATCAAGCTACAAGAAAAAGGGGAAGAAAAACAGAGCGACCAAGACATAAATGCATTTGTATCCATCTTGTTCATTTGGCTCTTATCAAATTAACTTCCGTTTGGTACATGTACATGATAAATAACTGAAAGTAATTGAACACCTTACAGATACCTAATTGAGAAATTGTAAAAAAATTCAAATCACACCAAAAAAAAAATTAACACACAATTTTGGCAAATCTTTTCATTTTCAACAAGAATATTTCTCACTTCTCACAAAATGAGACTAGTACACTTTCAAAAAAAATCATATTCATAATAATGATAATAATAATACAGGATTCTTATCAAGCGCTTACACTATCATTATCATCCAGGTCATTATCATCCTGGATTCAATTACTATTCTGCACGTTATGGTGCACTCTCTCCACTCCCTGGGAGTATTCCAGCTAGACCCAATTAACACCTTGGTGGAGAGGAGCAATGTAGCCTTGCTCAAGGACATTTTTATCATCCCATTTGAAATTTGATCACTTTAAAGCCTGTCTGCACTAGTTTGGCAAGGAGGGATTAGATTGACAGGTAGTTATCTCATCAAATCAGCTCTCACTTAACATACGGAAAAAGGGATCATGGGGGACCAATGGTCACTGATTAGACATTGTTGCTATATACAGGGCACAAGTAGCTATAAGTAGTGCAGTGGGGCTTTAAAGGGTATAATGAAAGGATATATATATACATACCTGAATAAAGCTAATTTATTGAGATGTCTTAGAAGTGATAATGCACAGCACCCAGGCAGCATGAAGACAATGTAATGGTACATAGTGAGATGTTGGAAGAGGGCCGCAAGATTGGAAGAGATGAATATCAAATAACTGCAACAGAAGCCTGAAATAGGACACAAAATGACACAAAACCATATAAAGGATGTTTATTTGTCATAAAGATAAGCTTGAGTTCTGATAATGATAGAAAAAAAACTCACAGAATCCAACAAAACTTTCACTGAATGTTCAAGATGTGCTTGTGCTTAACATATGTGCAAATAAAGTTGTGGGTTTTTATTGAAGAGGATTTCCAGCAAATTTGTTGAAGTTGTTTATCTTTTACTGGTTCAAAAAATCAATCTACTGCAGGATAAACCATCCAGAATGAATTATAGCCATGTTCTCTGGACATACGGTGCCCATACCAGAGTTCAACATTCACATTAAAGGAACTACTTCACATGGTTAGAACTTTTACACAAACTCAATCCACAATAATAGAAGCATGACCAAGAATAAATATCAAGGGATAGATTCCTCTCTAAAATAGAAGAAATTTTAGTTCTCTTTGACCATGGAAATTCATTACTACATGGCATACACAGTTGCCAAAAAGCTTATAAAGAATAGAGAAAAGTAAATCAGCCCTGAAGGGTATACAATTCACTTGGACACCATCCACTGATTTTTCTTTCAAGTTAATAAAGATAGATTTATGAACAAAATGATTTTCATTTTCCTTACAAAGGTTTTAGTTTCTCGATATGAATCTTATTTTCAGGTTCAATGTTTTACTGCATTCTTACTAGATAAGAAGGTCGCAGATTTAAAATAAATTTACAAGTACATCTCCATTTCTGAAACTGAATAACAGAATTGTTAATCAAACGACCCCATCTGTTCACTGGCATTTACACTTTGGTTAAAGTGTGAATGTATTGGCAGAGATACATATAAATAATGCAACAAAACAGGAAATTTCTTTATATGAGCAAAAGCTAAACCTGGAGTATTAAACAGAGGTGCTTGCACAACGTCTCTAGGAGAATCGTGCAGAAAACATGACAATACAAGAATAAAAATGAATACATAAAGCTACATTTTGTCACGGATATTCGTACCCCAGAAAGTTTTAAAACACTGCTATACTTGATTTCATTCTCTTTCTTCAAGTACATGACTTTCCTTTAAAATTCCCAATTAATTAATATTCAATCAACAAGGTATGATATACATGTAGTTGGATTGACAAAAAAAAGAACATGATTACAAATCTTTTCCAGATGCACTGGAATACAAAGTATCTGCATCAGTCATAGGATTATTATTCATTGGTTTGTATGTCGTGATGATCACTAGTACAATACAATGCAACAACATGCTTTAAAAAGTGGTTATGCAATGGGCAGATAGTATTGAAATCTTATACTGGTACATTCTAAATAATACATACCCATACATGTACGGGTATGGGTATCTGCATTCCAAAGTAGGCTAGATCAAAAATTACAAAAATGGTCTGTTCTATATCCCTATTCTATACGAAAATAAAATTACCTATTCATCTTTTTAAATTGAAACAAACCACAAATTCCATTTTTCCACCTGTTACTTTATTCTTCCTACAAGTGTATGACCTTTAAAGAGAAGGTCGAGTTCTGGGAAGAGGTGAAAAATAATTTGTGAGCGTTATCATTCTTATTATATGCAAGTGTGGAAGAACATCAGATAAGACATGTTCCCTGAAAAGCATGGCTCTTCAAATGCCTTCATAATCTAAATATGTCATGTAACATCGTAAAACTCCAGGGTAGGATTTTTACGCCATGTGTTCGTGTAGTCCCATTTACATCTTTCTGTGTACAGTGTTTGTAACTTTACCAAGACTTGGCCAAATTTCTTATTATTTTGATGATTCCAGAACCTTGCAATACACACAAATTCTTATGATCAACCTTTTCTGGTCGATTCCACACCGTTTCTTTCACAATGTAATCGCATGACCAGAACTCAACTTCATCTTTAATGTGACAATTGTTAATCTATATATTTATTGTGGTCCACAGATATTGGAAATATATATATTTAACTAACATTACAAGGTAAGAATCTAAAACCCAAAGTGAATAGTATTCATGCTCAAATACAGACAAATAATAATAATAATAAAAGTGAACATTTATAATGCGCCATGTCCGTCAAAAATGACACTCCTGGTGCAGTTGTGTGGAAATTGTATAATTGTTGACTTATTCAGAGAGTACACTAATATGACACATAGTGTAAACAACCAACAGCTGCTTTACATTGTAAATGAACAGCTGCTTGTAAACGTAAACATTAAACAGCTGCATAGAAAGTTTAGAAGATAATCTTTCTAATACATGTATCTAGCAATGCACATGAAATGAACCCAATATATATTGATTTATAAAATAATTTCAGATCTCATGAAATACCCATACTATATGTACATAGAAATGGCAGTAATCATGATACTTTCAAACGACAGAATGATTGTATTGTATGCATCTGTCGTCATGTAAAATTGTAATATTGAAAAAGACAATTTTTTTCTTAAAGTAAAGTATCCACTTTCAACACTCCTGTAAATTCTTGGAATACTATTTGAATGTCATGAAATTGAATGGAAATTTTGCAAGGACTTGACTTAGTCTAAATATCTGTTAAACAGTATCGGTACATGTTCCTGGTAAAATTGGTAATCTCTCGAGTGCATACACTGTACGCCTGGAAAACAACCAGGACATACAGTGTATGTGTATATTTTCAGAGTGAGCTATTATTTCTGTATTGCATACATGTACCAGTATAGTTTGAAAACGAATTGCCAGTACGGTAGTAGTGACATTCCACTTCAATACATTTAATGTTCTGGCCCCTGTTTCATAAAAACTTGATATCAATAACAAGTTACACGCTACTGTTATAAGCTACTAAAATCATGGCATCTGACTGGCTGAGAGCAAATTTGTCATAGAAATTTAGCATTTGTTATAATAATAATAATAATAATAATAATAGTGGCTACTTGTACAGTGCACAGGTCCACCTTTCGGTGCTCATGGCGCTTAGAAAAGAGTACATGTAACAGGCATAAGAAAGAAAAAACAATAAACCGAAAAACAAATTTGGAATTCTCCTAGACATAGTAAATTAAAATATTGCAATAATTACAACGAAAGAAACAAATAGGTTTTTAGTTGTAATTTGAATGTTTCTGTCGATGACAGTTGTCGTAATTTTAGATGGAGGTTATTCCACAGTTTTGGACCCATGGCTGAGAAAGCCTGTTCCCCCCAAGCATGTTTTATTCTGGGTGTATTAAGTAATAGTGTGTCTGATGAGGAGCGAAGACTTCGTGTGGGGTTGTATTTTGAAACAGAGTTGCTTAGGTATGCAGGGGAAGAAAGAGATAAAAAGTTTTATGAAACGAGCCCCTGGTCAGTATCCTAGTAGACTACAAGTAAGACAGGGTACAAATAAAATACAAGAGTAATAAAGTTTAATCTCATCTGAATTTTTGCATCGGCTATCAATACTTGAAACATACCTGTCTGAGATATGACGATGGACATCTCTACAATCAACCTCCCTTTGGTGCCTAGAGCATAATAAGCTGCAAAGAAAGAAAAGGAATCTTTTATGAAAATGTAATTTTAAAATCAGTTTGAAAATAACTTTCACATATTATTACTTTAAAGTAGCAAACAAAATTTGCTCAAATGTTCTGTGACACATCCTACGATACCAATGTAAACAAATTGATAGCACGTAGCATAACTTCAAGGTGATATAAGGAAACAAAACTCAATGTTTACCTGGTATTTTCTGAATCTCACGGACCCTACAATCATAGGGTATAACTTCAAAGTAATCAATACAACTGTACATTACTTGAATGATATAAAAAAAAAGGAATATCCATGACATGAACTTATGGGCTGGAAGAAATAAATGTGTAATTATTTTCAAGCAGTCCATAGCCTAATGATGTACAGTGTATGCATGGTGGGATACTTTTCTAGAAAAAGTGACAATGTAGGTTTGATGTGTACAGTAGTTAAATCACCAAAGAGAAAACCTTGTTCTCTATCTATACTCACCAAGATCTCCATAATTTAACTCTTTCAAATGTTCATTTTCCTGGATGAAACAGAAACAAAGAAAAAAGAGCAATGTCAAAGGTCTATCGATTACTCTATTGATAACAAAAACAAACAAACAAACAGACAAGCATGCAAACAAAACACAAGAGGAACACAAACTGCAAGCTAACACTACCAGTAAGTCCTGAACATACATCACTTCAAACATATGGTATCTAATTTGAAATGTTCTATTTCTAAGAAAATGTTTGACAAAACATTTTGATTTAACAAAAGATGGGTGCTATCATCCAACATAAGTATACTATTTGCTTCTTGGTTCAATATATGTTAAAGACATGTGTTGTATTACATTGTAGTGTCCCTCTAATCCATAGTTAGTGCAATTTTTTTTTTAGAAGACCTTACTAACGATTCCCAACACAAAAATCCAAGATGTGCGATTGTGCATGCACAACATGTATCATTTACAATTTATTAAGCTAGTCTCTAGTTAATGTAAAAACTTGAAAACCAACAAGTGGTCCAGATACAAAGACGTTTCAAAAAGACAAGTTATTTAATCATCACACCAAATTCTTGCAGGGTACAAAGCCAAAACAAGTTTTGGTTGGTGCAACAACAACAAAAACGGCCAGACAATTCAAGAAAGATTTGGGGTTAAAGTAATGAGTAGTGTTTAGCAGAAAAGCAGTTGGATTAAATTGTGAAATCAACACAAAACAAATTCCAAAGCATGCATGCATAAAAAACAAAATCAACCATTCATCACGTGCAAATGGTGCATTTGTAAATGGAAAGGTGGAAAGCAAAAGTAATCATGAAGCTTTGTGAGCAGTCATTCCAAAATGCAGAGTGAGATAGTTTCATTACAGGCACACAAAAACGTTTCAGAATATTCTTTCTACAAAGCGGTCGATCTGGATCACGATAAAACCTTCTCTTTGGAGAAGTTTTAAGGGTTAATTAGATGCAGTTATTGATCGTTAACGTGATAAGAAGAAGCTGTCCATACCACATGATATTTCTTGACCGCCGACTGCCGAGATATGTCATAGAGAGTAAGAGAATGAGAAAATGAGATTCAGATCAAAGGAACTGAAATTCCTTAAAACCCTGATGTGAGACTGTAGGGTTAGTATGTGCATGCTACATGATGAAAATGAGTGAAAAGTTAACTTTTTTGTTTGTTCAAGAGTCTTTGTTTAGATGTGCTAAGACAACTGCACAATTTCCTATTTCCTTAGGACAATCTTCATTTTTGTTTTCAGACCATACCAGATTACTAGATATATTGTTCAACCTTCCTGTTCTTTATTCTTTTCTCTTATTTTCCTTTTTTTGTTGTTGCTGATTTAAAATGATATGAGATGTACTGACCGATAAGCAGCCATTATCAAATTATAAGCACACCAAGACAACTGCAATATTTCCTTTTCCTTGGAACAATCTTTATTTCTATTTTTGTTTAAAGATTACCAGGGATAATACCAGAGATATGCTGTTCATCCTTCCCATTTTCTACATATTTTTTTGTTGCTTTGCTTTGCTTTTGATTAAATGTTACCAATACTGTTTGAATGAATGATTGTAACAAATGAAATATAATGTTATGTAATGAAGCTCATGTATACATGTAAACATGCACAATTCAGCATTTTGGCTGCGAGGCATTGTTTTTTAATAAAACCATTACTGAATTGAATATGATGAGATGTACTGACCGATTAAGAACCATTACCAGATTAAAAGCACACCAAAACACGAGGATGCAAGGAGGAGCAAAAGAACTTACGCAGTGAAAACGGCGAGACTTTTTTACCTCTATCTTTGATGTCTTGGTTCCTGAGAGGACATGAACCTCTCCGTTAGACTCTCCGCTTTTTACCACCCCTTCTTCCGAGGTTCCGTTCATCAGGGTCTCCATCTCCTCCTTGTCTCCTCCTTCGTCTCCTTTCTCCGCATCAGGTCTTGGAATAGGGGACACCTTGAAGAGTTTCCGAACTTCTTTCCTCTCCTCCAGCTTGTATTTGCAGTCGATCAATAATAACATGGCTTTCATGCTTTAAAAAGGGGGCAAAAAAGGCTTCTCGTATTAAAATTTTATCTGTGACATTAGTACTCAACCTCATCGGTACTGCTTACTACTTTGAATACGTCTTTGATTTTGTCTTGGTGACCTCTTCTTCCCTACAATGTCTATGTACATGTACATGTATACCAGTACTAATATATTTTCACATGAATGGAATGTAACAAGACAACACTAATTCATGAGCTTGCCCATTCATCGGAAATTGCTTAAAAACATTGCATGATCAGACTGTACAACATAGATGATTTTCTGTTTTCATGAACAGATTCCTTTACATACATGTGTACTTTGCACCTTTTTCCAAAATAATGATGCCACACACATCAAAAGTGTAAACCATTCAGAAAGTTGTCCTGCACAGAATACTGAAAACAAGTTGTCCAATTGTGGTACTTGGTATGAGCGTTATCAATATTTAATTTATACGACAAATAATACAAAAGTTTGAGTAAAAGCAAAGTAATTGTTTACCTGACAATTGCTACAAATAGCATGATAATTATTCCCTCCCAGATGCCAGCCTACATGGAGAAAAAGAAATTAAAATTGAACAAAAGAAATAAATTAGGAAGTTGTTTAGCTCTTTTTTTCTTCATTTCCCTAATTCAATCACTGCACTGCTTTATTTTCTTCTAATAAATGCTAGCTGGTACTTGCCAAAGGCTAAAAAATATGACATTTCCAAATTTGAAAGTTTAACTTCCCATTTCAGAAGTCTCAAGATTTCTGAGTTTTCCTGAATGGATGAATATCACAATAACAACAGTTGCTTGTGTATAATTCAAAAATCTCATTTATTATCCTGATTTATATTCACTTACAAACAAAAACAAACAATCAGAAATCACTGCCAACTTTTTCAATGGACAATGCCAATCAAATCACATCTCTAAATTGTCCAAAGATTCTGAAATTGTCACTGGCATAGCTGACAAAGTCTAGCTTATGATTTTCTTTAGAAAATACAAAGTGATCCTCCTTGGAAATATACCAAGGCAAATAAGGAAACTCTTTCATTTGTAACCAGCGCTCAAAATACACGGGGGCGATGGGCGATTCGCCCCCGTGAGCTCCATAATCGCCCCCATCAGGTTGTCCACGGGGGCCATTGCAAAATTAAAAATCGCCCCTGTGTAAGTATAAGATAAAAATTTTCAGCGAATTGAATAATATTAAAAAGGACGCAATTTATAGTTGTACTCGATAATTCTCACTTAACATATTCTCTCTCTCTCTCTCTCTATCTCTCTCTCCCTGTCTTGCATAAAGAAAATATGAAAATAATATTTTGCCTAAGAAAAATTGAAAATTTTATCAGTATTAAACAGGGAAAAGGAAAGGGGAGGAAATTAATCAAAACAAACATTGAAGAATCCAATTCAGTGTTCTTTCATGATGCATAAGAATGAAAGTACATTAAAAGGTGAAATAATAAATTGAAGGGCGATGATGAATCAATTCTTTGACGTTGATTGATTGAATAAAAAATAATGAAACAATATGGTCTGAGGGTCACATATCTTCGAATATTAGAAAGTTTCATCCACCATCGTGTTGTTGAACACTATTTGCAATTTAATTTTGATGTGGTGACTTGTCAGTTATGAGCAGAAGGTCATATCAGGCTTCTATATTCTATAATACTATCAACAGATATCTGGATAGAGACACTTCGTCACATCAAGCTACGAGAAAGTATATCATCTCACAGAATTCTACTCGAACACCGCATCAAAATTCTTTTCACCCTTTTTTTTTCTTCTTCCTCTTTTTTGGTCCCTTTTACAATGTAGCTCTCCTTTTTTCCTTTTCCTTCCTTCTCTTTTTTTTTTAACGGGGGCGGGGGGAGGCAAAGGCCTTTTGCCCCACCCCCATCTGCAACTTGTTGGTGGGAAAATTGCAACTGCATGATACAATGTATCCCCCTTCTCTTCTTTACTTCTTCCTCAATTTTCCTTCCCTTTATCTCCTTTCCATTTCCTTCCTTCCTTCTCTCTTATTTTGTTATATTGGGGGGAGGCAACAGCCTGGGAGGCAAGGCCCTTCCCCCCCCCCCCCCCCGATCTCCTTCTTCCCCCTTTTCTTTTCTTTTTCCTCTTCTTTCTTTCCCTTTCTCTCCTCTTTCCCTTTCCCTCTTTTCCTTCTCTATCTCTCTTTCTCTCTCTTTTGCGGAAGGGGGGGGGGGGCAAGGCCCGCTCACCCCCACTGGATCCGCGCCTGCATCTACCTTATATCTACTAACGTTAGACCCTAATAATGGATCTAGAAGATTGATTGACCTGGTCTCAGTGACGGGTAAACTTTTTTTTCTCAATTACTTGGTCTAACCATGAAAACCGTCTAATTTTACTTTAGATTTTCAAACACTAACAGTTACGACCTAAATGAGACCTAAGGCCAAGGGCTTTACTCTACATTTTAATAACAAATTAACGTTAACGTTAGACTTAACTTAAACTGTTGTTTCTCTGTGATACAAGTGGGAAAGGAACACTTCTTTTTTCAAAAAAAAGAAAGAAGAAAATTCCCCTTTTTTCCCCCTTCTTTCCCCCCCCCCCCCCCTCCCTTGATCCGCCACTTATCATGGGGATAAAAGTATACAGCTATGTAACAAGTAAATTTCTAAGAGGGAGAATGCCGACTTAAATGATAATGATAAAATACCAAGGAATTTAGGTGTTTCATTGGTACCAATCCAATGGAAATTTGTATTAAAATAAGAGCCTCCGTCAGCACTAAAAGAGAAGGTTCATGGGGGCTATTTTTTTTTGGAAGAGCCCCCGTGGACAAAAATTTAATTTGAGCCCTGTTTGTAACCCATTGTCTATTGGAACTGGGTGGCCCCTGTATAGCTGCATTAAAAGCCTATGGCAATGATTGAATTTAGTAGTCCACAGGTAAAAAGACGAGCTTGAACTTCAAGTTGAAGCTAGTACTAGTAATAATAGTGACAGCACATCATATAGAATACAGTCTTTCTTTTTACGTCAATCTTTGATATGGATCAACAATTTTATGACATAACATGCATTTATCTTCATCACCTTGAGCGCACTTACACTGGAAAGAAGGGGTGCTGGTCCGAGAATGAGGATTGTCCGCATAAACAAGGATATCCTCGTATACGCAGACAAAATGTGCCCTGAAAAATAAGGATCATCCGCATTTTTATGAATGCTTTTTCTTTTTGGACGCTCTGCGGTTTTGGGTTCCCGATCCACGGGCTGGCGATGCAAAAACCGATTCTGCATAAATGCATAATAAAATACCCCCAGTTCACCATCTACTTTTATGGGTTGTCCGTCTTCCCGAGGATTTATCACTCCTAATGTATAATGTGTAAGTCTCTGTACAAGGTAAATGCAAAATGCATCAAGAAAATCATTGCAGAACCCGTTTTTTTCGCATCGTCAACGCGCGGATCGCAAATCAGAATCGTCAGCAAAAATGCTGACATTCCTTATTTTTGCTTCCGCGTCTGTCAGCTTTTACGAAGACGATCCTCGTTTGTGCGCACGATCCTTATTCTCGAACCAGCACCCCTACTGCTGGAAGAAGAAATAATGACAAAACATAAAATCTAAATGAACTGAAAAAGAGAAAAAAAATAATTGGTGTTCGTCACTTTGACTTTGTGGTTACCGGTACAACTTAAAGTTACAGCATGATGCTTATCGGTATCAATAAAATACATCATATTCAAATAAATGCTGGATCATATGACTTCCCAATCCCAATTCACACATTTAAAGTGAAGAGTTGTACTTAGAACAAGACGTGGCCGAGTCACCGAGTCGGACACATGCAACGGCCAACTCTGGCCCCGCGGTTATCCGTCATCTGTTCATTCGTCATGCACATAGACCTCTGTGCTGTGTCGTCCGAAGTCGACTCCAAACGCAAACTTACCTCTTTGAATGCATAGGGTAATCCAAGCACTCCGGCTCCCACAAAAGATATAAAAATATTAGCGAATATTTTCACACTAGAACTTGTTGCATGTTCACCGTGCATTTTGAAGGTTTTTGTTACTGCACGTTGGCATAAAAAGGTGTGTTTTTACAAAATGTTATGGAAAGTTCCAACTCCACACTGCACTGATGACGACTCCGTTGATTGCTATGATCTATGCTGCATGCATTATTGACGTTTACGTAGACACGTTCAAGCTATTCTCATTCCAATGATCTTTTGTAAAAAGGGGATGGGCAGCGTACAGATACACCATTGCACATTCAATATCATTAGGGCGCTGACGAGTGGAAAGAGGCTACCGCGTTATTGGTAGAGAAATGAATCATAAGTAGGTATTTGGGTCCACATCATACAGCTTTTGACAATGTAAAATCTCAACTAAAAAGAACGCCCACACGCATACTTTAAATGCCTCCCTAATCAATTAAAAGCTGCTAGCTCGCAGGAGCTTACAAGGACAAAAACAAAACGAAAACAAAAAAAAAAGAGAGGAACAAATGCTTCTTTTCCCTATTATATTATTTTATTATTGATTTTTTTAGCATGATTATGATGCAGGCCTATAGATCTATGTATAGTTTTCATTTCCTCTTTTTTTAATCTTATATTAATTTGTTGTAAAATCTTCTGTAAACTGTTTAGCCCCCTGATGTACTCTCTCTCTCCCTCTCTCTCTCTCTCTCTCTCTCTCTCTCTCTCTCTCTAATATCTGATCTCTCTGATCGATCTCTCCAATATCTCTTTCTGATCTCTTTCTGATCTCTCTCTCATTAATGATCATCTGCTATCTAAACACAGTATTCACAAATTCTCTTATCGGACAGATTCTGCAAAATAAGTTTTTTTCATGAAACATCTCTCTTGGTACTAAAATATCTCTGCATGTATTTATTTGTATAATTACATCTATTACAAAAGTCCTTTGCTGTCATTTTAATATTCACATATATCATTTTAGTCAAACCCCAAGATATTTGAAGTATTATCTTATAAAGTGCACCTATACATACGTGTATACAAAGGTCACAGGACAAATTTTTAATCAAAATTATCTAAGTACATAACAAAAGTAATCCTTGTCGGTTGTAAATATGTTTCAACATATCCCATTAGGAACCAAACAAGGAAGATTGGGGAGTGCAAGTGTCTCATTTGATTAATACTGTTTGTGTTTATCTTGTATCAGAAAAAAATTTAAGTTTGAAGGCATTATCATCTGTTATTTTCTGGATATTCGATGGTAGAGAGTTTGAGATTGTAAACTTTAGATATACAACTCCAAAACTTTGAAACACCATGTCTTCCAGTTCTTCAGCCCAAACTGTTGCTGTTTTCAAAGCTGTTTAATAATGACAATCTACTTATTTACTGAAGCCCAAAATAACTTAATTCTCTGTGTGCCTGTAATGCAAACGCAATTTAGAGTTATTTTTATAACATGCGAAGAGTACATATATATTTATAGTGCAATGTAAATTCATATTTATCATCGTCATATAATTCGTACCGAGTATGTCTACATCACAGTACTAGACCTCATACTCATATAAAAGAGAATGTAGCATTTAAAGACACTTCATTCAAGAGGGAAACTGTTGTGGAGATTAAAAGTAATAAATGATACACTCAGAGACACTAGAGGTGTGAGACCCTTCTTTCAGCAATCTATTTTTAACTTTAGAATTGGATTATTTAGAGCTATGGGACCTAATTACTTTTTTTCATAATTAGGCTCTGAGGACATTCATTGAAGTTCATCAAAAGAGCAATTTTGAATGATATACTTTGTAAACTTTAATAGAGCAATACCATTTCTATTTGATTCCTTATAATTCAGACCTGCCAACCTCTGGAGTTCAAAAACTGTATTCTTTAGTCCCAAAAGTTGTATTTTACTGACAAAAGTTGTATTCTTGAAAAAAAACACGGATTGTTACGCAGATCAATGCCTCTTACAGTTTTTACCTACAGGAAGAATTTTTTTTATTGATCATTGGTTGAATATGCATGATTTCGTCATGACTGGTGTGTTCGATGAACCAATGAACATCCCCAAATTGCTGATGTGAGATGCTTGTCGGATACTTTACAGGACAGAATGAACATTTTGCCATTGAAAATGGCGGACGCACACACAAAATATTAATTTAAAAAAAAAAAAAAAAAAAAAAAAAAAAAAAAAAAAATCGTTTTTTTTTTTTTTTTTTTTGTTGAAATTTGTTGAAAATCGTATTTTATTAAGGAAAATCATACTGTCGTATTTGCTTCTAAAAATCGTACTAAAAATCGTACTAAATACGACTAAATCGTACTGGTTGGCAGGTCTGATAATTGTGTGGTATGTGTAAGTTATCTTTGTCAAATGAACGAAGGGGGTCATGTAACAACAAAAAAACAAAAAACATTGTCTTGTTTCAACAGAGAGTGTAGGGTACACTTACGGTATTCTCAATACAAATATAATTATTTCCAGACATGAAGAAAATATAGTTGTATACTTTTGACAATGACAATGACAATAAAACATAATGATAAGGTCTTATTGATCCAGTGTAGCCACATCAGCTATTGATCTATTAATAAGCCCTGCAGTGTTTACTGGAATTCTTCCTCCGCGTATAATTATGACAAGCTACTTAAACAATAGTCTTCTATGCTTGGTCGTGATACCGGTTCTGATCCATTCACCAATCATTCTCCCATCATGATTCCACTTTGTTATGCTGAAATCTTGTTCCATATATTACATATTGCAGCTGTTGCTCTCCATTTTGCTCCATCTACGAAATTCTACTGGCTCGCTCTCTCATAACACAGAGCATAAAAATAATGTTTGTCTCTGCAATACTGCAAATCTGATGGAATGTCTAGATTGTGATGTGATGAAAGTCGCACAAGAATCCTAAGGCATCACGTCTTTAGCTGCAGCACAGCCTAGAAAGAAAAGAAAAAAACTAATTAATGAAGCATTCGTATTACTTCATACCAAAACAATTAGAACTACAAAAGGTGGCTATAAAGTGCTGTAAATTATATATAATTTATTCCGATATACACATTCTTCCAGTTAGTTGACATCTTGGTATTGATAGCCACCCTCTATGAAAATCTACTGTATAAATTATTATTCTCAAGAATATACATGTATTTCAATACCTTTAGATCATGACAGAACATAGCTTGGCTAATGCCAGTGTAATAATAATACAGCATTTAGAAAAATTAGTATTTAAGCACTTATATATGTTGTATTATTATTCTTCTTATTATAGAGTGAATAAAAACTTACCCGATTAGCTGTTTCTAGAGATGATACCAGCTTCCTGAGTTCTTCTTTGTCTAGTTCCAATGAGACGAGTCTATTGGTTCCATCCTCCATCAAACTCAGATCTAGATTGACAAGAGGTTCTTGGACTGACGAGATCTTATCACTGGACATTGCAAGCTGTATCAGAAAAAGAAATGAAAGAGATGTCTTAAAGGGTAATCCAACCTTTGTAATAGGTTTGTTTGTGTGAACGCAGAAAAATTTGAGAAAAAATAATTGGCAAAAATCTTGAAATAAATCGGATTAACAATAAGAAAGTTATGATCGTTTGAAATTTGAGATCACTAAGTCTATGCGAATCTCAAATTGTGATGTTGTAAAATAGGACACTGATGTCAATTCTCAATGTAGACTCTCTTGGAGTTAAAATTCAGTAAACTGAGAGAGAAAAAAGAATTATGTAAGGGGCCTGGGTCGATTTGCCCTTGAAACTCTCAAGAAAGTTGAAAACAAATAGGAGCCGTAAAATGCAATTTCTCTCTGAAGCAATAATGCACAAGGCAATGACAGACAAGCTCAGTTCCAAACAGCAGTTATCACTGACATGTAACTCTTCTGTAAGATGTATTCATAGCATGGATGCAAGGAAGAACTACTTACTTTCAATTTCCAGTCAAAGTCAGTGAGATGTGACTGAGAGATGGAAGCTGTGTTCCCAATAAGTGCTTTCCCAAGGTCATCCCTTCGTATCGACACACACTCCATCAACCGCTCTTGTACATCCTCAGACAGACCACTTAATGCAGCTTTCATCTGTGATGTAAAGATAATCATGAGAAAAACATGATTTGTAATTCATGGGACTAAGACAATTTTCTCTGCACATTAGAGGAATGTAAAATGTAAAACAATGATGAAAAGTTAATGTGACCTAAAGAAGTAAAATTATGCACCATGAAAGGACCCATGGTGATTATATTTTCTGGCTTTGAGTACATAGCAATGTAAGTAATGGTGTGTAATGCAAGGTTCTGGAGTCATCAAAATCATCATAAATTTGGCAGAGTCTTGGTAAAGTAACAATCACTTACACAGAAAGATGTATATGGGACAACACACATGGTGTCGGGGCTAGTACTACCCTGATTTCCTTATCTTTCTATGTTCATTACTCAGCCAGTATACACTTTCTTCCAAAATTGTTTGGCACACGACATTTATTTGTAATCTTGAACATTCAGTGTAAGTTTCGTTAGATTCTGTGAGAATTCATTTTCTTTTTTTACCAGAACTCAAGTTTATCTTTAAATTCAAAATGCTAAAACATCTATTCACTGAGCCATATACCATCTCTTAACTCATTATATTATCAACAATAATAAACCATTCTTTTATAATGCACAACATATTAAATAAGTATGTCTCTAAAGTCTCTGTGTGCTGATTTTGTAGTTATTAAGTAGTCCTGCCAACTCTACCCTTGCAACTATTGCCTTATGATACATCCACCAAATTCACTCTACTTAAACTTTCAGACTCTATACCTTCACCTATTAGTGTCACTCTCACTACCAATTTCAGGGATACGACCAGACCCTAACAGCGGTATACCGCCGATCTCCAAAGCCAACGTCATGCCCCACAAAAACGTACTTCATCTTTGGTAGAATCCTTCTTGACGGCCATCTTGAGATACGTCTCGCAACCCTGTATGACTTGAAACCATTCATCCAAGCTCCAGATCTTCCCATAGTCTTGATATCGAGGACGATGATGACCAGCTACGCTGTCTGCTACTTGGTGTAGAAGCTGGTGGAAAAAAAGAAAGACAAATTGAACTTGTAGAAAAATCATCAAGTTTTTTAATTCCCTGTTTTATAAAGACTCCCTATATAGTATGACTTCATAATACTATCTGAAATGTATTTCATATATTTTGCATGTAATAATAAAATCATAAATGAAGTCTTTGATAAATAAAGTGAATAGAAATGCTACAGATGATGACATCATATGAACACATGATAAATGGGGGAAAAAGGGAAAAAGAGATAATTTAATATTCTTTTATCTCTCACTCTCAGATCTTGGCCTTAACAGTAACAGAGGACTCAAACAAATTATGTTTTCACTACCACCATTACCACTTGTCCCAGTCAGTGCTGCTGAAAGCTGTAGCCTGTGTAACATTTATCGTCGTGAAATAGGAAGCCACCATTCTTTCCACATAGTCTAGATCTACTACACAGTGCCACCGTTTAGTGTTAGCGGTCCATTGCATTCTCTGTCTAGATTTAGATCTAGAGATTCTATATTGCCTACCGTTGGTCTCATTTTTCAAACCTAAGACTCAACACACAAGCGTGTGCATTCCCAATTATATTTCATTATTATGCCAAGCTTGAATTCCCCATATCCTAGAATAGACCCCTGCTCCCCCGTGCCCCCCCAAAAAATTGACTGAGTTGAGCTGAGCTGACTAAAGTCAGAGAGTGGAGTAAACTAATTTGCAGACCGATTAATACGTGGCAAAGACATTAAAGACGGTATTCAAATAATATTGTTTATTCATCTTAAAAAAAGAATGTTACCGATAAGTTATAGCTCAATCCTTACCTTCTCCATATCAGCTGTTGAGCATTTTGAGAGGAGACCGAGATCTTCTATGGGCGTCGCCATTTTAGTTGAGTTTGGGGTGTAAGTTTTCTGTGAGGTCTAGCGCCAGCTATTGGCCTAATCTAGCAAACTGCTGCAGCCATGATATTTCTATGGCTGCAGCGCAATCATAATGACGAAATTTGTTACGAGGTCTAGCGCCAGCTAGTAAACACACGTCCAACTGATTTCCAATCATATTTTGAGAGGAGGGAAAAAAGAAAGTTCTACAAAATTATTATTGTTTTGTTTTTTGTTACCAATTTCTCCAAACAACAAATACAACTTTCCTCTATCACACCCATATTGCCATATATTGGCATATATTTATGACATGTACGTCACTGTACTATACAGCTGTGAATATTTTTGAAATTCTATTACTGCAAGTTCCAACAACCACACTTTACTTATATTCCTGTTTCTCTTTAAAAAGTTTTTTTTTCTTCAACTTGTCTAATCCGTCTATAATATATTCTCCTCACTCACTCCTTCCTTTTTTTACATTTTTTTAAAACCAAGCTGCAAATACACGATTATTGCAGATTGTAACCCTTTTCTCTTGAAGATTTAAAAAAAATCACTGATAATCATTCTCATCTTTCTCTCCAACATACTCTGCATCCTAGCTTGTCAACACCCTCTCTTCACATGGTCTCTATCATCCTTACTGAAACCCATCACTAATCATTAACCTTCTTCTATACACCGACGAAAAAAAAATATTATGCCACGCTCCATCAAAAAGAGTTTTCATGATCATGAATGCCAGGATAATGAAGTGGTTAGGAGGGGACAATTCACTTTCAAAATGTTGGCCTAGACAAAATTGAATGAAAAGTGAAACTTTAGAACAAATTATGTTAATCACTTATTTAGTTTCATTGGGAGCTATATTTCAAATTATTAAAAAAATTAAGAACTAAAGAAAGAAAAAGAGAGAAAAACATTGACAAGTCTGTTGCAAGTATATATATTTCCCTTTTTATTCAGTTAGCATTTCATGTACTTGTAAATTGAAAAAACATGTGTGTTGACAATATAGTTGATTATACATATTTATACAGCCTCGTTTACATGTATTTTTTTGAATTACAGCCCTAGTCATCCAGATAATATTCCAACACTTTCTTTATGCAAGTATATAAAAACTATTGAATAAATGGGCACATTTTTCAAAAGAGCCCTCTGTTCAGAATCAAACCAGTTTTAACTCTGTATTAAAAGTTGTATTATGCAAACAAAGGATAATGGACATTAGGGTAGCGTGATCCAAATCAACATTACTTTCATTTTGTGTAGGACTGTTTAAGTTAAATCCCTTCTGGCTCAAGATGCATGGTTTGCAGAAAGTATTGGAACAATAGCTAGGGTGAATCTGTTCTCATTTAGAAATACATAAAATCAATGAATTAATGTGAACTGAAAAAAACCCAGATACCAAAAAAAAAAAAAATCTAGTCGGAGTAACAGGGATGTTGACCCTTTTGTAAAATGCCTGACATGAATTAAAACCTTTCTTGCCCCAAAAGATGATATCTGAAAAGAAATTAATTCATTTAAACCCAAAATACTAACCACCGGATAGGCTTTGCAATTTCATCTAGAGATAAGAAATGTTTGAACTATAATTGCGAGTAAAACTTGACATAAAATAAAGGAATGCATCTTAAGCCTTTAGATAATAGCATGAAAATATATCAACAAGAAAATATAGTAAATATATATCCTCTGCGCATTGAAGAGGGAGAAAACAAAGTTACAAACTATCAATCAAGCAGTTTATGAACAAAACAATTGATGATATATTAGACATTAGTAGACATTTAGCCACTTCTTTGGTTTAATGGTTAACATAGCTTCCGCAACTGTCAACTGATAACCTTTCTTAGATAAAGAGTTAACAAAAAAGAAAATGGGATAATGCATAAGAATAAAGGAAAAAAGCCAAGACTGCACTAAATTTATTGACAACGGTCATTGCTGGGAAACAATGTTTTTATACTTTCATCATCACCCAAAAAATGGTCGGCCATGTTTTTTTGTTAAAAAGAACAAACATTTACAATATTTGTCTTGTTCATGTGACATAATTATCAATATTTTTTTTTTAATCATCTGCCTTCCTCAACAATTTGAGCATGATTTAGAGGAAAAATCAAACACAGGTCACATAAGAGAATGAATTGTTATATATTGATAATTCTTTACTAGCGGAAGTAGTATTGACACAATACAAATTATAATCATCTGAACTTCTGAAGCTCTTAGACTTTGACTGATGATAGTTTTGGTTTTGTTGACTTGGGTGATATAAGCAAGAATATAGTGATAAACATCTTAAGACGAATGACCTCTATGAATAATGACCTGTGAAATCTCCCTGGTAACGCTATCTCAAGAACTCTAAGGTGCAATGAACCACAAGACAATAGGGAGGTCAAATTGAGGGCATGCATGACCCCTCCCCCCCCCCCCCAAAAAAAAAAAAAAAAAAAAAAATGCTGACTTTGTGGTTCAAAAATGAGATGCATCCTCTATGAAAATAGCATTAATAAGCTGTATCATGAATACTTAACAATCAATATCAAATTCAGTGTTTGTTACATTATCAAAATGATTCTTTTCTAGTTTTTTAGAAATAAAGCAAAACATTAGCTGATGACTTACCAAATACAAGTGGAAATTAAATCATTTCTGATTTGGCTTTAACTTATGTCATGACATGTCAGCTGGTTTACAATAAAAGAGCATGTTATAAATATCATCTTTGCATGATAGGCAATCTTCTAAAGTAAGGGGATATAGGTTCATCATAATAATATGATAGCAAATAACATTAATTAATTGAAAGAAGGAATGTAAAATAGGTAGTACTAGCAAATTTAAACCCAAAACAACCAAACCCCACAAAAGAAAAATCTTACACAGTTTTTGAGAAAGAAAAAAAAAAGAATTTTACCTAGATATGAATCTCATTTTTCTATGCAATTGTCTTCATCAGAAAAAGCAGAACACATCTCTACAACTATACAAAATTAATTCCCTAGAAATTTTCGAACCTCAGAACATAATGTTTTTTTCCCTCTTCTCTTTTTTTTTGGCAAGTTGAAAAACAAAGTATATCCTATTATATGAGTAATTTCCAGTATGTAAGTATACACAATAAAGTTATATTCCACTATATACTATGGTCCCAATCCCAGATATAAATAATCAGATTTGATTCATAATTTATCAGTAAAATCCAACTCGCGTACATTATCTTAGAAATTCAGCATCATACTGTGCGGATGGGTAAAAACACTGCCTAGTTTTGTACAACCAGTTCTCTACTCTACGGAACAACCAACACCATCTACTTTACACAAATGTCTACAATATGAATCTATACACAGTTATTTTTATCTCATCGTAGCGGGAAATAGGCAGGACTAAAGCAATCCAAGCTGTCTGGACTCTGGAACCATCTGTGAAGAAGAAAAGAAAATTAGAATATCTGAATGCATGGGGTTAGTCATCATCATCCACAAAGTACTAGTGGGAAATCAAACTGATATGACAATCTATTCCTGCCTCAAAAATTAAGTAAAATTAATTGTTCGTATAACGGATACAAAAAACAAAATCATATAGACTGTCAACAAGGTACAAGACATCTCTTTCCAATATTCATTTACTCTGATAATTTGTTATGAGCCATTTGCCTCCTACTTACATGTAGAACTTTCATCAATGCAAAAGTATTTTACTGACATCGCTACCACTGCCATTATGTATTTTCAATTGCAGCATTGATCTTTTCGTGAAGGTGTACAAAGAGTGATTTCCAGTTCCTGTACCCAAGCATCATCATCAGTTGGTGATGCATTGTGGGACATGACTGTCAAAATATAGTAGAATACACTGCCTTTAAAGCACGTCTGCACTAGTTTAGTCAGGGGGATTAGACCTCCCTGCAAGGTCAATGACAGGTAGTCATCTCATCAAATCAGCTCTCAATCAAGAAAAATGAAGAAAAAGAGGATCATGGGGGACCAACAGGCAACGAGTAGGCATTATGTGCTATATAGAGGGCGCAAGTAGCTATACGTAGTGCGGTGGGGCTTTAAAGCAAGTATTAAACCAAGTTGATATAAATGTCTATAAACTTTTTTATCTCTCTGTGAAAATGAAAGTTAACAAACCAACTTCCTCTCTCTTTCTCTTTCATAATGAAAAAAAAGTGTCAAGTCACTTCCTTTTGAAATAAAAAATGTAAAGTGCAAAACACATTAATTTGGTGTATTCTAAATTATATTACAGTGCAGTCAAATTTGCAAGCTTCGTTCATGTTGATGAATACCAAACTGATCATTAAATTTTCTCTTTTGATAAAGAAATGGTGTTAAGATTATGCTTTCTAAAATCATATAGCCCACACAAGAGACATTTCCATGGCAACTAAATTACTATGAATTTCCAGAATAAATCCTCACTTTGAAAAGCACTCAGCATACTCCAACAAAGGTTGTTGCCTTTCCAGTTTTCTTTAGGGTCTCTAGCACATATTCGCTAGGTAGAGCTGTAGTCACATACACCTTCTTTGCGTCCAAGTTAATTTCTACATCATTCTCCCCTGAAAATATGAAGAAGAACAAAAATGAAGTGGATTAATCCACTGATAAGAAAAGAAGACACACATTTATGTTTCCACAGTACATCAAAAGTTAAAGATTAATGTGAGAGAAACATAATACAACCTAATCTTATATTCACATTTTACAGAGGCCTACTTTCAAACATAAGATATCAATGTATTTTTAATGTAAAAAAACTGTATAGCAAAAAGAAATACAAAAAATTAACACATTAGAATTGAGACTACCAAAAATCAAAGAAATGTGATCACTTTGATATCAAATAATAATAATAATAATGATGATCATTTATTAATGCTGAATTATTGTAGTTGTAGAGCGCTTACAATCCGCTCACAAGGAGCTGAAGGCATTTCATAACTGATCCATAGAATGTAAAGATGGTTGCATGTTAATGACATCTATTCCGCGCTCGATTATAATCACTGTGGGTGTCAACATAACTTTCTTATGTCCATGCTCTACAGAGGCTAAAACACATTAAAGGTAAAGACCAGTATTGGAAACGCCCCAATTTCAAAAAATGAAATGGAAGCTCTCATTACCAATCATGTGAAAGAATATGTTTTGACTAATACATGATGATAAAATTTGCCGGGAAACCGCCTACTAATTCATATATTTGGTAAATTTGTTTCTCTCATGGTCTGTGAGAGACATAGGGTAGTCCCATATACATCTTTCTGTGTATAGTGCTTGTAACTTTACGAAGAATGGGCCAAATTTCTTATCATTTTGATGATTCCAGAACATTGCAGATGCTAGATGCTAGATGATCAACCTTTTCTGATCGATTCCACAACGTTTCTTTCACAATGCAATCGCATGACCATAACTGGTCTTTACCTTTAAAATCACTGTGTGGAAAGCATTTTTTGTTGTTGTATACTTTATTGTTGAGACAAGAAGTTTAGCTAGGGGATTGTTTCTTAAAACCATCACAAATCTAACTTCTTGGACATCCTATTGAAACATGGCATTTCTACGGGAAATAATAGCTTAGACTTTTGATAGTTTTGAAAAAACTGGCCCAAGACCTCAGATTTTTCTTTAACTATATATACCCCTCCCCCAAAAACAAAAACAAAATATATCTATGTATACATAATATAACAGAGCTCCACATTAACTTTTGTTGGAAGGGGTCTGGAATTCAAAACTTTTAACAGTCAGTACGCATGAGCCCTATGATGTAAAAACTTCAAAATTTGGAGCACCAACGTGTCCCGGGTGCCTGTTAGTGATGAGTCTTGATGAAACCCCCAAAATGAATTAAGATATAAAAACAAGGCTAAAAGTGTGGTGGAGACAGAAATAGACATCTTTTCTATTTAGTAGGTAGTGTAGGAAATTAAAATTTAATTTACTCCCTACAAAAGATACCTACACAGCACTCTTCCTAGACACTTGCAACATATAACATGTCCAATGAAAAACTGTTAGTATTAGTTCCTGTTTTTTTTCTTCCCTATAGTCATCGACTAAAATCTCACCTTCCAGTCGCTTGAGAACTCTTTCAACTGCACCTACACAACCTCCACAAGTCATTTCAACAGTGAATTCATATTTCTGTGGAAAAGGGAGAGGAAAATATTTATGAGTCCTAACTAAAACATCATCGTCATGGGAGCTTACGTTGAAATTGGATTTTAAATGCCTATGTGTTGTGTTTTTCATCCATCATATCACCAAAAGATATTTGTTCTCAGATTGATTTGAAATGAAAAGAATGTCTCTTTAAAGTTTAAGCCTATCTGCACTAGTTTGGCTAGAAGGGATTAGACCTCCCTGCAAGGCCACTGGCAGGTGCTTATCTCATCGACTCAGCTCTCAATTAAAGGTAATACAAAGTTTTGGGAAATTTTGAAAATTGAAAGGATAGTGATTCTTTACAATTTTGATATAACGGATGCCCCTGTGGATGTTTTATATGCACTAGAAAATTTAGCCCCTGAAACACTTTTGCTTTTGAGAAATTTTGAATATAAAATTTTACCAGTGCTCCCGGTAAATTTTGATAAATTTCAAATAGCGCCTACGACCGTACAATGGTAGCTGAGACCATGAAAATCTCAGAATATGTAGTTGTATTATATAATTTCCAAACGGAATAGCTAATCGATCGATTTTAGTCAAGAAACATTGTTTTATAGCTTAGAGTAAAGGAGGGGGTTTTCGACCACTTAAGACAAAATCTTATTTTTGGGACTCTTTACTTCCAAATATTATTATTATTTAAACAAAATAATCCCAGAAAAAAAATCACGAATTGCCATGACAATATTCATTTCAATTTTCACTGTTTCGGAGGCAGTTATCGACATAGCGTGCCAGTTTTCGACCGCATGTACTACAAAGTCAATAGAAGCGCGCGTTTCTGCGCTGATCTATAGCACTAGCGGGCGGAGCAGGTATCCCACGCCGGAGCTCCCCGGTGCCGCCATGTCGAAAACTAGCGCTGCGTTGATCGGAAATTGGAATCTGAATTGGACAGAGATATCGTGTGTGCGTTGCAGTGTCCGGCTGCATTGATTTAGCTTCTCGTATAGTTTATGGTATCGTGCATGTGCGTAATACCATAAAGCATAGACCTCTACGCTAAGTTTGCATAATTTTAGACTGATAGCTTCAGTTTGAGATGCAGAGCTATAGCGCGGAGACGGTACTGAGTGACGACGTCGACATCAAAGCCCTAAACGGAGGCTTCCCGATGTCGGATGTAATCCAAATTCAGGTGGAAAATGCAATATATGATTATGATTAAAATTAGTAAAAAATTGGGCTAAAATTCCTTTGCTAAGAATCGATATTAAACTGTTAAAAAAAACTGCTAAAAAAATTGGATACGGAACTACACTAGCGCCGCTATTTTTATCACAGAAGTGTCATGGCTCAGTCAGTGGACTTGGTGGACTAGGGGCAGTTTCTCGAAACCCTCATACCGGTAGAGCTAAGTCTAACTGCTTGAACATGCAATTGAAGCAAGTGTTATTGAATTATAAGCATTTTTAAATTCTATGGCATGTCCAAAAACAAGTTCAAGTAGGTCTAGGGTCTAGACCCTAGGGCCAGGCCTAAGTTAAGACGAGTCACTGTCTAGGACGGTTTCAAGAAACTGGTCCCCGGTTGTTATTTCTATAGAAAACAAATTTGCTTACTGGATTAGCCATTGTTATAGATGAAGATCTCAACAGAGAGGTGTACAGGTGAAATATAATAAACAAAGTTGAAGTTAGAATTTCCGTTTCACGCTGGAGTCACTGCCGTACGTACGCGTCTGCAAGAGGAGTGGAAAATATCACGTGATGTGTCATGTGAACATTTAATACGTCATTATGTATCAGGTGACTTGTCGGTGCATTATGATTGGTCGACGTATCGGGCCAAAATAACAAGACAGTGCTAGTGTTGAGCTCGTGGAGAAGAAGAAGAAGAAGAGGTTTGTAATGTTTTGTTGGAAACATGAATAAATTTGAAATTTGAAATTTGAAGAAGAAAAAAAGCTTGAGGAGGAGGCGAAGGAGAAAGACTAGAATATAGTTCCAGGAGGAGGAGGAACAGAGACTCTCTGAAATTATGAGAAAAGCCCCCATAAAAAAAAATCTTATTAGTTTGGGAATGATGATATTTTTTTCCCGAACACGGCCGCACAGTGGGCCAGGGAGGGACCAAAGTGCGCCAAAACTATTTTTGGGTGATTTATTTTTTTCAATTTTTTCTTGCCCAGTTGAAAGGTAATACATAGAGGAATACCTCAGTGAAATATTTAATTCCGTTATGCACAATAAGGGTATAAAATAATTTACTACTTCAAACAGCAAAATCCTACATATTCACAGTTTTAGTGCAAAAGTGACTTATAAATCTTTCAATTCAACATGAAGTTTTTAAGTTATTGATAATGATATGAAATTGCTCTCACATATTCCTGATAGTTCATTTCGTTGAATGAATGGGTTAAAATTAATAGAAACACAATCTTCATGATATGTAATAGGGTAATTCACTGAAAAATGGACTGATTATCCATGTTTTTTATAAATCCAGAAGAAATGTTTAGATCTCCGCGGTGTACCGCTTAAATTTTAATACCACCATTTCCTCTGATGTCTAAGCTTTAAGTTGATACCAAAGAAGAGATAAAGGGAAGAAAAGAAAAGAAGAGGGATATACACTGTTGGTCATAATGGTGGAATAATTATTTTTACCCCAGTTTAGGGAAGGATTAAAAAAAAAAAAACATTTCTAATTGATCTAGATAATGGCATACATTCTCAGATTTTATTGAATATTAATTTGCGAGTGTTTGTTTTGCGTGACTGCTAAATCATATGTGTGCTACTATGCTAATCAGCTAGGGAACCTACGTCCTTAAATCATAATTGACAGTAATGAGGATTAATGCCTCACAAAAGGGCATTAATATAGCTGATGGACACGATTTTTATACTGGGGCCTCACAGTAATGAGGCCATTCTTTAGCCCCTGAATCATGACTGTGCGCAGTGTTTGCTAGGGTACGCAGCCCCTTCCACAAATCCCCCAAAACGAAGAAAATGCAATAAATTGTCAAAAATTCATTGCATTTTTCCCTGGCCCCCAACAGGAAAAATTCCTCTGTAGGGCCATGCATTATGGTTCAAGGCATGGCCACACAGAGGAATTTTTCCTGTTGGGGCCGGGGGAAAATGCAATGAATTTTTGACAGTTTATTGCATTTTCTTCGTTTTGGGGATTTGTGGAAGGGGCCGCGTACCCTAGCAATCACTGCGTACAGTCATGATTCAGGGGCTAAGCAATGGCCTCGTTACTGTGAGGCCCCAGTATAAAAATCGTGTCGATCAGCTATATATTAGTACTCTTTTGTGAGGCATTAATCCTCATTACTGTAAATTATGACTTAGGACGTAGGTCCCTTAGCTTATTAGCATAGTAGCACACATATGATTAAGCAGTCACGCAAAACAAACACTCGCAAATTAATATTCAATAACATCTGAGAATGTATGCCATTATCTAGATCTATTAGAAATAAGTAATTTTTTAAAATCCTTCCCTAAACTGGGGTAAAAATAAATATTCCACCATTATGACCAACAGTGTATATTGCAGTTTTCCCGCCAACAAGTTGGGGATCGGGAGGGGGGGGGCAAATGGCCCTTGTCTCCCCCCCCCCCCCTTCTACAGCAAACTTAAAAGAGAGAGAAAAGAAGAGAAGGGGAAGGGAAAGAAAAGAAAGGTACGGGAGATCAATTGTGATTTTTCCCACCAACGCGGTGTGGATCAGGGGCGAAAGGCCTTCGTCTGCCCTCCCCTGGCCCCTCAGCAAACAAAAAGAGAGAGGGAAAAGGAATGAAAAGAAGGGAAGGGAAAGAAGAGAGAAGAGGAAAGGAAGAAGAAAAGAAAAAGGGGTCCGACAGGGCCTTGCCGCCCATGCTGTTGCCCCCCCCCCCCGCAAAACAAGAGAGAAGGAAGGAAAGGGAAAGAAACAAAAGAAGAAAAGAAAAGAAGGGATATCAGTTGCAATTTTTCTGCAAACAAGATGTGGGTCGCGGAGAAAGGCCTTTGCCTCTGCCCCACCCCCCCCCCCCCCCTCCCGCCAAAAAAAAGAGAAAGAAAGGAAAGGGAAAGAGGAGAGCCAAAATGGAACACAAAAGAGGAAGAAGAAAAGAAAAGGGTGAAAAGAAGCAGAGATCAGTTGTGATTAATCTCACCAACATCGTGTGGATTGGGGAGAGGGGGCGAAAGACCCCTGCCTCCCTCAGCAAACTTAAATGAGAGAGAGAGAGAGCGAAGTAAGGGAAGGGAAAGGGGGAAAAAAGAGGAAGAAGAAAGGTGGGCAGATCAGTTGCAATTTGTCCCGATTTGTACCCCTCCCCCCCCCCCTCCCTCAGCAAAGAGAGAGAGAGAGAGAGAGAGAGAGAGAGAGAGAGAGAGAGAGAGAGAGAGAGAGATGGAGAAGGGAAGTGAAAGGGAAAGAGGAGAGAAAGGGACAGAAACAAAGAGGAAGAAAAGAAATGAATTAAGGAAGAACAGTTGCGATTTTCATTGGTTCTTCTATCATCATTGTACAACTATCATTGTACAAAATTATATATTCATTTATTTATTCCTGTTTGATAACAAAAATATGAATATAAACTCACAACAGCAACAAAATTAAATGTAGAAGGAAACTATCTTGCTGGGAGCAAGAAGCGCAAAATGATCATGCATTTGCATGTACATGTAAGTGTATCATTAATATTATTCATATTGTTTATTTACATCTTGTGAAATAGTATGCATTCAAGCTTTGGGGATTTTTTTTTGTGTATTTGTATGAAAGAAAGCATTTTTGAGCTTATAATGCACATGTTGCAATTTCAGGTGCAACTTAGTGTTCAAATATGGGTTACGCACGGCCAGGCATTAGTGTAGGAAATCTTTAAATGTTAATTAGGTATATGACTAAATTACTTGTCTGTTGCCTTACGAAAAAAATTATATTTAGTCAGGCGAATTGAGTCGCAAAACAATCATTGTGTTAAAAGGAAAAAAAAACATATTTGATGACATTCGAAATTCCCCAATAGCCAATACGATTGGAGAATACTCGTTTTGTTTTTCTTAAAAAATTACTCAACTATAAATAGCTGGCCCGGATACTTGAGTCTCTCACAAAACTAAATTATAGGCCTGATGTGTCGTCAGGGGCGTCGCTAGACCTTTTTCAGTGGGGGGGGGGGGGGTATAGAGGCCAATGATTACCGACAAAACAAGCCACCAATTACCGACAAAATTAAATGTCCCAATAATACCCTATAAACCGAGGCCAAAGGCTAAATTATTATGCGCAAATGGTCATTTTCGTCGACGACATAAATATTCAAATTATTTCGTCAACTTAGTAAGCATCATAGCTATATATTTTAATGCAGGGGTATTGAGCAAGCGAATCACTTAAAGGGCTCGCAAAACGCTCCCTAGTTGGGGGAGGGGTGGGTGAAAGGCCTCCCGCGCGAAGCGCGGTAGCTTAGACGTTTCATTAAATTATTATGAAAAGAAGACGATTTGTTGTATACCGTTCTCTACTCTTAACCCTAATTGTCTGAATTCAGTTTTCCACCTCTCGGGAGCTTCGACGTTTCATTAAATTATTAGAAAAAGAAGACGATTCATTGTACTGACTCTAAATCATTGTCTGAATTTTCAAAAATGTTTCTTTGTCCTATAAAAAGTCACAGTTCGAAGGGGAAAAATTGCTGGCCGACCGACATAAAAAAAATCCCACCGGCTTCAACCTCACCCCCCCCCCCCCCCCTTTAGCGACGCCCCTGAATGTAGGGTGGCCTGAGCGGGTAGGCACAGGGTGTGGTTCTAAACTTACAGAGACACTTCGATGAAGACACCCTTATTTCATGATTGCGTGTGTTGAACTGCCCTGGGCTTTACAACTTTAAACCTCCAGGGTTTATTTTGCATATATAGGTATTTACATGTTCATTTATATAATAAAAGGAAATAATGAATATTCAAATATCATAGGTAGCAAATAAAGGATGACTAACAGAGAAATGACAACAAACAGATAGGAGAGGATGATCAAGCATAATGATGTGCACCAATCTATAAATGTGAATTACTAAGTAGCCTGTGCACACTACAGCTCTACAGTAAGAAAGCATTTGTAGCCTTAATTTTAAGCAGTTGAAGAAATTAATAAAAGTAGGCCTACTTGAAGAAATCGTTGAATTGTATGATATTCAGTTTATTTTTATTAAGTAAGACAAAGTACTAGGTGTTAAAATAACACACATTTAACACCTTTGGAAAAAACAATATCCCAGGAACGTGAAAAACAAAACTTTTGTTGTAATGCCTATAATCGGACATATTTAAAAACTGAAATGTGGCACCACCCAAAAAGTATAATTCTGAGATCCTCCTTTGTCTTTAATTTGCACCTGGAAATAAATTCCTCGTCTATGTCATCGCGGCGAAAAATTTCAGACTTTTCTTCTTTAGAGGTGCACATGCAGCCTCAGACAAATGTGCCAAAGAAGTTTTGTCTTCTTGTGTTCCTGGAAACAAAGTTTTGGGCAATATTTTTCAAGTCCAGTTTATCTGTACGAGATTTATATATGAGTAATATTAAGCTTTGGTTGAGCTTTCTTTGGGTCATTGTACTTATCAGATAAGTTTTGATCCCTTTCAAGAAAGAGAATGTTCTCTCGCAAGTTGCCGTTGTAACCGGGATGGTAAGGTAAATGAGAAGAAGAATGTGCACCTTTGAGAATAATTTCAAAGTCGATATCTCCGGCATACACTTCCCTCAACTCATCAGCACGAACAAAATATTGGGGGGGGGGCTCATGATAACCGAGCCCGGCCGAAATATAGGGGGGGCTCAATGATATCTGAGCCCCCCCCCCCAAATATCGGAGTATGGCTAGCTGCCCCAGGGCCTTGTCCTTTATACGGATCAGGGAAAAATACTTTAAAAATTTCGGGGGCTACTTTTATGACTTTTGGGGGCTCTGTTTGGCATTTCGGGGCTAATTCACCCCGAGCCCCCCTGTATTTTTCCCCCTGATACGGATACGTGAGCGCCTTGATGGGTCCACTTCTAACTCGTGTTTTTAGCCCTTTTTTCTTTCCTTTTTCCTTTCCTTTTTTTTCTTCTTTCCTTTCCTTTCTTTTTTTTTTTCAAAGAGGGGGGGGGGGGCGCGTCCGTCGCCCCCCGTATATCCGCGCCTGAGTGACACCCACATAAACTAACTTTATTTATTACCGAACAAAAATAAAGAAAGGGCCCCTCGACACCATAGGTCTAAGTATTCAGCCAGTTGCTACCCCCCCCCCCCCCCCACCAAAATAAACTTTAAAAGTGATTTTTTTTTTTTTTTTTTTTTTTTTTTTAATTTGATACCAGTGATTTGCAGATGCTGCTGAAACCGCCTGATTTTCCGGGATTTTTCCTCACTTTTTAGTAAATTATTCTTTTTATGCGTTTGTGGGAGAATGATAAATATCAAAATGTACAGTCAGGCAAGAAATGCGCTTATTTACTATTTAGAGGCCTACTACGGCGGGCTTGGGGGCTCAAGCCCCCTCCCCCACACTTTTGAAAAAGTATATTAAAGAGAATTAAATAGAAAGAAATAGAAAAGAAAGTATGCTCATGTGACCGTAATTAAATGCCCATACCCCTGAGCTTCCGGGGGCTCTGCCCCCTGGACCCCACCTCGGGACCTAAGGCTGGCTCCTGGATGCTAATCTGACCTTAATTTTAATGCCTAAAACCCCTGCGCTTCCGGGGACTCCGCCCCTTGGACCATACGCCAATTAGTGACCTGCATGTGTCATGAATAAGGTATTAAAATTTGCTCATCTGACCGTAATTAAATGCCCCTACCCCCTGAGCATCCGCCAATTTGTGCTACGCTCTACCTTATCTTAAATACTCTAGCCTCCCCCACTCACTTTCAACCCCATTTTTAATCACTTTTATTTCCCAATTAACTCCTTCATTAAACCTCGAAACGCCCCCAAATACTTGGAGCGGGGCCTGTATCAAGAGTATATACTAGTAGTGAGTTGGTTGAAGTACGAAGCCACGTAGAGAAGTATAATCGATTACAACAGTTGTGGGGCCGATATCCCCGCCTCCCCCCCCCCCCCCACTCAGTGTTATTTAGGGTACGCGTATGCTTGTACCCTCTTTTTGAAAAGACCCCCTATCTGAGCACTGCCAACATTTCCGAACCCCCCTTTCGCGGGCTTTTCACGGGCTTTTCCTGCCTTGGAGACCCCCCTAAATCAGGAACGCTGCTCAATGTACCCCCTATCTCAGGACTTGCAGACACCCCCCCCCCTCTCATCTCAGATCAGCTGTCATTTACTGGTTGGCACTTTTTCAAGTTCTTCTTCTTGATCATTTTGAAGCACAATTTTTTTAGGGCTTCAATATTACACCATATCACAGACACTGATAACAAAGTCATGTAGGGCCTTGCATCTCAGATTTAACATTGTTAAACGATCCCTTTAAAGGCACACTGTCCTACTTGTAGCTACTTGTTCCCTCCAGGCGCGTACGCAGGGGGTGGTTTAGGGGTTAACCCCCCCCCCTTTGGTAATTTTATGTATGTAAACCCTCCTAAAAAAAACCTAAACCCCCCCCCCTTTTGATGACCTTACCCCCCCCCCCCCCCCAAATTGAGCAAAATGTCAAATTTCCAAATTTCGAGACAAAAAAAAAGAAGAAAAAAAAGTGTCCTCTCTTGAGAAGTCCGTACTGCCGCCGTACTGGGACGGGAGTGCATGGGACTCAATGTTTTTACTTTTCATATGTCCGGTAGGACAAACGGCGCGGTCACACCGGTACATGAATTCGAATTATATCAATGTACTAAGAAAGAACTTCCAGGGACCACTCCTGAGACATCCCTCCTGAGACATGTCCTCCTCGCATCGCTTTATATTTTTAAGTTCATTTTTGTGATGTAAAACTTTATAGCCAGGCGCGGATCCCACCCCCCCCCCCAACTTATTGCAGTGACACTCCCTAAGTCCGGTGTATAAAGTCATAGTGCGAGCCGGACTTTGGTGCGTGAAAAGTACCCCTTTACCGGTAACACGCATGCGGTCATTCCGATCCCGGAGTGGGGGTGGGGGGGGAGGGGCCACGGGCCCTTCGCCCCTGGCCTTAAAAAAAAAAATGTTTTTATATATATTTGTTTAATAAGTGATCACACAACCCGCAACCCCCCCCCCCCCCCCCCCCTGAGCGAAATAACGGTCTGCAAGATTTTCAAATTTCAGGGGGCAAAAACAAATTATGCTCACTCCCCCCCCCCCCCCCCCCCGCAAATGCGACTTTTGAAACCAGAATTAAATCTACAAAATAAATAGGTAAATATTCCTTTAGTTTAAAAAGTTTAGAGGGGCCACTGCATTGGTGGCATTGGTGTATACCTGTCGTGCCGGAGGGTGGGTCTTGGGGCTAAGAATTTACACGACCAACAAAAAAGTAGATAAAACACAAATGTAAATGTTACAGCAGGGATCCTGGTTACAGTTTTCCAAATGTGAAATCATCATTTCGTGCGCGCGAGCGAGCTCACTGCAGATTTCTATGCATATGGAGCGGACAGTACGCAAGCGATCGTTCGACTCTCCCGCGCCGCGCACTTACAGCTACAGCTACAGCTAATCACAATCGTACTTATAATACTTGACTGATCGACACGACTCTAGCAACACTTTTTTTCCTCAGGTGACCCGTTGAAGACGACCGGATTCTCTACTTTTAATTTGTTATCACTAAGCCATTCGGATATCATGGATTTTATGGAAGGCATGGAGGAGCGTCTCAGCGATATTCGAGGAATTACGCTGAAATCTTTGTTGGAAAACCCAAGTTTTTTACAGCCTCCGACAGGCAATAACAACGAAGGTGAGAAATAAAATCTTCGTTTGCGCTCCCATGCGACCGCCGCTAGAGCTATGGCGCAGCAAAAAACTGCGCTGCCTATGTACGACGTGTGTGTGTAGAGGGGTGTGTACATTATGTTGACGTGTTGTCAACAATTAACTCTCAGCCCGCAACACCTCGTTGAAATGTAGGGTTTAGCTCTAATGCCTTTCATTTTCAATGTCATTGTACACAAATATTGATCTCTTGATTTTGAGCTTTCTACTTTTCATAAAATTTGCTCATCATTTGAATTGTAAATTATCTAAATCTGTTCGACAATATGGGAAATATTTTCGTATTTGGGTCTCGGTCATCCGCGATCGCGCGCCATTAGCCTTCGCGTACCAGGCAGTACCATGCATTTTCCGTAGCTCACAGTGCAGTGTGTGTTATGTGTGTGTGTGCACTATACGTGCGGGAGGGAGGCCGAGCAGAGTCACGTTTTCGGGAACGTGCCTGCGTATGTGTATGGTGGAGTGAACGGCACGGAGATGCACTGACTGGAATCCTGCTCAGCTCAGATCAGAAATTTAGGCCTACCTGGATATAAAACCATGACTGTCTCAATAGCTTTTTTAATATTTCAGTACAAGGTGTATTTAGGGGGTCAAAGAAAGAACTAGACTAACGTCAAACAATATTAACTCATATTAACTGACTGTCAATTTTTATCTAGGAGTCTAGGACTAGGTTCTAACATTTATTTTAGGCCTACAAAAGTTAATCTCTGATTTTGTTCCCTTTTTTTTGTGGGGGGGGGGGGGGGGGGGGTGGGGGTTGTGTGGCATGTGGCATGTGGATATATTGATAGTCATTCTGTTAGTAGTTTGGACCTCATTTGACCCCTAGCCTGGGTTGAATTGTGGATAGATCTATGGCATTCATTTAATACTTTAGGTCATGGCAACAAATTAAACAAAACATGTAGTTTAGATCTTTTCAGAAGAAGGTTCCTTTTTTTTCCTTCTTGTTATTTTCCAGTACCAAATATTGTTACGTTAGAAAAGAATAGGCATTTAAAGCATGTACAAGTGTAGTCAATTTAACTGTTACATGTAAGCACCTCCAAGATATTGGGCAATATGACAAAAGGAGGGTTAGATCTCTATGGGAAATTCATGTGAAGGGATCATCAGATTGTCTTGAAAGTTTGCATCTATGTTTTTGTATCTATTAAGCGCATCCTGATCTTTACTTTGCCCAGATTTCAATCGAGACCTGGCCATAGCCAGATTCATTAAGAAATTTAAACTTCATCAAACCCAGAATCAAGCAAACATAGGTCTTCACTCTTCACTCTTCAACACACAGCTAAGAACACCATTTCTAAGTTCTAGATTGTTTGGTGCTTCCAAATTTTGGTATTACATACTGTAGAAGAAACTATTATCCTTCAGGAAATAATCAAAAAGTTTGACCAACCTGACCCAATGAAATACACCTTTATCGAGATTTAACTGAAAATCGCACCTTGCGACCTTTACATGTAGGTGTTTTTATGGTGCCTGGTCACAAATGCTCATAACTCTTTAGAATGGAACTGCTGATCATTTTGCATTAAAGACATTTTAATTTGTTTTATTGGAACTTTGGTAGGGGTTCAAAAGACAAGGACTGCTACATTTACAATATCCTGGCTGTTGAGCAAGACTCTGGCAGTTTGAAAATCTTTGAATGATACATGTACATGTACATGTAGCTTGATAAAGAAGAAGAAAAAGAAGCCATCTGTATTTTAAAATTAATTTAGGTTGTTTTACATTGTGTTATTCTCAACAGACAAAATGCAAAGAAAGACAAAGAGGCTGGACTCTTTGGTTTGGATATTGGGTCAGAGGATGTGGCCTCTGCCTTCCTTGGCCCCACCCTGTGGGAGAAGACGCCCTACGATGACCTCAAGCTTGAGTACATGGACCTGGATGAATTCCTCTCAGAGAATGGAATCGCAGTCTCAGATGGAAAGACCAGCAGCCAGGAAAACCCCAGGAGAAGGTTGTCTCTGAAGGAGCGTCTCCTGTTTCTAGGGGAGCATCCCCTGTTTCTGAGACATCCACCGATAAGGAGAATCGTTATCTCATGAGCACCCAATCACCTACCCCAAGTCCTCCACCACCAATGAGCCCAGACTCAATCAGCGAAGAATGTAAGTACCAGTGTGCTATCATACTTAATGCTGAGTGAAATCTCTGATAGACCCTGTACATATGGTCTTTTAAAAAAAATTAATATATCCGGCTGACACCTTTGTGACTATCCAAATTTCAGCAGAATGTTGTCTTATATTAAAATGAGGTATATCCATGAAGTAAACATTTTTTTAAAAAGTCAATTATATCAAGAAAACATTCATATGCTAAGAGCCTAAGGACATTGATTTTTCACTAAATTTTTTGCAGGTCTATCCAAAGACTTGATTCAATATCATTTTTAAAATTTTGATTCTAGCAAATTCATTTAAAACACATCCTTAGATAAATACATGAAGTATATAATATATATAGTTTTTAAAAAAAAATTTAGTTTAATATAGTACACATTTTACATCATCATAGTGATAGGAAATGATGAGACTCATTCAGCCAAAAGTAACTTCTTTTTCATTTCTGTTACAGTGGTTTACTCACCAACCAATACCATGAGTCCAGTTCGAGAGCCAAGTCCAGTGCACGTCAACGTCCCTTTTGAGCTCAGCGAAACGGACGTGGCCCTCGCTACGGCACCAGGCCAGGACACCTTTGACCCCACAGAGTGCACCTTTACCGCGGAGGAGCTCAAGCCGCAGCCTATGATCAAGAAGTCACGAAAGATCTACGTGCCCGATGAGCAGAAGGACGACAAGTACTGGGAGAGACGCAGGAAGAACAATATTGCCGCTAAGCGATCGCGAGAGGCAAGGCGCGTCAAAGAAAACCAAATTGTTATCCGGGCATCCTACTTGGGAAAAGAGAATAGCGCTCTCAGGGATGATGTCTTAGAATTGAAGAAGGAAAACTCAACGCTCAAGAAGATTATTGCCAGCTATGAAAAGCGTCTCAAAACCGCGAAGATGGACTAGCCCCTGATTTCATCCCAATATAATATAGTTACATGGTTAATGTAATGTTTTTAAAGACACATGTCCCCTTTCTCTGTAATTGTACATTTTACTTATAAATGTCTGGTGACTCAGGTACGACATTAACATCCTTCTGCAGATTTTAGCTGGCAGTCAAGGTGTCCACTCATTTCTGATGGATCATATTTCTAAGTACCATTTTTCTTGAAAAAGAGAAATATTGCGTTCATTTCTGACTCTTGTCAAGAGCTGATTTACAAAGTCCTTCATTACTCTTGATAGTAATCTACCTATCTGATTATCTAATTCAAGTGGATACGTTTTGAAGTTGGAAATAATAGATATGGCCTCATTGAGATACCTGTAGTGAAAGATATATTTGTATATGACAATGTACAAATTGCACTTGCTATTTGTGAACATGTCAACATGTGATACACCTATTGCCCATTGATGCAATGATAAATTTAAAAAAAACAAGAAAAAAACAACATCACTCTCTTTCAGTGTCAAATTTGGCCAATACAACTTCACCATTTCCCCTTAACTAAAGTTACGACAAGAAATTTGAACATGGTTATTCAATAAATAACTGTTCACAGTACATGTAGTTTTTTTTCTCTCCCTCAGTCTCCCCCCCCCCCCCCCCCCCCCTCTCTCTCGCTATCTCTCTTTTATGGATTATATCTTATGTAGATAAATCATGCCCACCACTAACTGATTTAAAAGAGATCAAATATTGAATGATCATGTACATTCATCAGTTGAAAGATGATTAGATTGGAATGATGATTGATTTGTTGTACTATCGTTTGCCTCTTTAACTGTACATAGCTCTAATGTTTCAAATGTTATTGTTGTCGCTAAAGCAGCTAGCTACAGATATATCAAGCTGTGAATTACAATTTCAATTTAGTGATGTTAATCTGTCATCCCCTAACATTTATTAAGATAAGTGATGATATAATGCAGTGTGTGAAGAAATTTGATATTACTATTATATATATTTTTAAACAATAGATTGCAGGGCCTGATGTTGCCATCTAAGTTGATGAATGTGACAATTGCACTGCTACATGTAACTACGTATTAGAGATCACCACATCAGAACTTCAGAAGCTTATTAGATTTTATCCAAGCTATCTAAATCTAATGTTAAAAGATAATAGTTTCACATGTTTGCACTCTTTCATGGAGATAAATAGAGGACAGATCAGCGAAGGCAGGAGGTTAGTACTATAACGCAAGATCTGTTTGTATTATTTATTTATGCAGATAGGTTTTATTTATTCAGGGTGATACAGATTTTACAGGTCATTGTTCCCAAGTTCCAGCCCTGTCTGTTCGCACTGTCTATCTACACTCGATTTTGCATGATATATGTACAATTCAGAATGATAATTTTCCTCATAAATCCTGCAACGTACCAGTAGATTTTCCATATCCATTCACTTTATATTTCTTTCCTGTCTACATGTAGGTGATGCAAAGGTTGCATAAAGATTTATTTATTTTTTCTTCTAAAAAATTGCAGCATCATCCCTCAAAAGGAGTGATGTAACACTGTTTGTTTTGACTTTGAACTTTATATATTGCCCAGGAGATCTGTTTACCTGTATTGTATTCTCTCTTGACTTTGGCAGTTTGCCAGAGTTGAGAGAAGTCAGATGTCCTTTTATTCCAGTACCCTTGAGTAAAGGCGGATGTACAATGTAGGTGGGAGTTCATGGCACTAAAGTTTCAACTTGCACATGTATAATTCTCTTCCTAATTCATGCTTTTACATAATTTTCCATTCTTCATAATTGTACACAGTGATATGTGTATTCACAGTACGTACAACAAATGAATTTCTCAATGTACTGCTTTGATGGTTATTCTAAAGATTCTATTCTTTTTTGATTGAATGTACATAGACATATAAATATTAAAGTTTACATGGTTGTTGGTTAGGGGCGTGGTTATAGTATTCATTCCATACTATGGATTATTTTTCAAAAGCTGTAAAATCATGTATCATACACAATTTCTCGCACAATTTGTATAGAAAGAAAAAAAAATGTGGCTGGACTTTCGTATTGTATTTTTTTCATTAGGGTAAGCAGTGTGATGATGATACTTCAAACGTCTCTTTTATTGTGAATGTTTTTATCCGAGGCGGATGTGAAACCATGTATGCACATAATTAGTAGGGACAAGTGTTGGTAGTATTGCATGAAAGGTACGTGTACAAACTAAATATTTTTGCCCTTGAAAGAAAACATGGAATGGTTTGCTGGTTTGGCTAGAAGTATTATCATGACATAGAGTAGGTAATGACTTTAAAACTACATGGTATACACATGAGCATAGAAAGTCGGCATATGTGTTTGACTATGTGCTTGGTATTTGATGATATTATCACAGACAGTTGGTTGTCATGGTACATGTATATAGTACCTGGTGTGCTTCTCCGTGTAATTAGTAATGAGGGCAGGATGCTGTGTAGAAGTAAAGGTACCCTCGCCCATGAATGCCTACAATGAAAAGACGTCTTAAGCTATTGATCATGTCTACAATAGACATTGTCTATTGTCGAGGACACCATTTGTGAGCTTCTGCAAGGGTACTTTGTTTGTATTCTCTCTGCATAGTGAGATTCCTAATCCTGCCTTCTGACCTTTGTCAAGGTTTCCCAAACCTTCAATGGGTTCACTTTTGCAGAAGATGTCACCTACATGTACACAGTATGTGTATGATGGACCTCAGCTCAAGTTGCAAGTCATTCAATATATGCAGTAATTTGCACTTTAAGCCTTTTAGGTCATTACCACAGTTTAGACTAATTACTTTTGGATTTCCGGTATGCAGATCGCACTTTAAGTTTAAAGAGGTTACAAGTTAATGGCATAGAAATTCAGTATTCATTACACACAGTGTGCAACAAGCTATTAATTATGCATGGTTTATTATCTGCCCATTACTCTGTGGGTGAGGATAAGCCTGGTTCAATACACTAATGGATGTAATACCAGTAGTTTAAACAAACATGTGGAGTTGCATGTGACTGCCATATACACCCATGCATAGGTGTACATCAATCTGCCTGTAATTACATTTATTTACACATGTGTTTCTATTTCCCATGCAGGAAATTTAGCAAAGGAAATTGTCTTCTTCATGCATTACGGTATGTCTTGGAAGAAGTACATTTTATCAGAAGACTATAAATCATGAGAATTAATCACACATTTATCTGTATCGTGTAGGTACAAGCATTCAATATGAATGTACTAGTAGAGTGTGATGGCCTGCAGCAACCAGTTTACATGCTGTTTTGTCGCTCACTATCCACCTTCTTGTAAAATTGAATTGAGACACATGAGTCAGTCTAATTGATCCTTGAGATCTACTGCTTAACAAATGATGCGCCATGTGCCTTGTTTAGAATAGATTGACTGGATTTGTGCAGACAGTTTATTCACCTATTTCATCTGCCAATCATTTATGGTCCAAATTTACAAAGGGGGCTTACTTTGAGTCGTAATTTTAACCTTTACCTTGGGACAAAATGGAAGCTTAAATAAAATCTATACAAAAGCGTATTGATGACCATACATGATGGACACGTGCAAACTACACATATGCTAATGGCTGCTTAATCATGGATTAAGATTTCCTTTGTGTAAGTTGGGCATGGTATCCTGTTGGAAGGATTCAGTACACAGAATTGGTTTTAGAAACGTTAGGCACTATTTGAGAATTCTTTTGTTTTTTTGGTGGCAGTGATTTTGCACTAAAACATAGGAAAGGGTTGATAAATACTTGAGATTTGCAATATGTGGGTAAAATTGGAACTGTTGTTTTTAAATATGACATCCTTTTATGTCAACATGTAATAGTCCCAAAGATATTTAGTCACCTTGGAAAAGATCTTAAATGGTAAATCAATTTCTTCAAATTCTTTTTTTTTTTCAATGGAAAAAAAGTTTTAAAAAAAATGATAGATGAAATAGGACATTATATATTTGTCTTGGTAACAAGCTAAATCTGTCTCAGGTGATGTATATATTTGAAAGTGAGCTTAAACTAAGAAACGTGTGTGTGCATAAGTTCTTAGAGACAGATATTGATAGAATTGGAAAGAGTTGACTTCTTACATACTTCAAAATGACCATAGCCAATAGTTTATTTGATTTAGACTATTTCAAGTCCAAAAACTTTTTTTTATTGCTTTCTCATCTTGCAATGCTCAAAATTGACTTTTATATTAAGACATCAAAAAAAAATATTTTAATTACTTTATTATATGAATATTCATCATACTTCAGGTATTATTCTATGCTAGAATTTCTCTGGGTTTTTAAACTGTTTTTTTAGAATGCACATATAAAGCTGCCTGGTCCCCATTGCAAATTTGCAAATGGCTATTTTCCTTGCTTGGTAACTGGTATGTTTTTTAATCTATTCTAGCTCGAGATTTTCTACAAAGGAAACATGATTTCAGTACCCTGTCACATCAAAGCAATTTTAAATTTTACCCAAATATATTTTGAAGACTTCTTGTAATTCTCACTCGTCCAGTTCTATCAATGACTGTATTCAATGTTGTTATATTGTAAATAATATATGTGGCATATTACGATGTTGGAATTGAATCGATGTTGGGCAGTGATAATGCAAGCTCTTTTTTATGTCGGGTGTGATTTGTGGTACAAAGAACGCCCAGTGATAGGGTGATATATTTACAGAGATGTATTTTGCTAAGCTTGATCGTGATGTGGAAAAAAAATATATAAATATATATATATTCATGTATATGGCACTGTACATTTTCTCATTTTGTTTTCCTTTTTGTTTTGTTATTTGAGTGATTTGAGAATGGTGCTTGTGTGTGAGTTTTTACAAGATTTTTAGTAAGAGAGGTTTGTAACAGGTGAATATACATACTTATTATTTGTAGTCGTGCTGGCGTAGCTTTGTCAGTCACCAAACTACCCTCTGATTGGGCCCGATAGGGCTGCATTATACAATCCAACTACCGGCAATACGTTTGAGTAATGAATAAACAAAAAATGAATTATTTTTTTAAATGAGTAAGGATTTCAGAACAATCCAAGGAATGAAGGAAGTTCGGTAACTCTTTTGAACCTATTGAAATGATACAAAATTAATTTAATAGCAGAAGAAGTAATATTAAAATATAATATTACAATTTTTTAGATAATCAGTAATTTGCGAGCTTTGGGGGAAATTACTCTTAGTCGCTTGAAATTAGGGGCACGTTTAATGATGAGGGGAAAAGGAGACACTTATCGAAAGGGATAAGACACTCATTAGAAAAGCAAAGGAGCACGTGTCAAAGTACAGGGGGTAATTTGTCGACGGAAAAGGGGCACCCATCAGATTTTGATAAGGGCATTTATTAGAGGTGAAAAGGGCATTTATGAAACGGGGATATGTCCCTTATTAGAAAGGAAAAGAGGCACCTCTCAGATTTAAATAGGGCACTTATCACGAGTGAAAAGGGGGCACTTACTAGAGATTAAAAAGGGCACTTGTGAGAATGGAAAATTATCACTTATTACAAAGGAAAATGGGAACTTGTCGAAAGAAAAGGGGCACGTGTCAAAATAAAAAAGGGCACTTA